CCCCATCAAAGCCACACATCTTTGATATTGCACAGCCTATCTTTAATCCCACTAATGACAATGTAATCATGGAAGACGCTTCCCAGAACACCAAGAAGAATCCCCCTGCTGATAAACAGAAGAAACAGCTTAAGACTCCATCTACTCTTTCACAGAATCTTGACTCCAAAGCCATCATTGATCAAATTCTCAGCACCCCTATCCCACTATCTATTGGTAACGTCATTGGTCTATCAAAAGAAGTTTCCCAGAATCTCCAAGAAATGATGAAACCCAAGTGCGTTAATTTTGGACTAGACAACAAGCCCCAAAGCTTGACAGCTGAATCACTTCTTGCCATCACTCATGCCGACCTCATTCGTGTCCCTGTTACCTCTAATGGTGAAACTATTTCAGCAATTGTTGATTCAGGGTCTGCTCTCAATATAGTCAGTCGCACTATTTGGGAAAATCTCATTTGCCTTCCCATGGATACTAGTATTTGACCTGTAGTCAAAGATGCCAATGGAGGATTTGGTAGACTTGATGGTTTAGTCAACAACGTGGCTTTATACTGCGGAGAAGTCAAAACTTATGCCAATATCTTTGTTGGCAAAGACACTAGATATAATCTACTTCTTGGACGACCATGGACGCATGGGAACTATGTCAGCATTGAAGAGAGACTTAATGGCACTTATCTCGTTTTCAGAAAGGATGGCAAAATCGAAAACCCTGCTCTTGAAGTCAAGGTATCATCAGATCATTGTTCTATTCACTATGTCAAACCAGTATCTGGAGTATCCAATACAGTATCCAGCTTCTTAGTCACAGACTATGACTTCAATGGAGAAGATCTAGATGGAAATACCGATGAATCGGAAACTGCTGCTGAAAGTGTCACCCCAGAAGAAGAAACTGTGCCTGTTCCAGATAATTCCCCAATTGGTTCAATCGAAAATTCTAGTACTCTCAGAGCACTGGAAGACCTGGAAACTTGTCTAGAAGAAACTATTGAAGCCTCTATCCCTATCCCCAATGCCAGTACCTTCGAAACATTCTTTGACTATATTCGCTCCATCAGAAAAGATGAAAGGTCTGCTATTTTTGGTCTACTGAACAACCTTCAATATCGTCATAACATGAGTTCACTCTCACTAACTTCAGATTATGTCATGAGAGGACACCATGGCTTCGATGAAAACCACAACCTTTATGCGGATTATGTCTTGCTCCATGCTCATTTGCGATTTGACCAGAATCATGGACCTGGAAGAGCACAGGGCTCATAACCTATTAAGAACAAAGCTTGAAGGAAGTGTCTAGCCACTTGCTGAGAGCAATCAGGGACTGGAACTAGAGTCCAATGTGAGTAACTTTATTATTAGAGAGTATGACAGGTATACAGTACCTAGAGTTCAATGTGAGTAACTAGAGAATAGGAAGCATTGGACTCTGCAGTACTGTCCGAAGTTTTGTAAACAAAGGTAAACAAAGCAGCCACAAAGGCGAAATAATAGAGAACACAATCAATAGTGAATGATAGAAGAATAGATAGAGAAAGGAATGAAAATATATAGGTAGCACAAAGGTGCAGAATCACCAAAACTAACACAACCAACAGAGGAAGACTTTGAAGATGCTCAAGAATCAGATGATTGGCTTGATGATATTGCTCTTCTTGTTGATCTTGCCAGACCTCTCCCATATCACCCTATGTCACTCCCTTTGTTCCTTACCAATAATTCTTCTCAGTATGATACCCTTCGTTGAATCTTCTACTTTCTTCAAACTATGGAGCTGCCTATATTTTCCTCTCTTCAAGCTCAAAAGTGTTTTGTCAAGTGATCACTTCAATTCTTCTTGAAAGGAGACAGCATGTTCAAGCGTCGTCACTCTGCTCCTCCTCTCAAAGTCATCTTCAATCCTGATCTTCAACTTCACATCCTTACTGAAGCACATGAAAGGCTTGGTCACAGAGGAGTCAATGGTGTATTCTCTACAGTCAGAGAGCGCTTTTACTGGCCCCATATGTTACAAGATGTCAAGCATCATATTTGCACCTGCCATGAATGCCAGATTCGAAGTGTACGCAAAAGTGAAGTCCCACTTACCATCTCATCACCTCCTACAATTTTCACCAAAGTCTATGTCGACATTATGCTCATGCCCAAGGCCAGAGGATATCAATATCTTGTTGCTGCAAGAGATGATCTGTCACTTGCTGAAGAAGGAAGAGCATTGAAGAAAGCATCTGCACATAATCTTGCTCGCTTTTTCTGGGAAGAAATCATCTGTCGCTATGGAGCTATAGGAGAAGTTGTCACAGATAATGGAAGCGAAGTCAAAGGAGCATTTGAAAAGCTTGTGGAACGTTACTAGATCCCTCATATTCGCATTTTTCCCTACAATTCCAAGGCAAATGGTGTTGTTGAGCGTGGACACTTCGTCATAAGAGAAGCACTTGTCAAGTCCTGTGAAGGGAATGTCGATTTATGGCCAACCAAGGTCCATCATGCCTTCTTTGCAGACAAGGTCACTACTCATTGTTCTACTGGATTCAGCCCTTTTTATCTGTTGCATGGAGTTGACCCAGTCCTACCATTTGATCTGACAGAAGCGACTTTCCTTGTTCATGGATTCCATACTGCAATGTCAACAGAAGACCTCATTGCTCTGTGCATTTGTCAACTAGAAAAGAGACAGGATGATTTGCAACAAGCTGCACTCACTATATGCAAAACTCGTCTCAGATCTAAAGTGCAGTTTGAGAAACTCTATGCACGAAGGATGTTCAAGAACGAATACTAGCCTGGAGAGCTTGTTCTAGTGCGGAATACTCAGGTTGAGAAAGAGCTGGATCGTAAAGCAAAGCCTTGTTACAATGGCCCTTATGAAGTTGTGCGACGTACTAAAGGAGGATTGTATGTTCTAAAAGAAATGGATGGATCAGTATCACAAAGAGGAATTGCAGCATTTTGCCTACTTCCCTATTTCAACCGCCACTCTATGCCCTTCTTGGACGAACTGGATGACCATGATAACGACCTAGATGAACCAGAAGATGAACCTGACTATGGGCATAATGACTCAGATGATGAAGATAACGATTAATGACTTACCTGAACAAATTTTATGCTGACATGACCCTTTAATGTATTGCCATGTTTTATTCCCTATGACCCTACCTTTATGGAAGCAACTGGGGACAGTTGCAATTTCAAGTTGTCCGTGGATGTCATGCACCAAAGTTGATTGGTAGCATGGACAGGTGTCAATAACAAAGCAAATATTCAAAAAGACTCGCCTTTGCGCCACACAGGCACAGTGCCACGTGGAATAGTAATTAATATTGCCTTTTTTGAACTTGTGGCTGATCAGCACCACCTCTATTAGGCAATCCAGTCACACTCACCTTTGCTTTTCCATTCGGTACTTTCCGCATTTTGGCATTTTGGCAAATTTTCGCGTCGCCACTGGCTACACATTGCATTGTGCCCTCGCTTTTGTTGTTTCCCTTACTCCCCTTCCTTTGCCTAGCCCCACCATGGGCCCCTTCCTCTCCTTTTTATTCTCACCTGACGGTTGTTTCTGGATCCCCATTCTAATCCACTTTTTCGTGACCTCCACCCTCCTCCTCCTCATCTTATTTGCACCCCCACCATTTCTGATGTCACCACTTCCTATCCGCTTCCATCGCCAATCCGTTGACTACCACGTGCCACTGCTGATATCAGAAAAGCCCCGGCGGCCGGTCCAAATAGGGCAACAGGTCCATCTTCATGACATCAATCTGCCATCATATACTATTGAAACATCGGTTGCTCGTCTTGCCTGGTTGGAGCTTGGGTGGGTAGTTTTTGAGCTGGAGAAGGTTCATCCCCTTGCATCACCCATGTTCATCGCTGTCCCATTCACTTGGGTACACTTATCTTTTGTCCATTGTCTTCGCTACAGCTACACCTACCACACGCTGCCTGGGACTCACTTGTTCCAAATTGGAACTACTCCTCTCCCTCCCTTGTTTGATCAGGTGGTCCAACACAACCAGTCCATTGGTAAGGCCATGGAACTGTCGGATTTGGACTAGGTGGTGGACCGGTGGCTCCAGTTTCTTTTTTTCAGCAGAACATTCATTTACAGTGCAATTATTTTTGATTTTTGAATCATTTTTATGGACACATATTTTTTTAGAATGTCTGACTGACAATAAAGGAACTGTGTTGATACTGATAGTGTTTTGCCTTGCCCTTTTTTTTTACTGCATCTTCCCATGACATCATGATTTTCCTGCTCTCTTTTTGCTATTGGACTTTACTTTATGGCTATACAAACCTGTGACATTACTCACAGCATTCATTGTTCTATCCCTTTCTTTTCCTTTTTTGACAATCTTATCCTGTACTACCTACGCAGGATTTGTCAGTGTACATTCCTTCCTTCACGTTCTTTCTCATTCTTTTTGCACAGCTATACTGTGCATAGCCTACTTTTCTTTTACTATATAAACCCCTATATTTTACCTTGTAAAAACAACAAGAACTCCATTCCAGACTTCTTCTCTAAATTCAAGTTCACTACTCTGCTGCTTGTGATCCAGTGTGGTCACAACACTTCCCACTGCTACCACTGTCAACTGCTGTCATTGTCACTTCCCACTTTTGAAGTCATTATCATCCCTTTCGATTAGAATCCTTCTGAGCACTACAGTTTGTGTGTCAGGAGCCTGCTATCACTGGGAACTTCATCATATTGTCGTTCTCAAACCTACCTTGTGCTACAATTAGCAAGGTAGTGCTCATCTATACTCACCACAAAGCCCCTATCTTTCTATATTCCAACTATCCCTCCTCCTCAAAACCCACACCCATACATCTCTGGGTTTTACTTTGAAGGATCCTCATACATACCACCCCACAAACAACCAGACCACTCCACTGTTCTAGGAGGCAAAGCCCATAAACAAGTTCTGTGGAATCTGGGAGGATTGTGTGTTAGTTTGTTTTTGTGTGTGGTTTTTTCTAACAACAGTGCTCATCATCAATAGTGGGTCGTTCAAAAGGAGTTTCCTGGTGAGTGATGTTATTTGCATTAGAATCTAATGCTATTAATGCATAGAAATCATTGTCATCAGATGATTTGTCTACTTTGGCCACTTTAGCATGTATTTTTCCCTTCTCCTTCCAATAATTTGGTTTATCAGAAGTATCATCATGGTCTCTATGTTTGCTGGCATAGTGGCCTCTCTTTCCGCATTTGTAGCATTCTGCATCACGCCTATATGGGGTGCTTTTGCTCGTTCTTTGGTTTTTCTTTTCTTTAGCTTTAGCGGTGAGAGCTAATCCCGGGTCTTGATATCCAGTGTGTGATGCTCGATGATCTGCTTCCTCAAGAATATGTGCTATTATGTCCTCTGGAGTGAGTGTTGTTTTGATTGTCATGAGCTGGCCATAATGGCCAAAAGCATAGAGCGGTAGCTGTCAGGCAATGATGACATGATCATAGCGGCAAATTGGGGGTCTCCTATGGAGCCTCCCATGCCAGCAAGGTCTGATCTGAGCTTGAGCATCTCGTTGATGTGTTCAGTTATGTTTGTCCTCTCTGACGCTTCCAGCCTCATTATCTTTCTCCACATATTGAGTTGTATCATATCACCTTTTCCTTCGTGTAGTTTGCAGAGTTCTTGCCACATAATGTGTGGTCCTGTCATTTTTGAGGTGGCTTTCAGTCTATTTAGCATAGAGTCTGATACAGAGTTGATGATGAGCTGACATGTTTTGGCAATCTTTTGTCAAAAAACATCTTTTCGCTCCTCTAGCTCCTCTATGTCATCTTCGGTAGCAGGCTTTCCATTCTTGTTGAGTGGTTGTTTATTGGAATCTAAACTGAACTCTCTCGGTGGTTTGGCTTTTCCGGAACCTAACAAGTCCTTTTGCTTTGATAATAGATTTGAGTCTAAGTTTGTAGGTTGACCAATTGGTTCCTTTATCATCTAGTTTAGGGACATTGGTTCTCGAGGATTATTGGGATGACATGTCAGAACTGCCAGGGCTCATAACCTGACGAGATTATAAAACTAGAATAAAGACTCAGTCTTTGAATGATAGACTGTAATATATTGATATACCTGTAATAAAAGACTATAGTACTTTCAGTGTCATGTATTATTAATGTGTATATAAGAGTATCCTCACCTCAGTCTTTGAATGATAGATAGACTGAGGTGTAAAATCATCAGGAAAACGAGTAAGTATGGGTTCACGGGAAAATCCGATGTCAGGAGAACTTTCCCGCGCGTAAGGGAAAGTTCTCACGTGCATCCTACGACAATCGAGGTATCTCTATGTGCAAAAACATCCTATTCACTACATCTATGGCATGAAACAAGCCGGGCGTGTCTGGAACAAATCACTCAATGACGCTATGCTCTCATGGGGGTTCACGTGACTCGCTTGCAAATACTGTGTCTACACTCGCACTATGCCATCTGGTACATGCATCACTGCTGTGCATGTGGACAACTTCTTGACGATCGCCAGTTCAAAGGAGGAGAACAAGATTTTCAACTCCGAACTCAGAACTTTATGGAAAATTTCAGACCTAGGGGAGGCAAAAGTCTGCGGTGGAATTGCTATCAAACGCGACCGCCTGAATTGCGCCATTGCAATATCACAAACAGCCCTCATTGACAAAATCATCTCACAGTTCAACTTACAAGACGCTCAACCACTTTTTATACCTATGGAGCCGGGTCAATACCTTTCTCGTACGACTCACACTCCCAAGGACGATGATGAACAGATACAAATGGCTTCTACGCTGTATCATTCATTAGTAGGATCACTGATGTACCTTTTCATGGGTACACGCCCCGACATCACTTTCGCCGTCCAACAACTCAGTCAGTTCTTGGATTGTTATGGGCCAGCACACTGGGAAGCAATGAAAAGGGTAGTACAATACCTAAAAGGCTAAAGAACCTTGAAACTACATCTGGAAGGACTTAATCCCATACGGCTCATCGGATACACTGATGCCAGCTTTGCCAACTGTCCCGACACACAACGATCCATTACGGGCTACTGTACTACTGTCGGTTCTGGCATGGTAACTTGGCGTTCCATAAAACAACAAATTATCACCACATCCACATGCGAATCTGAATACATTGCAGCGTGCGAGTGTGCAAAAGAACTCATATGGCTTAGGACTCTTCTCTCTGGAGTCTATCACCATCAAATTGAACTGACACCACTTCTATGCAACAACAACGGTGCCATCATACTCTGTGAAGATCCATCTTTCCACGCTAGAACAAAACACATAGACATCCGTTTCCATTTCATTTGCGAATGAGTACTCGAAAAGGACCTATCTGTCCAATACATAAATACAAAACACAATATTGCCAATGCTTTCACTAAAGCACTGCCTTCAAAATTTTTCATATCTCTCCGACCATTCATGGACGTTAAATGATCTCCTTTATATTTTATTTTTATTTTTTTAATTATCTTTCCCTCATTTTCTCTCTTGTATCGAGGAGTGTTGGAACCTATTTACGCTACAAGTAGAATACCAAAGGATCACATGATCAACACGCCAGGTTGATATTCGTTCGAACCACTCTCTCTTTCCCCTCAGTTTGTCATTGTCGTAACACAACTGAGGGTATGTTTCGTTTATCTCATATTATGATACATATTAATGGTCTTTTATATCTAGTTTTCATCCTGTCTAGTTTTAACAGCATGAACTCCACATGCTGGCTGGAAAGTATAGCCGAATAGAGATAAGACCTGGCCGGCCCTCCTTGCATGTCCCTGGCTGGGCTCTGTTGCAGGGAGCACCGACCGGTCGGGCAGCCTGTATGTTCGTCCCAGGTGGCATGTCCTTATCACATATATTACATGGAATCTGACTGAATGGTCTGATGTACACTCCTGCGAGACAGCATTACAGTCTTACATTCTTTGGCATTTGCCGCATAGCTTGTCGAGCTCCAAGATCGCCCAACACGTCTTCGGCTAGTCCAAAATAAACATCGTAAACACTGTTGAAGTCACTTTTATTTGATTGTCCAACTTACCTCCTCCAAGAACCGCATCAAAAGGTGCCGTACGATAGAACTGCCACTAGGATTAGCTTGGATGCGGCAAAATGGAAGATCAGCATACCTGCTCAATCAGTTGACCCATCCCACTTTTCGTCAGTCCCCTCCCTCCAAATAGCTGAACAGCGTCAATTGCAGTTTGCTGAGCACAACGCGTGCAATATAGCTTCAGAAAAGCTATTGGTCTGCAGGGCAAGGAAGATCAGTGGTTTCAGATCTGGAGAGTCGCATTTGTATATCACATACCCGGCAAGCCTCTGCGCTTGTTCTTTGTAAGACTGTAATAAAATAGTTATATATAACAAATCCGACAAAAAAGTCAAGCTACGCACCATATTACACATTTGGTGCGTGATATTTTCTAACCAGTTCTGAACACTTTCAGTACGAGAAATCATAGCACCTAACCTGTTGCGAACGACTGCCTGAGCATTCAGTGGTTTTCCAAAGGCAAACCGCTGGCTAGTCCATCTTGGGTCACGTTGATATTAAGAAGTAAAAAAAAGGAGAAAGATAAAAGTTTACTTTAGGCACTCCTCTACGATCATCCGCTGGCTTCTCGCGGAATTGCAGCACATGGTCCAACGCTCGTGGTTGAAGTTGCTATAAATATGTTTTATGTCCGATAAAATCAGCTGAGTAATAATCATAAGAAGATCAGGCTCGAACCTCAAAATGACAAAGATCCCTCCTCCCTCCGGACCTAATGTATTTTCCACCGGTACTTTGACATTGTCGAATGTGATGTATGCAGTTCCAGATGCGGTTGAGTAGCTCGTAGTTATCAGTCTTGTCTCGACACCTTCTCCACGTTCCACCACGATGGCTGTTAAACCTTTCTGCAGGGAAATCCTTAATAAAGGTTGTGAAACAGGGGCAAAAGAGGGACGAACATCTGTCTTGCATCCGATAGTGAAGCTAAAAGCGATCAGGAAATATAAGTTGATACCAGAAAGCAAACATACTAGTCCGAGAAACTAGATCAAATCACATTATTAAGAGACTTGGTAAAGATCAGAAGCGACACTTACGTGCCATTTGTAATCCACCTGATCACGGGCTGAGTTAGTAGTACGCCGATGCAATTTTTTCATCACGAATACTTACTTTTTGGATCCATTTATTATCCAATGTTTCTGGTCTGGAGTCTTCGTCGCCTTACATTGCAGCCCCGCGACGTCACTCCCCGCGAAGGCCTCAGAGACAGCCAAACATATAAATTTTTCGCCAGATAAAATCTCAGGGACAATTTTCGCCTTAAGCGCTTCACACCCAAAGTTGATGATAGGCGGCAGACCAATAACAGCTCCACTCTGAAGGCCTGAAAGGAAGTCAAATACGGTGTATGAATCGGAGAAGAAAGCCTACCATCAATATAGCCACGTTCTCCGCACCGTGCTATCTCTTGAAAGACAATAAGCTAAGCGGCTACGTGTCAGTCTGAAAGAGATCACAGTGAAACACGCATGGTAATACCTCGTGAAAATAATCATACTGTATATATACACAGAACGATCAGTTTGGGATATTCGATGAACACCGTGAACCCACCTCTTCAGAAGTCACTCCACCCATAAGTTCAAGCCCTTTCAGATGGGGACCAGGACCCATACGCATTGTATTTATGTTAAGATCTCTGTGTCGGGATGTTATCTTGCTTCGTACAGAATATTTGGTGATACGTACGTCATAGCTTGAACTATCCTCGTGGACGGGCGTTTTCCATCTGCTTCCCTAGCCTGTAACACTGATTTTATGCATGCAACCTAAAGGTATGGGGTAACTCACTACGGCGTCAGGAAGGAGGATGTCATCGACAAATTTGCGCATCGCCTTTTGCAAATTTCTATGGCTCTATAACGAAGTCTTATTGGCAACTCTAGCCACTAGAACACCATATTACTTACCTCTTTATAATAGGGGCTGTAATATCCGTCAGAAAGCCACGTTGGCTCTCCGTAAGGTATCGTGCTCGGTTCACCACAAACACGGCCATATATAACACTCTCTTCGTCTGTCAGAATTCCTACCTGTAGGCGAGAGAACTGAGGGCGGAGGATAACTTCATGTCGGTGTAGACTATAAAATGCGTCCGTTGCATCTTGGCCAGCTATTGCGTAGATTGTGTATGTCGAGATGCGGGTAATTTAGTCAGAGGGTTAAACAGCGTACCGATTTCTGCCTCCAAGAACACAGCTTCGCCACCTGGATGAAGACTCTTAAACTTCGAGACGTCGTAGACTTTGGAATCGATGACTATCCACTAATGTATTTTTAAAAGATGAAGTTAGCCCTTTTCACGCTGTTGTATGTATGATTTCGCTGACAAGGTCAATGTTGCTGTTATGCTGAGAAAATGAGTCAGATAGAAAACGACCGATACAGTATTAGTTATACACGCCTTTGCAACTTCCTCACGTGTGTATCGCTTCATTTGCTTGTCGGCCATACCACCAGATTGCAGGATACAGATGATGATGAGAGCTGAACAGGATGCTTGTGCGCAAAGGCCGGAAACATATTATCTCCTGAACTTTGTTTCGGACATACCGGAACGAGACATTCTCAAAATTTCTATGCTGTACCATAAGGCTCCTGGGTAAAAGTAGCCATATGCTCTACAGAGCCCAAGCTTTTGCAGACGGCGGCTAAGTATAATGGGACGGGACCAAGAAACCACCGAGATGAAAGCACCGGCCGTCGATACACGTATCCTGAGTCCAACAGCCGCGGTAATCCAATCTGACTCGGAACTTCCCGTAGTACGAACGTTACTTTTATATTTTATTTCGATCTAGGAGCTTGGATCAGACCAATCCGTAATGTGGCCTGGGCCCCATGATGCTCGACATTTAAGATATTCATCCTGATTAAAACCTATCTCAACGTGTCCGATATTATTGCTTTGCGCAAGGTTCCACATCTTTCCACCAAAACTAAACTGAATTGATTATTCCATCAGACTTGTCGAACCCTCCATCGATTTAGCTATGAGCGAGGCATATGGCTTGACCAGTTACTCCACCTCCAGTCTTTCTTACCTCTCCCCAGCATAGTTCGTGATCTGAACGCCTTCTCCAATCTGGAAATAGAGCGAATCATACTCAGCGCCTTGGAGACAGAAGGTTCATGGCTATTACCCAGGAATGAACTATCGTTTTTTATATATCCAGACATACCCTCAGGCTATCTGGCGTTTTTCGCAATTCGTCTCCGACTCGTATCTTCTAACTGTGTATTCTGAGGGTCAAATGATATCGAAATAGAAAACCAGTGCCCATCTCGCCCAGTGAAAGCTGAGCGTCAGCCTGTCTTTTCCGTCAAATATTACTCCCAAACTCACGTGTCACGCATATCAATCCGAACAACTCCACGCTTCATATTGCCAGCAGTGCTTACAAAGTGTGAGTGTCGAATCCAGATATTTTGAATATAGAATGGCTATCGTGTTCGCTATAGCCTGTCGGCAGTTAGACTGCGATCCTATTTATCCTTCTAGATCTTGTCCCCTCACGCAATGAAGGCAGCATCATTTGAGCAGGTCACTATTCTGCCCTTCAATTATCCAATGGCCCCTCGAGATATCAATTCAGATTCGGAGCTCGTACTGTATTCGAGTAGAACAGGGATTCGTGTCGCCAACTGGAGCACAAAAAATTGCGTCACTGTTAGACCGCAGTGCGTACCACGTATCGATAATATCAAGTTCATTGTCAGCTGATTACCTTCTCGTCTGCACTAGTCTTCCAATGATATACTGAGGTTGTGCGGCCCCTACATCTTTTGCCTGACGACTCACTATATTGACATGTGCAACTATCCCTGTACTATTACTCATGAAGGGAGAACCGTGTCGGGAAAGTTCGTGAAACTTGCCACACACACCTCTATAACTTGTCCTCAACCAATTCCAGGTCAGGTGCCCTCACAGCTACAGATTTACCAGTTCTTTCTCAAAGTTCATGTTCGCGCCAGAGGGCTTTTTCTTGATTCAGTCACCTTTAATTCTTCTCTCCGAACGCTAAACGTCGACTGGGTGGAAACGCTAGCCATCGCTATGTACGAAGACACTCCTCCGTACGTGAATACCTACTTTTCATATGGCGTCAACCGATTATCATCATCCTTAGTTCATTGATGGCTAGTGTATAGATATATGTTCCGAAGGATGCCGCGGCGTTTGGCTCGAAATAATAGAACCAAGCGAGGAACGTTTGTTAATAGCTTATACAGCGAAAACGCCTGCAGTGCTATTGTAGGCGAGTATGCCGCCGGTTCGAGTTACCTTGAAGGAGATAGACAGACCGAAAGTGGTCACGCTCAGTTACCGTATCTCGATGGAAGGGTAGTGTTGGAAAGCCCGGGAGGTGCGAGGTCAGGCTACTTTACCAAATCAAACGTGCTGCGTAGTACTGACGCGAACTCATTGTGACAGAGAGCTACCACCTGTACACGCTGTCTGAAGCCACAGGAAGGATCGCCTACACCAATCCTTATCATATAATCTAAATGAAGATCTAAAAGCAAATATATTTTGTGAGCCATCCGTGGTATATGACGGGAACTACAACAACAAAAAGAGTACAAGACGGCTGATAAACAAGCAGTGGATACAGATGTGATACAGATGCAGCACTTTTGTGACGTTCCTTTGCGCGGCGGGATGATAGACAGGGCCCACTAGACGCGAGTACCATAAACATCTTGAGGTTGCACGCCAGCTTGGCCTTTTCGGATGTTAGCCTGAGCCCACCTGGAATAGTATTCGAGTAAGCTAATTATATCGTTTTCAGGAACTCGGACGAGACTCACTGTTTGATCCGGATGCTCTCGATTTGGATAAAACCGGTGGTATCTGTAGGTTCGAATCCACCAAGTTCATCCATAGATGATTGACGCTCATCATAGAGCCCCTAGGTATATCGAAATAAACTCAGCAGCTCAACAGCAACAGAATCAGCTGTATATCTTACCTCATCCGAGTAGCGTCCCTCAACAACCACGTTGCCTTTGTAGAGCTTGAGTCTAACGACGCCGTTTACTGTCCTCTGGCTAGCGGGGATGGCACTTGTTACAAATTCCCTTTCAGGAGTGAAAAAGTGGCCATTGTACAAGATCCTGCTGAATTCAACAGTGACGAATTGGTCACGCAGCGCGCGTACATTTCTGTCCAGGGTAAGCCCCTCGATATCCATGTGGGCTACACGCAAGATGGTTGCCCCAGGAGACTCGTAGCATCCACGGGACTTCACACCGATGAACCGATTTTCAACAATATCGATACGACCAATACCGTGTTTCCTGCCGAGTGTGTTGAGTGTAAGGAAGATGTCCACAGGATCTGTGATAGTTTTTTGATCCGATGTAACAACCTTGACTGGTAAGCCAGCCTTGAACTCAATAGAAATTTTTTCAGGGGTTGCAGGGGCGTCCTCCAAGGATTGAGTAAGTTTCCACATGTCTGTGGGTGGTGTGGTGTTGGGGTCCTCGAGAATTCCGGCCTCGTAGGAGATGTGGAAGAGATTCTCATCAGTCGACCATGGCTTGGCCGCAGTTTGCTGAACAGGAATCTGATTTTGTGCGGCGTAGGCAAGGAGAGCTTGCCGTCCGGCGAAACGGTGGTAGAACTCTGCACATGGAGGCGCCCATTGTGAGGAAATAAGTCAAACGCGATCGATGAGAGCTAACCTGGAATCCTCCAAGGGGCAATGACCTTGATGTCTGGTTTCAGACCATAAAATGCGAGTTCAAAGCGGACTTGGTCGTTTCCTTTTCCTGTGCATCCGTGTGCCACAAAGCTGGTCAATGATTTATCATGTAAGTCAACATTCTTTGGCGAGCGGATATCAAGCGGCTTACTCGCATCCCTCCTGATCGGCAATTGCAATCATTCCGCGAGCAATAACAGGTCGTGCAAGAGAAGTGCCGAGAAGATACACGTTCTATGAGCAAAGGGATCAGTTGACCAGCGATCACGCAACAGGCTGGCCTGATGACAAACTTCGTAAATACAGTTGGCCTGAACGGCAGGGTAGATCAAGTCGGTTACAAATTCACGCTTCAAGTCCTATAATGTCGGGGCGATGGTCAAATCACACATTTCAGAGAAAATGGTTCGACATTGCCCACCTCGAGGAAGAATTTTTTGGCGCCCACAGCAAGGGCTTTAACCCGGGCTGCCTCAAAGTCCTAGGAAGAAGTTTAGTTGCTTGGTCTTGTTTGATCGACGTGCAGAACGCACCTCTTCTTGACCAACATCAGCCATGAAGGCGTAGACCTCATATCCCTGCTCGATCAACCATGCTAGGATGCAAGATGTATCTGCCGTAGAGTTAGGGATAAAGTAAGGCCTCGGAGTGCGCTGACCACTCACCCAGCCCTCCAGAGTAAGCCAGAAGAACACGACCAGATTGCGAAGCCATAGTAGATGTATATGGAAGATGGAAAAGAAGAGAGGAATATCGATTGAATGTTGAAAATCAAAGGAGACTTTATATATCTATCGCATAGTCATTTTCTTTGGATCTAGATTATCTGTTCGTCCGAAAGGATGCCGTGGTCACGTGGTGGCTGTGTAGCGTGACCCACTTTTACCAATGCATGACTCACGGTCACGGAACGTGATTGCGGGGGGGACAAGGGGATTTCGCCTTTCTGACATCTCATCTGTTTCTGTGTGGGCAGTGTCTGTAGGCTATACCTCCCTTATCGTTCTCAACGCCGTCCCAGACAGCGGCAACGCAATAAACCAACGTTATATTCTGCATCAAGCTCCTCTAATATCATTGTAAGTGAGTGATACTAACTGTATATATGCCCTCGTCATGGAGGACTGATATCGGCTACATCCCACTCAAGCTGTACACACGTCATTACACGACCAACACCCCGATGAACAACCAAGAACCTCTCAACAATCGGCGCAATAACTTCCAGCGACGAGCGTTTATAATTCCCGCAGATACCCCTGCTAGTTCCATTAATGCTGGACGGCGAAGGAAATCGCTCTCTCCTGATACACGCAATGCATTACGGCTGGCTATGCCCCTGAAGGCCAATGATACAAGTGATGCACTTGGGGGAGCGAAGAAGAAAAGGCCTGCTCCGACCGTGCCTACCTCTAGAACTTCAACTTTTCCCGAAGGAGCTACATTTGAACGAGGACGCAAAGGAAAGGTCAAGTCCAGACCTCAGTCAAGATATGCGGTAGAAAACTCCAACGTTACTCAGATTTCTGTCTCAGAAACTCGCCACCCAAGCAAGAAAGAAAGATCCAAATCTCGTGACTCTTCTCATCCTCAAACTGTAAAACATTCGACTTACGAGATTGACGCCACCGACAATCAAAGCGACTCTCAGTTAGAGTCTAATGTGGTTATTGTAGAGTTAAGACGCTTAAGAGGGGAGGTCGAAAATTTAAGAAGGGTTTGTTTAGCAATTCTTATCTATCCCATAAATCCTAATAGTCTATGCAGCAAGCTCAAGAAACTAAGAAAACTATTAAAAAACAGAGCAAGGTAAGTCATGTTAAATACTAGGTGCCAACGTCATGATCTATTTACAATTACTACCAGGTTATCGATGAGCTACGACAAGAAATCACCTCAAATAGCAAGGTAGGTTTGGTATGTGTTAGCAAACTTCTGACACCGACTGACTTGGCATCCAGGATCTGAAGGAATCAGAGTTACAAGTCCAGAAATGGAAAAGCAAATCCAAAAAGTCAGAAGAGGTATGTAAATTACTTTCTTACATATATATAACGATTGTTCAGTAAATCACAGATTATCAACAATGTTGAGAGCAATGCGCAATGTCAGATATGCATGGAGCTCCTTTGTAAGCCCTTTGTGTGAGTGTGTCCCATTTTTTTTGTACATCTGCCATTTATACATCATATGGTAGTCTTTCTCCTTGTGGACACATCTTCTGTTTGGAGTGCCTCCAAGAATGGTTCCGCAAGGCTCCTCCAGACGATAACGACATGTATGACGACGACGACGACGATTATCACCTTTATCGACGTAAAACATGTCCATGTTGCCGCAAGGCCGTGCGTCACCGCCCTATCCCAGTCTTCGTCATCAAGTCCATCATTTCTGCACTCTCAAAAACAAAGGCATCTTCACCGTCCGCAGAATCTCCAAATCGTGCATCGCCAATAATTGAAGGTGACCCCTGGGACGGGCTGTTCCTTCCACTGTCTGAAGAAGATGACTATCAAGACGACGATGACGACGACGAGGATGACGACGAAGAGGATGGTGAAGACGACGAAGACGAAGATGATATCGAGTGGCTGATGGATGTTTTCAGTTACGGCAGTGATAGCGGTGATGAACCCTACGAGGGTGAATACGTATCACCGGATTGGGAGCCACCCACTGTTCAGGTTGATGCCGATGACTATCCGTTTAGCGATTTTGATGACATTGACCTCAACGTTCTGCGCCGGGGTGTAACCATCGACATGCTAGAAACTTACGCAGTGGAGTACAGCCACGATTTCGGATTGATTGCCTACCTTCAGGACGACAATCGCATCTTTCTCGGGTGGACTATCAAGCTTAGCGCTGACGACGATACCGGCGATGTTTACATTCAATGGTTGTTAGATGACATGGAAGAAAGGCCTGACAGATGGGAAATTATAGAGCAGGACGACGGGACTTGGGATGCCCATAGGCTTGTGCCAGCAGAGGATGTTATCGATCATGAGGACACCGACTCAGACAACTACATCGACAATGATGATCTCGATTAGGTTAAGGGTGTGGATGACGGCCAGTTTATTTTCAGTAAAGCACATCATGTACTTGTCTTCTTTTCTCTCTTAATGTTCCTTGTAGAAAGCCTGCTGTAGATTAATGTATTACGTATATTGTCTATACCCTACATGTACATATCTTCCATGTTGCAAAAATTTGTATTTTCTTTTTGTACAGCTATCCCATGTGAACTCGAGAAATATATATTGTTTGTTACATACATCATGTCGTGGTTACAATAATGGGATATCTATATGATATTTGAATTTGTCGTTATGCTAGAGATGCTGTACATGAGTACCATTTTGTTTCGAACTTTCCACCACTACTGGCTCATCACGGTGAGGCTTCTGAACCTCAGGTTCCAGATTGCGTAGGCGCATCTCCACTAGGAATTCCTTATCTCGTATTGACTGGGACCAAGACGACAAAAGCCGTACGGAGACCACGAGTGAGCGCGCCAAGCCTGCGACAGCGAATATTCCAGGGTAAACATGTAAGACTAGATAACGAGAACGTTCAACATCGAGCAGAAAACTCTCAGAATCAAAAGACTCACGCGTGAATTTGTTATCAATGGGCAAAGCCAAAAAGTGACGGGCAGCCCAAACCATTGCAGCAGGTAGAAGCACCATCCCAAGAAAGCCACCGGTTAGTGGCCCTATGACCTCCTTCGTTGCTGTTAGAGGATCTGGACGAGTCCACCCTTTGTGTGTGATCTGTGGGATTTTTATATCAATGCTGTTGTGCAACTTATACAAAAGATACCGCCTTACCGTGGCAAGTCCTCGCGTAATTTGATTCGGTGGTTGTACCCGACGAACACGAAGGCCAATCGTTCCGTAAACAAGACCAAGGGCCCATAGGTCAACGATCCGTAAGTGAGGCACCATTGCAGGATTGAGAGTTAGACGAATAGGGATGGTGATGTAAAGCTCGACTACCAATGCGAGAAGAACAGGTATTATAATACCCAAAAAGAGTATCATATACGATATCTTTGCAAACCAAAGGAAAGAGCGTTTCACGAAAAACACCGAAAACCGAGCTCTAGGTCCACCTCCGCTTCTCCTTTGGCGCCTTTTGTCCATGCGGTCTGTCGTTTTTGCAACTACATAACAACCCCACAGAAGGTAGAAGCCAGCGATAAAGGAGTAGCCATCGTGGATATCCTTTGCGACGAATAACTTGAAAAACTGCCTTCCCACCTGTATGGGAAGTGCGACCCCGGCGGAGACCAATACGGCAACGATGACCCATATGGCAAGGATGAAGTAGATAATTCTCGACCGGAAATTGGGTGGTATATAGACGATAGTGAAGTCAGTTTTGATGTCTCTCTTGGCTTTCTCAGCTTCGGCGTCCAGCGTAGCTATCAGCTGCCTTGCACCATCGTCTACAGGCTCACCATCTTCGTGCACCTGCGCAGTAGCCCGCATGTCCCTTGGAAGAGCAATATTATCCTTGGCCGGAACTCTGCGGAAGGTACCGTCCGATACATTCACCACATCGTCTTCGTCAGTTCCAGTACGCACGAAGAAGCCACTCCAAGTCTTGTATTTTACGGTAACTTCCTCCGAGGGATGTCGCTCTCCAAACATGTACGAAGTTAATCGTAACTCAGCAGCCAGAAACTTCCACACCAGAACTGCAGCTCGATGAAGAACCTTTCTTGGCCTAAAGTAATGTAGAGTGTATGGTAGGGCGAGGAGCAAAAAAAGAAGATCGACCGGTACGTCGGATAAGGGCTCTCTGAGAAGCTGGTCAGTCAGCTGAGTGCAATGCACTGTCTGTGGCTTACCGAGTTTTCCACCGTAGGGGGAAGATAGATTTGTTTCCGATGAACAGAAGCGTAGCGATGCTACCAACACCGCAGGCAACTACAACTGAATACATCACCGCGCTGACAAGAAGCTTCCGTAGCTGCGTTAGTGTTGGCCTGTCGAGAATATCACGGATAGGGTGGAAATTCTGGTCTTGAGGATCCTTAATGAACCACATGGCGCCAGGACGCATGATTGTCCGACATCCGGCGAGAAGAATGGCGAATTGATACCTGGAAAAAGAAATCAGGTATGACTACCAGGCGATGTACACACAACAGAACGAAACATACATGAACATGGTACCGGCTACCCAGTGATAAAACATTGCAGTTAATGGAGCTTGTGAGAAAAAGGCAGCACGAGATTCCAGACTTGCTTCCGGGAAGACCCACACGGTGCAAGCATCCAGCATGGTTCCACATCCCAGAGGGAATACGACTAGCTCAATCACAATAAATGTAGCTACCTACGGAAAATCAGCATCAAAACTGTGATGACCACAAAATACATGCCTTCACTACGAGCAGCTGCTGCCTAATAGCGCCCCTCACAGCTCTCCCAGCAGTTCTAGCATTTCCAACCGTAAGAACGTTCAAGTACAAGGCCAGAACCAACGCAACTACGCCATAGCCGAGAACGACAGCGAAGATCCTTTCCTTCGTGCCGTGACCTAACGCTAACCGTATCCATGTCTCCTGTAACCGCTCTATTGCGTTTCTCACTTGGAAGCCCAGAGTGGCGAAATGAGGTTCAGCCAAGCGTATCACTTGCCAGTCACTTTCTAGAATCTTCTCGATACCTCGCGTCGCACTTGCTCCCGAAGGAGTAGATGGCCACTGAGCTGCAGCTTTATCCAGCAGGTGGCTGGCTGCTTCCAGATACCGCGACTGCGTGGCGATATATATCAGTAAGTCACGTAGAACTTCATGAATATTTGCTTACAGTCATTGAGGTAAGATCAGCTTCCCAGGCAGCTGCTTTCTCTCCCAGAACTTGTTCGGTGAGCGCCCAAAATATATAATGTGAAAAACTGAATAAAGCTTGAAATGTGTGCACGATGTAAGGAAACACGATTCTGCCGAGAAAAAGTGTGACTAGATCAACGATTGGATCTGTGATGAACCTCATAGCTCGTATTGGTAGGTGTAGAATGTGAAGGGAACGTTGGGGATTCAACTACGAAGGTGATTAGTACATGGAAACAAATAAGTACAAGGCGCAGACAGACCGATAACAGTGCCGTAGATTTTCCAAACAGAAAAGGTAGGCCTACGCCAAATCCTATGGCGGTATCGAGGACAAAGATCATGAGAGTAGCCTTTTCAAGAACTCAATGCAATATACTCAAATATCGGCGGGAATTCTTACATTTTGAATCACTCCAAATATGGGGCCTCTCAAACCGATTGCTAAATCAGCAAAAAATCAGACAAAGATATGCTTGTTCCTTTGATGTATGCGTACCTTCCAAAGCCCCTTCCATGTCATCCTCTACGTTGCCGTCCATTTCGTCAAGAGCTTCAGCAAACTGTTCCAGGGCGATCGGTTGCTGCGGCTGGTTTATGTTAAGGGCATTGATGTTAAGAGCATCTCGGATTTCGCCTACTCCTTGCTGTTCCAACTCAACCTCGACCTCCCAATCGGAGTCTTCATCTGTCTCGTCCTCTTCCGCTTCTTCGGCCTCTCCCTCTTCATATTCTTCCTCCTCCTCTTCCTCTTCACTCTCTTGGGTTGGACGCTGTTCCGCATCGTCTCTCTTCTCGATACCATCGTTATCCGCCTGTACTTCCTGAAAATAGCGATCATACTCTTCAAGATCTTCTTGTGGACGCTTTCTTTGCTCAAAGTAGTTTGTTGAACTCGATGAAGGACCAGGTTCTAGATCTTCTGGCGCGCGATAACTAACCAAGCCAGGAGAAACCAAAGGAGCATTCGAGCCTAGTGTTGAAAGGCTTGTTGATGAGACTAGGCCTTCTGGGGGGGGAAACGTTGCGCTTGGTAGAGGAGGTCGCCGAAGAGGTGTAGCATTGATATCAGATATAGATGATGTCGTCGACGATGTGCTAGAAGTAGATGATGACTCAGCTGTAGGGGAACCGCTGACAGTAGTAGGTTGTAAAGAGCTTGAAGATAACAGTTCGTAGGAGGAAGAGAGAGCACTAAGTTGCGAAGATGACATATGCGTTTTGTTGCGGAGAGAAATATCGTCGCCGTTCTCTGAATCAGATGCTGGGAAACCTGTGAAAACTTCTTCAAGACCATCGCTGATATCCCCCTGTTGAAGTTGAGCAAAGGGAGGGGGTCTGAACGTGAATTGAAACTGATTGGCATTGGCATTGGCGTTCTCCTCGACACTAGGGTTCGCAGCCAAAACTGCAGGTCGTGAGACTTCGCCTTGGTAAGTACTTTCAATATCTCTGTGGTGATGGTGCGTGGATAAATGATCCTCCGAGTCTGATGATGTAGAGACGTTTGATTGCAGATCGGGATCCGTCAAAAGTCTTCTACGTGCACGAGCGGGCATCCGCACGCCAGGTGGAAGTTCATCGTCATCCTCTTGTGCTCTCGCCTTGCCCTTCCTTCGCCAAACATTGGTCGTATCTCTAAAACCCTCCTGAACATCCACAACATCATGCTCCATTACTCGACGGTGCCTTCGCATTTCGTCTACAGCCGCAACACGATCCTCATCCTCCACATCTGTGCCTTCAGGTCTCCATCCAGGAGGCCTGAATGGGAAAGGATTATTTCGACGAGCCCGTAAAAGCCTTGCCTGGTTCCGCCGAAGATCTGCTATATGTGCATGGTCAATGCCTCTTATAACAAGTGGATCGTTTTGTAAAGCCGGGGGAGGATCGGGAAGATTCACCGGCACCTGTCGTGGCTCGACAATGGGTGCTCGCTGTAGGGGTGCCTGGGGTGGTTGTTCCCTAACCTCGGGAACGACCTCGTCATCTTCAAAGACGCCTGGCCGTGCATTCTGGGATATCCATTCCCGAAGAAGAAATACAGCAACGAAGACGAGAACAATCAGCGATGCTATAATTTGGCCTGCAAAGATGTCATTTGAAAGGGTGCGCCAGAAAGGACGTGTCATCATCTGTACAAATAGAGGTTGATACTCGAAAGTCGTGATTGTATCATTCGTGTGTGTGTTGTTATTGTCATAAATGCCCGTGTCATATTGTGGATCGCTGGAGGGACGTGGGCTACCGCTTATCCACCATGCTCTGGGGGGGAAGAAATAACAAAGATAAATATGAGAGACAGAAGGAAGACGACAAAGACATACACTGATTCTCCGACCGTGAAATATACTCTCCATGTCCAAATCGTAATCCAAGGTAAAACAGCAAGCCACATTACCCCAATCAGCACAGTTCTCACTCCAAAGAGAAGCGCAAATAGAAGTTGTTGAGCCAAACGTCGCATAAAAAGCAATGGGGGAAGAGTAGCAGGCATATCGGATGCATATACTGAATATCTGGACATGAGGACTGGAGCACACGCCTACCGAGGGTTGTCACTCACCTTTGGTAAACGAGTATGGATGCTTGCAGACATCGCAAGTCTTCTTCTTGCTATGAGCCAGCCAAGTTGTCAAGCTTTGAAAGGTTTGAGTAAATGTGAAAGTCCTCTGACAAAAGGTGGAGATAGTTACCAGTCTTGGTGAATGTACCGAATGGTACCCGAACATTTGCAAGGATAGAACAGGGGTTGGTCAGACTCCCCTGGTGCACTGCATATACGACATGTATCTAGCCACGCATTTGAGTGTTTACGAAGGGTCGAAGCTGGAAAATGAACATGCGTACCCTGTTCCTCAGCTTCCTGCATTGGTCAAAGGGCCGCACACACGGAGATATTATAAAGCTGCCTCAATGTTGTTTGCAAGGCGAGGCTAATGAAAGCCTGATTGATTTTCGTTTGAAATACTTGGCGCAGGTTGTAGTAAGGAACTGAAGAGTGCGCAAGAGAAAATTGCGAGCTTTACCGACTCGACAGCAGCTTCGATGAGAATTGAAAGCACGCTCTCTCCGGTAACATAACAGCGCCACCCAAATTGGGCACAAAGCACGGACAAACACAGCTCCAGTGAATTGCCACCAAGCGCCAAGGTACTGAAAGACCACGTCATACCAGTACAATAACACAAGATCAGAGAAAGAACAGAATCCTTGTATTTCATGCGTAGTAAAACAAATATGTTACACAGTACATTGCGTCTCACGCAGCCCTTGCCAGCGTAGTCTTTCATTGCGTAGAGTTAAAAACAGGGAACTCTCCGATACGGAGTTTGGTCGCCTGTGTGCCTGTTTAAATCACGTCTAGGATGCCAAAGTTGAATGCACTTACCCCAAAAGGCCACAGGGTTATGTTAGTAGGAGCACCAGTGCAAGATGGGGACACAGGGGGCGAATCCGCAAAAGTATCACCAGCGAGACCCCATGCGACGGGACAGGCAGTAACAGTGATGGTCAATGGAGGCAGTCCAGCGTCAAAAATGGGAGATGGAAGCTCGCCGGAGGAAGGCGGGTTGCTGTTGAACGTCAACGTAGAGGGGTCGATGGCGTATTGCCATGCTTCCGTAGCTAGGTATTGCAAATCAACGGCGAGAGGCTGTTGAGCATTTTGCGCAAGAATAGTCTGGTTCCTAGATATGTCGAATGCATAGTGTAACGGGCCACGGTGAACGGCGATAGAACTTTCAGGCCTATTTTCTGAAGTTTTCGAAGGACAAGATGTCAGAGTTCGCTTCAGCAGAAAATGAACTTCGTAGCGAACATACCAAGAGTTATCTCCGCTGGAACGTTGAGCACTATCGTCGTGGTACCGGCACCAATGGATACGCTTTGCAACCCATTTGAGGGATTCACAGCTTGTGCAGCCCCTCCATTAATTGCGATAGTTCCTCCGCTAACCCAGCTCGGGATACGAACATAGTATGTGAACGCCGAAGTTGCTGTGATGGTGGTAGTGAGGGTGTCACTGAAAGGGTACAATGTATCTACATTAACAGTAACAGCGTTGTCTATTCAAGGAGATCAGTACTAGTGTCACGGCAACGAAGCACGAACATCACGAACTATTCGCTAGTGTCGTGGATGTATTGAGAGGACCCAAGTAAACATGGACGAGGGAGGATTGATCGGGCGTGGTGACGAACGAGTTGGTGACGAACTTCGGCCAACCTTGTGGATGGTTGACAGTACAACAGCTATTAGACGATCAAAAAATCTAATAAGATACGTTTGGGTAAGAAACAGGACCGTCACTCACGGGTAATTTGGTTCCAGTCCAAAGACATTAGAATAGGCACTAATGGAGGTTTAAAAGCATCAGTATGCGGTCTATCACTTGAAGGAGATACTGCACCCGTCTGTTGGGAATGGGTCCCTGTGGGTAAATGGTCTAAGCCAGTGATTAGAAACCAAGAAGGATTTCTTACGGGTTCATGTTCATAGCGGCAACCTGGTTTTGCTGTTGCAAATATTGACGAGACCACATATCTATGCCGCATTTAGTAAATAAAGCCCCCGAAGGAAATGAGGCGGTGCACATACTTCCGGTCAAAGTAGCAGGAAGTGAATTGTAAGCTATCCTCTCCACTCTGTCTGCGAACTTGGTATCTCCGATCATTTGAAACAGATATGAGCCGCTGTAAAAAAATAGAGCTATCAAGCGATGTACGAAGCAACCGTGTAATGTAGACGTACGAGTACATAGTTTCCTATATAAAAGGGGTCGGTTAGATTGACAGCAGTCAACTTATGACAGAGAACAACGTACCACAACATCGCAGAGCTCGGTTCTAGCATTTGGCGAAGAGATCATGACTTTTGTTTCTCGCGGTAAAGTAAGATGTCCTCACCCTCTAATAGCTTGTAGACCAGCAAGGTACTCGTCTGCGGCAAAAATTCCAGAAGGACGGCCGTGGTACTCGAATAAAAGGTCCCATCCTGAACTTGCCCGTTCCAAATCTATCACAGTTTGGCCCGTATGTCAGCGTATGGCCCGTATATCAGCGACAAACTATTTTAGCGCAAAAAAAACGAACCTGACTGATTGTGAGTAAAACGGTATTGAACAGCGGTAGCCTTTAGCCCTTCGGCGACATTGACTCCATGCCAGGTCAACGTGTTGTTGAATGGATTGACAAGGTTTTCAGTAGCTGTGGTAGGAAAGTACTATATAAACAAAGAGTTAGTGAAATAAATTACAGAACAAGAACAAGAGCGTCACCTGCTTATCAAAGACATCTTGCCAGGAGACACCACTGTTTCTCAACATTTCCATAGTGTTAATGAGGAGGTTTTCGTTTCCATTCGGGTAAAAGTCGTATAGCCTAGAAACAAAAATTAGCCAAACCGTGGGTGTATGTGTGAATGACCTGAGACTACCATTGCAGGATAATGCAGAAATCCTCCCATCGTGTCTCAGTCCAAGGCTCTAATCCCTGACCACTCTGCAGCATTGTGTTGGCTAAGTTAACGAACTTGTAAATAGCGGGAATGAGGGTTTCGGAAAGTGTTGAGTTATACTCGATCATCTGGATAACGCCAAAAAGGAAGGGGTACCTGTAGGTAATCAAGGTACCTAAGGGAGCTAAACTTGTTGAAGGATGTCTCTACTGACCTGCCCCAGAGATAACGAGGTTTGGTCGAATCAAACACTTCTGGTCCAATCCAACCAGTTGAATCTTGGTTCGCGAAAACATAATCCAAGAAATATTGCGTCTGCGATTGAATGGTCGTATCATTGACTATTACACCGTTGGGAACTAAACCATTCTGAAGGTCTGTTTAGGACCAGCATTCAAATCCACAAGGAAAAGACTCACAAACCAGTAGCTCCCAGCTATGCGGATGTGAAACGATTTATGCAAAGAAAGACCAATGTATTAGATAAAGTACACACCTTCCTCGAGGTTCGAATACGTATAGTTTCCTCCTGTCCAGTCACTCTGAGCCACACTGAATAGAACGTTTGTCAAAATACTGCTGCGATATATCGTGATATACGATGCACTAATCATAGAAATTTCGTTCGTTTCCAGCGAGACCATTGGTCTGGACCATCAGCTACATACATGGTAGATCAGCAAATCATCCCTGAGTGTCACTTTATCAAAACTACCTGGTCATACAGCCATCCGGAGGGCTTGATAGCTCCGAGAGGTAGGTATAGGTATTGTTTAGGAGAAACTTGAGATGAAATAAAGATTTAACTCAAAAAATGATACTGAAATAAGGTGTACTCACGTCCAGTGGTATTTTGGGCCAACACCCCCACTATACCTAGCAGAGGAAACAGGGAAAGTAGGCGGATCATCATGGTGAAGGTACGAGAAAGGTGGGAGAATTTCATCTCTTGCAGAAATCTTTTATAGTGCAATGGATCTGCGCCATTCGCAGCTCACCCCGTGACATAGGCACTACGCTCGATCACCTTCGGTCCACCACGGTCCCCCGGGTGAAGGAAGAAAGGGAGATAATCGTCACCATTAAGGTAAGCGAAAGTTTGAAACCATTCAAATCACAGTCGTTTTTGGAATGCTGGCTTTCTTTGGTAAAGTATCCTGATGTACGGGTATCTGGGTTGTGCTATACTTGTACTGTTTGCAAGTAAGTCCTCAAACACGGAGGTCTCACGTGGGCTCGGGATCTATATATATATCATCTGACCGAATCACCACAAGCCACCTAGCATCAGCGGGTACATGACGAGTATGAGCGAGCTCACCTGCAACGGAAAACGAGGCCCCCTTCATGCTTCCTTGAGCAATGTTCTAACATGTTTCCGGTTACACGGTGTAAAATTCACATGCACGAGGGAATGTAACGGCACATATGGACCGTAATCAAGCCCGGAGCGACAGGGGAATCCCGTGCCCAGAGAACTTGGTGATTGGCGCTTTATGCAGACGATGAATTGTAGCAAGGCGACAGAGACTAGGATACGAAGCCAAATGAAACAGGATGATCGAATTGCGATAGAGTACTCACTGATTGATATGCAAGGCTTATCTTTTTGTACAGGGAGGTGATAAACATATATTCACGAACAGTGAGAAACTAAAAGTCAGCGGGAAGGTACAGATGAACTGCTTTCAAGTCCTGTCGACTCGAAGTGCGAGGTCAAATATATTCAGTCGGTCGGATTTGAGATCATTGATTGTCGGAAAGCTTGATAACACATGATGGTAATGTAAATCCCGTTCAGTAAACGTCTCACGGCCCAGAATCCTGTTAGGTACAACTCCGCGAGCGAATATTATCAACTGGCTGGAAAATACAGGTTTAACGCACCAACGTTTCCCATGGTGCCAATCATGATGTAAGAAAAATTCTGTCTACTTGACTTTCCCATGAATTTCCACACACGGAGCATTACTACATGTCTTTGTCTATTGCAAGCCGGTGATCATCGGTGTCCCAGAAGGCACTCCAGCTGCACTGGAATGATGAAATACCGTGGCAAAGAAACAGATGAGCGCATTATCTCCATGAATGTCCACGGTATGCACAAGAGGAAGAACAGGGTGTCTTGTGAGAAAAGATTGTCATCGGAAAATGCCCATAGGAATTCTGTGGAAGACACTGCCACAAAGTTAGACTATCGCTAAGCCGGAAATGGATTGGCAGGAATGAATAGATACCTCAGTAAAGCTTTTGACTTTGTCAGTCAGTATGCGAATTTCATTATATATCCGGAGCCGGCGTGGATGGCATGGTTGGGAACGGAGAGTGCACAGGATTTTCACCCTTTTTGGATGCGAACCTCAACGGGGAACTTGTTCGAGCGGCATGAAACGAAAGCTTTACGAATAGCAGTACATTAGCGAAACGACCTCCTAAAGGAATGAATTAGAACTATCATGTTTGCCCAGTCCAAGCTTACGACCATTGAAGTAATGCTCAAGGAAAGTGCTCGCAGCAGATCGTCTTGGTATAGATATACAAGCGAAGAATAAATCATTAAATAATCACTCACCGACTACGGATCGTCCTACTTATCGTGTACAGCTAGCTGCACAGCTCTACGTGCCAAGAATGTAAACTTGGAACCGAAGTAGTCGATAGGTCCGGGTACAAGAACTTGAGAAAAAGAAACTCGTAGGTTTCATCAGCATCCATGGCGACCACTCGACGTGAGGAACTTCATGATCAAGCTCACTTGGCGGCGATGCACATACAGGACATTCCCCTTCAGCGTGCATCAAGCTTCAAGTTCGTCTAACCACGTTCGGAAAGCGGAATCGTGCAAGTTGGCTTACATTTACGGGCTGGAACAGCATGGCACCTTGCAAAAAGTTGCTGTCTCCATGAGAACTTGTCAATAGATAGACATTTCACAGTTCCTGACGTGTCACCAAATGGAATGAGTTCGAAACAGTTAAGGTGACGCCTGACTGCTGACAAAAGCGCTGAGAATGTATCAAATACAAATGGACTAGTAAGGATGCCCACCGTGAATTGATCTCATAGATGACATCGGACAAAGGGACACGACATGGGGATTTCGGCAGCGCACCGCTCCACCTACTGACACGATCATATTGCATGATAGATGGCAAACTCTCAAAGACTTGGATGCTGAAAGGAAGGGTCCAACATGTCTTGGGATATGTTTGTTTCACCGTTGTATCCAGTAGCGGAATTAACGGCAATCATATGCGACATAGAAAGGAGACTAGGGCCTTAGAGGCTATACTGTCCTAAGGGCTTGTCAGATAAGATCGGTCCTTGCCAACCGGACCTTTTACGGGGTCAGGGAATAGCACTTTCTACGAACGATGGATGCCACGGACCTGATCATCGTTCGAGACGCCCATGTCTACACAGACAATCTCGCCTGACTATGCTAAGGTTAACGGAGTGTTGCTTGTGCCAAGAGGCAAAAGTCTCATGCTAAATGTGAGTTCTGCATGTGTAAGGGCACAGGAATGTTCTGTTCCATATGGGATACGATTCCGAAAGCATCCCTTTTGAACCCACCGGGCCAGCGTGAATACACAACTTAATAGAAGTCTGTCAGAGAAGGCACCTCAATGTTTCAAACTCCGCGATACCGTGATAACCTAATCTGGCATTGACGCCCGCACAGCCGTGTTCCGAGTCCGAGTCACTCTTGGGTCTAAGCTTGACAGCTTCCCTTTCGTTCGAATTCCTTGGCTACTGGTTTGAGCAGCGCCCTAGTAAGCACAAGCTCAGGCTCTTCAAGAATAACTTTTTGCTTCTCCTGGGAACTCTGCTAGCCCAGCATCGCATGTAACTGTCTTCTCTCAGTGGCAGCAAGTTTAGCACCATCGTATCAAGAAGGCTCTGTTACCACTTGCAACGGTGCCAACCGTGAGGACAGGTTTTATTTTGCACCCTTGCTATATCTATCTACGTTAAACTCTGCTTTCACAGCATGACTGTGCGTTGCCCTGTGTGAATTTTCTTCTGGCTCATCTATACATGCCATCGGCAGGATCTCACCTTTTGTTACTTGCACATGACAAGTCATGATCTCAGAGTTCTTGATACCCTTGATACGAATGAATATATTTCCGGCGAATTATCAGACGATGGTAAGCTCCGGGCAATGTATACTAGCAGGAGACGCTCAGTAGCTAGGATGGCAGATCTTGACATTCCACCGCACATGATACCTCCAAATCCTGACGACAGTGACAGTTTGTGACCTCTCATTCCGAGCATTTGGAGTCGGAACTCAAATAGCCCCTAGTTTTACCATCGCAAGTGCACCCGTCGTATCCATATGGTAATCCAACAAATATCAAACATCCAGCGGCAAGGCCGCGACCGCCATATGATCCAACTTCTCGAGCTCTATTTGAAGACATGGGCTATGGCGGCGGCGGTGTAAACGGCGCATTGAGATGGCGTGATCTCGCTCTGGACCGATTGCTCCCCGTTGACGAGGACAAAGAAGAGATGAAAAGGGCTGCGGAAGCTCGGAAAATGGCAAACGGAGCAACCAGTCAACCGGCACCGCAGCATCCACCTCAGCCACAAATGCCACAGGATCGGACTATAGACGAGGAAGACGACGAGGATGAGGAAGAAGAAGAAGATGAGGACAATGAGCGTGGCGAGATTGATGAGGACGAGGAAGGTGAGGGCGAATATGAAGAAGACGATGTGTAGTGCACGTTTTATATATATTGCACCAAGGAGTAATGTACTACTATGCCCTTGCACTGATCGCGGCAACTAGGGCATCGCTCATGTCCTCTTGCAGAATGTCTTTTGTATCCCCTTCTTGTTCGATGACCCATTCATAAGCCTCCAAAAGTAGCATGTCAGTCAAAGGCACAAAGTAGTCTGCAAGGACCCGTATGATATTGCTAACACGGGATATAGCCATGCGCGTGGCATCGTCGATGTCCTGTTAAAAGAAGTTAATTGTCTAACTGTCTTTATGTAGAAAAGATACCTACATCATTTTTGTTGGAATACACCGCCTCGGCGTCAAGTCCCTGTTCTCCTTGGTCAATATCTTTCACATGTTTACTCACCCATATGTAACCGTTTAATCCCAAGATCAGGTCAACACCGCAGGGTAAGCTGATGAAGTGCGACTTCAGACGTCGAACCAAGATTGGTGGGACTATTATTAACTGGCCGTTCCGCAGCTATGAGTTGCGTAGTAGTGAAACTAGAAGTTAGCTAAGCGGAGGATGCATAAACACCTTGCCATATTTCAAAGATCTCGTGTGCAAGGACATTGCTCCATCGGAGAAAAAAGCTTGGACTTCGGCAACCAATAGATCACCTTCTTCAAAGAAGTTTCGCATTTGAAGTTCATCGCTTTCGAGTTTCCGGCGCTGGATCAGATGCTATCGGCGAAACGTCATGAATAAGTTGAATCAGTAACGAACCTGTACCCCTCCGGGTAAATTAACTGAAGATAACATGAGGATAGCATCTTGACGCGAGTGTGCGTCTACTTTCCATCTACGTGGTTGTACTTCCGTTATTCGACCGACGACAAGATCGCCAACTTCGGGGTTATATCTATATGGTTGATTAGTGGAAAGGAGAGTGGATATATCAAAATTAAAGGAACTCCCCTTGAACGGATCGCACGGACTGTCACAAGTTTATTGACCCGCTCGATGGTACCCGCTACGGAAGCAATGACTTCGTCTTGATCTACATACGTCCCATGCCCGCTGGAACACGGGCTGAGGAGGTAACCACGGAGATTTCATGAATCTAACTCACCGCATGAAGGTCTGTGATGAAGTGATGAATTCGCCTGGGCATGTCAACCTCGACCCCCCCAAGTCATCATCCAAGTCCATCAATGAGTCATGTTCGACGTCTGGGTGGTGTCGTGTGGAGCCATAGTGATTAGCGTCTGTTGGTTGAGAAAATGATATGAAAGAAAGCATTATTGTGTTTTCCAACTTGAAAGAACTGGAAAAGATCAGTGGCATTCGTAATGTACGTAATCTCGGCAGGTCCAGCTATCCAATCGGAGACTGAACCAGGTTTTTACACTGCTTCCAAGGCGCTAACCCGACCAAATATATAAATACGTACTATAATACGATGGTGCCAAACGCCATCCTCGACAAGGAACATATCGAAGCAGGCCCATCAGGAAGTTCACAAGTTCACAGGCCTGTTGTAGTACAGCTTATCAGGGGTTTCCTGTCATGTGCTTACTAGGAGCTGCTCCATTTCCTGTTCTGTTGGCTGTGATTCAGATGTGAATGTAGCAGGTGGTCCTTGCTGACCTATCTGAAAACCAGATCATTCAATATTGAGATCACGCTCTTTGTATGATCTTCAGCTGAACTAGTGCCGCTGATCAATCACTTATCTAGATCTAACGCGTGGATCTTCTCCTTGAAGTCCGGCAAAAGTACTTACACAACGCGAATGACAGTAACTGAAGGCGAGACATAGGGCAAAGGTTCCACGAGTGCTCGGCGTCGCCGTTCTCCGCACCAGCTTCAAGTTGAAATTCAGACTAGACCGTTCTCCAGTTTAGGGTGGGCGGGTCCTGTTTTTACCAGACCGCAGCATCAAGTTGTCAAGACATCGAATAGTATGCCTTACGTCTGTTTATCATATGACATCTAACGTCGCATCAAATGATGCGACAATGAACAGCGGGATCTCGGGCGGCGACCTCGTTTAACTTCAAGATATGATGCACTCAAAACTCCAAATGTAGCCATGCCAGTCAAACTTCTGGTATCTTCTAAATACAGAGCTCTATTGTGGAGAGAAAATACTATGGGACTTGTGCTAACATACTTATCACCGAAACCACTATATACAAGAGTGGCGAAAAAAAAGCAAAGCTACAGCGACGACAATGTAAATGATAATATACTAGTCTATGACTGCAGGTAAAAATGAGATCATACTACCCGGTGATGCGGAGAAGAGTACTCACATAATACTATGTTTAAGACTCCACATAATAAATAATTTACTTGTAAGCCAGGAAATATGCCGATAGTGCAGGCAAATCATTTGAACCCGCATCTGAGTAGCCTTGCCTCCTGGATCCATTGAATTTGAGGACGACAACTGTGCCGCACCAAGGCTTTGCAGCAGCGCCAGAAGTTATGTGATAAATTGCGCGATTGACAGGTGCGCATCGAGATAGCGCTGTTGGAGAGTACCACAGATGGAGCGGGAACCTTAATGGTTCACCATTAAGACCTTGCGTTAGAACAATGCTCTCAGTTTGACCGTCAGCGAAGTGTCCATTGACGAGTGGCATTGGGCACATCCCGTGAGATGGGATTTGAGATGGTCTGCATTTCACCGTGATGATTCTTGGTCGTTCTGGTATACGTGTTAAATTCGGACAGTATTGAGTAGAGCAAAAAAAACTCACCCTCTTCAGGAGCGAAAAGTATCGCAGATACCATAATCAACTGCTGCTCAGCAGGCGGCGGGGTGGCAATAATATTATAATTTTGACTAGTGTGCGCCGCCGGTATACACTCCTTACGATGTCGAGGCCAATCCTGCACAGCGTCATGAGTCAGGTACGACGAACGAAATGAGGCTAGCGTACATTTTGAAGGTGTTCTGGAGAGCAATACCACGCGCTCTGACAGCGGCTACACCACATGGAAGTAGGCCTACAGCACAATGTGCATGGATGATTAATGAGAGGGACAGGGTTCATGTCGTAGGTGAAGTGAGTGAAGAGTGAATTATAGGAGAAGCTCTGAAGAGGTCTGCGCTGGAGATATGTGAAGGAATATCGGGTGAACCACCTGGGCCTTTAATAGTATCGTGAAAGAGCGGATTTGTCCGCGATTTTGTCAAAAAGACTGGTTGCATGGAACCTTGCGAACAGGGAATAAACAAGTCAGTGTGTGAGAAGACCTGCCAGGCTTTGGTTCGTCGGGCATATTTTGATTGTTAAAGTTTGCAAACAAATCTCGATCCCCGTTGTCGAAGAGGCAGTGTATGAAATCATGTTTCACCAGGCACCTCAGGCTCCGACGTGGCATTCAATAGCCCGTGGGGATGGCAAAAGGTTCTAGGTGAGTCAATCGGGATCAAAAAATGACGCGTACTTATGGTCCATATCAAAACAGCGTTGGACCAAAGCGATCACAAAATCAAATGCCCCAAAGGAGACAAGCGTCCATTCTGACTTGTCTGCAGGTTGATCGTTGGGAACGACAAAAGAAGGACGAGTCAGCACAGAAAAGAGGACGGCCTTTGCCAGTGCATGGGCGGCGGCAAACCTGTACGAACGTGATCTGTTTACTGGCCTGACAAGGGTATTATTACTAGACGTCTTGCATAAATGCCGACAACTGACAGTCAGCACATGTACAAATGTATGATTCAATGGCCGGTGGTACGACGAAGCACTGGTGAAGTTCAAGTCAGTTTGCACCGCATATGGGTTGGTTGCTAACTGTGACGTGAATTTGACGCGAACCTCAGAACGTCTACTAATAGTAATGGTCTGATCCTTACTAGCGTGTGGCTCCGGAAGCGTGAGTTGGACAGGGGTCCCCAGGGCTGGTAGGACCCCAGAACCCCAATATTATATACTGTGGCCGTTGCCGTCGTATACTCCGCTGCAACGTAAGAATTCATCGTGCCGCAAACAGCCGAACCCAGGCTGACGATTTACTATCAATATTCAGTTGTCACATTGTCACACCATCGTGCTTGTAAGCTACCATGTCTGACGATGAAATGAATATCGATGAAGGTTGTTTTGAGCACACATCATTGTTGGAATATGTTCTGAAAGTTTCGCTATCACAGTTGCGACGGGCGGTGGAGCCGTGAGGCGCAGGGGCAGAGGTTTTCAAAGTGCTGCAGGTGAGTTTCTAGTGTTGGAAAATCTGCCTTATGGTTTACCCCTGCATTGTGCTTTTACTCCAGGCGGAAACGACCACACAGTCGTGACGGAACTGACTTACGACAGAGTGGAATCTTCTCATGTCAAGGACGATACGAGGGCGGCGCGTTGTAAGTAGAATACCGTGTCGCCATATGCTTCAGTGATGCTCTTGTGATTAACTGTTCTTCCCCTGCCTATTTTCGCAGCTGTTGAAGGCTGGATTGTTCTAGTCACTAACGTCCACGAGGAAGCAACGGAGGAAGATGTTACCGACAAGTTTGCTGAGTTCGGAGAGATCAAAAACTTGCACCTCAACCTCGACCGACGGACAGGTTATGTTAAGGTGAGTGAGCTATGATTTCAGGTGTTCGGAAATATCTGAAGCAGTGGACACCTTTCACAATAGGGCTATGCGTTGGTAGAGTACGAGACTATGTCAGAAGCACAGGCCGCCATCGATGGAGCGTCGGGGACTCCCCTACTAGAACAGGAAATCCAGTGCGATTACGCCTTCGTTCGACCTCCGCCATCTGGACCGAAAAAGGGCAGAGGAGCACGCGAGGGACGCGGACGTAGTGCAAGTCCGTCTCGCAGACGTGATAGGGACTGATGTCATGCTATTAGACTTGTGTATGTATAACTTCTCCGATAGGCTTAAAAAGTTTTCTTGTCAATTTTGCACAGTATGTAATCAAACCACAGCATCTGACGATCTGCAATGGTTTATGTCCAAGGCAACAGAGTTTTTTTTTCCCTTCGGCTGTGCTGTTTTTAGAGCTCGGAACCACCATACTAGTGAACTTGGGGCAGCGCAACTTGAAACCGCGGCGGGCAACTGCCAAAAAAATTGTTCTGCAACATGGATCGGCATGTGCACAATCCATAGCGCAGGTTACTTAGCAATATGGCATCTTCACGGCCTTTGTGTCGTCTCCAGTGTATAATTGTTTAGATTTCAAGCTGTCTATGCATAATATTTTGTATAGGATCAACAAAGGCGGTTATCCGGGCGGTGACCCGCGCAATCCACCGACAATAGCTTCGATGAAGTCGCCGAACGCTGAACTTGAACTCACCAGAGTGTTCCCACGGTTCGCTACCTCTTGCCATCAACGCGTCTGCCACCAGTTTGTGTATAATTTGCTTATAATCACGCAGAAATGCCTGCAGCCAGCGATGCCGTGACCTCTGATGGCGAAGGCGACAAAATCCACGCAGGCTCTACGAACAAAAAGTATTCAGCCAAAAAAAATCGTCGGGAATCCGCTGGGGCTGAAGAACAGGTGGAGGAGCAAGCGAACGATGAAGAAGAGGGCGACGAGGAGGAAGAGGAAGAAGAATTCGAGATTGAAGCCATTATTGAGGCGAAACGTGGTACTTTTGCCAACGTTCGTCCCTTCTCTGCTTTTCACTGCGTAGTTGCTGAAATCGGTATCTTGACGCGTTTAGGGCAGATATGGATATCTAGTCAAGTGGAAAAACTATGGGCCTGAGCATAACAGTTGGGTGGATGAACAAGATGCTGGGTACGCGCCTTTGAGCCACTTATTTCTTCGACGCTGATCGTTGGGCGTTAGAAACGCGGAAGATTTGATTGAAGAGTACTGGAGGAAACATAAAAAAGACAAGAAGGCACCCAGGAAATCCATAGAGAAGACGAGGCGGAAGTCATCTGTTCGAGATGACAGTGCGGAAACTGGTTCAGCCTCCAAGAAACGTGCGAGGTCTCAAAAATCCGCCAAGGAAGCGTCTGGCGATGAGGAGGAGGAGGAAGAGACTACCAGAGTCGCCAAAAAACCTCGTAAGAGCAACGGAACAACCAAGAAGGCGAAGAAAGAGACAGTCACTGGTGAAGATGCTGATGATATGGTTCTCGGTAACATGGGCAAATACATGCAAGCTCCAAACTGGGAACATCTCATCGAAACGGTGGATACCATTGAGCGGGACGATGAGTCAAATGAACTTTACGTCTACTTCACATTGTGAGTTCTCTGATTAGTCTCTCTTTAAGACCTTCGCTGATTATTTGTTCAGAAAAAAGGGTGGTGAACGCATTCGAGAGACTTCCAAACTCTGTGGGGAAAGGTTCCCTCAAAAGGTAAGTCGTACTTGAATATCTCAGGTCTCAGGCTGAGGTATGTTGTATCCCTTTCGCGTACAGTTACTTCGATTCTACGAATCAAATCTACGATGGAAAGCCGGGGACGACCGAAACCAATGACAGTAGCATCACTCCCCGTCATACTTACAATTTTCCTTTCTTGGCTATGTCTGTTTTCATAGTAATGTCACATATATGGTTTTCTGTGTATTTTCTTATGGATATACACGCGTTGTGTAACGTTCCCAGCGGTTTCTGTTCACGTGAACTCCACGTTTGCAGGGTCGGGTCTTTTTCTATTTTATGCAATTAGAATTATATCAAACTGTCCAAAATGTTTCGCAGATTTGTAGATTAGTAAGTTCAGGCATGATTTCATTGTCAAACCGGGGTTAGCCACGCGTGCGGAAGCGTTTCCTGATATGCAAGTGTTAACAAACCCACAGTAAGGCACTGTTCTGACTACATTACGAGATGCGGCAGGTTCATAAGATATAATGAACCCGTTATATTGGAGTATATTGGCAAGGCCAAGCTGTCTCGCACCGATGGATCGGCGCTTATCTGTGTGGTTTACCGACTTCAACAGTTGGACAGGTTGGATCAGCCAACCCTCGGCAAATGGTTACAGTCCCTCTCTAGAATAGGTATTATCTGGTAGCACTCATTACGTTTCTGAGGCCTGAGGCACGAATCGACGACAAACAGCGCTAAACGATCCAAGGTTTCAATGTCTTCGGCAATCCCTTGGTTTCGTTACAACTCACAGGTGCTTCACTGCGGACTTTTAGAGCTCCTACGTTGCCCATATGTGTGCAGATCATGTGGGGAATGTGTGTGAGTGCGTTCTCAGCTACCTAATTGTGTACTATTTCTAAAAGCACGGCTCGCACCAGCATTGCTATGATACATAACTTACTACATTTATTTCCCTTATAGGTCCGGGTTAATCGAGGTCGTGTGCATACCTGAAGGTTACATACAAATTGGAGATGAAACACAAGCTTATCATATCATCATCGTCAATGACGAAAGGCAGCGGGAGCTGAAGACAATCAGAAGAAGGACAACCGGCAGAATATGTCATCTCATTGTATATTCTCCTGGGAGTGAAAAAGGCGGTACTGGTGGTAAGAGCGAAGTGATTAGAATAAGGTCCTGAACCTGCAAGAGGATTTCCCAGCTCCATAGACTGTCAGGGGCAGGAGTCCTAAGATCAAGGGCCTTAAGAGAAACGTCAGTCTAACTCAGCCACAACAGACTAGACCTAGTATTTTTGTAACCCACGATGGGATCCAGAGTGGCTATCAAAGGAAAGGCTGCGGTCAATTCAGGTCTTTGATAATAGCATGGTGCTTATCATAGTGTATCATTGCAAGAAAAATAATAGCCAAACAAAACAAATGCATAATCATAGACCCTATACTTTATACCACCTCAACTCAGAGTTCCGTGCGATATTTGGTCGCATCAGGCTGTGAATGATCTTCGACCTCAACAACTTCCTCTGGTTCCATTTCCAAATCATCAGACGTGATCCGCAACTCCGTATCTTCCGGAGTCTCGACTTTACCTAGCGCTTCTAGTACTTCTTCCTTATTGCGGCCGATAACAGGGGGGATGTACTCCTCTGCGGCGGCTGGAATGGGAAGAATGGGTGCCCAAGGCGCCTCGGGCTCGCTAACAGGGGCCTTCTCTTCTTCCTTTTGGTAATTGCTGAAGGCGCGTTCTCCATCACGCTTAATCCGCCTCAGCCGTGTTTCAAAGCCGATGACAACGTCGTGGACTTCGGACTCAAGATCTTCCAAGATGGGAATCACCGGGTCGGCTGGTGCAGAAAGATCTCTCCCATTTTGAATAGAAAGAGCTTCTTGTTTAAACCTGTCACTAGCTGAAGAAGTGTGTGCAGTGAGCATCAGAGATAAGGTATCTAAAGTTGGAACGCTTACTCTCGATCAAGGCATGGTAACGCTGCCAATCGCCGTATGTCACATCGTCGAGCCACGCGTAATCTAGACCCAGATCAACTTGTCCCCTCTCAGCTATATCCTTGACAATTGCAGCAACTTGTTCCACCTGGAAATCAGCGCGGTCAATATCTTCAATACAAATGCAAAAACTAACGCATGCACCTGTTGTGTCTCTGAGTCAAGAATAGCACCATACCACCCGTTCACGACGCCCTCGGTCTCCTTCAACCTCTCGCCAAACTTGATGTCTACCTTATCAACTACGCGTTCCCAAAGGGCCACCTTCTCCTCGCGCTTTCTACCTTCTGAGTTCAGATTCTTGAGGTACACCTCTGCACCTCGAAGATACTTCTCCGCATCTGCTACAAGTCCGTCCACCGATGTTCTGATTTCTTGAGATGATTTCAGTTCCGCGGCAGCCTCTTTCCTGATACTTGCAAAGCGGTCCACTAGCTGTACTTTACCAGACTTGATCTCAGATGCAATCTGTTCCCACTGCGTGCGGGCTCTATGTCGCCGTTCCTAGCAATCTCCTCCACTTTCAAGCGGGAGCCTTTCGGCTTTCTCTCCTCAGTCTCCACTGGAGTGAGGGGCGCTGGCCCGGCTCGGAAGATTCTTGGAAATCAGGCTCTTCAAGGCCAAGTTCCGCATAGAAAGCATCCAGGTCAATGTCGTCGTCATCACTACGACCAGAACCCGTCAGAATGGGCTGAGCACCGTGGGTTGGCACAACGGAAGAAGCCGCAGTAGGGATAGAGGATGGGGTTGGGTGGAGAGACTCGGATATCACAGATGATGCGCTCTCCAGAATTTCGATGGAAATAGGTACTCCGCCCGACGGCTCAAGCAGCGAGGAAGCAGAAGCAATAGATGAGCTAAGGTCCCCAGAGAGAGAAGAGATAGCTGGAGGGACCACCGATGCAGATTGAACCGACTCAGAAAATGGGGGGGAAGTCGCTTCCGCTTCCGAAGAAAGTGTAGAAGTGGGGAGATCTGCGGAAAAGATCGTGGGTTCTGCGGCTTCTGTGGGATGAATAGCTTCATAAACGTTATCAGCATCCTTAGAACTAACTACGGTCTCGTTGGGGCTGTCAGATGATGTGGATGGGCTAGGCACTTCGGTAGGTGCCGCTGAAAAGTGTGTGGATTCGGCGATAGATGTGACATCCTCTGATACCAGGGAAGGAGGCGATGAATCAGTCTTTGAAGGAAAAGATGATTCCGGTTTCCTGTTGCTGAGCTCCTTGACCTTCTCCCATATCTTTGCTACGTGAGGGTCAACGAATTTCTGACGCTGCTCCTGCAAAAACAACAGGAACTGCTGGACAGCTGAACCAATCTGGCGACCAAGGGGGATGGCGTAAGGTCTAGCTGCCTGATAACCGGCGTGGGTTTTCGAAACGGCGAGAACAACGTAAGGCTGAGCCTTATGTGTCCATCGCTGAATGTTGTACGCGGCAAGCCTGGCGTGAGGCACAACGCGCTGCTCATAGGTTTGTTGAACGCGAGCACGGTAAGGGTCGATTTGAGTCTGTAAGGCTTCAATCCTTGGCACTACATATTTCTCCAATTGAGGTAAAACGTGTTTATTCCATTGTGGTATAACGCGTTTTTTCCACTGAGGAACTACGCGAGCATTCCACTCGGATTGCGTGCGTAGTAGGATGGGCGTTGTGACGCTGACCGCTTGGTGGACGTAAGGCGTTGCACGGTCGACATACGGAGCAATGGAGGGGTGGGCAAAAGCGGCCTGTATGGGAGGAAGAACGTATGGTTCCAAGACCAGACGCCTGTATAGATGTAAACCGCGACAGACAGGCGACTGCAGATCTGTGTCTTGAGGACAAACAGCGAGAGTGTAGATGGTAAGAGAGAGCGTTATTAGTTTTATGAGGAAGTCTAAGAATGCCTGAAAGTTGCTTTTGCGAGACTTCTTGAAACGACTATATTGAGCTATGAATCCCACAAATGACAAAAATTTTCGTCACCTTTGCAGCTTTCTTAGATTTATCCTTCTTTTTGGATTTCTTATTTGATGAATCATTCTGTAAAGTGCGATGAGTTCAAGTTGATATGAGTAACGGGGGTGGGGGAATGAAAGAACATATGCAGCATTTGTGGCATCGACAGCTCATCAACGCTCGCAAACAAAGAAGTGATCGAACACGCCAAGACACGTTGGGAAGGTGCAAGGCTCGCAAAGCTTCAGAATGGGTCTAGGCTACTCACAAAGTCATGTCCTGGGAATTGGAGCCCATTATTGGCTCCAGCTAGCGCTGCTCGTTGCTGCGAGATAGGACTTGATGGAGGGAGGTTTATAGTATCTGGTTCGACATGTGAGGCTCCTGACCTGGGAAGGGCTTGTGAGGAAGCCGTTCTTGATGCAGGTGCAGGGACCAGTGGAGTCCTGCGTGTTACGACCATGGTCGTAATGAAATATTGAGAATGTTTTTAAAGGCTTGTAGAGACAAGATTGTATATCGTCAGAAATGAAAGACCAGCGTTCGATAGCGTTATACGAAAATCAGCATGGAATTAAAACCAGCAGTCAAAGTTTATGTTTCTGTTGCGTTGGAGCCACACTGACGCGCCAGCGGTATTTGGCCATGTTTACCTGTAACCCCGTTACGTAATCACGATAAGCAGCTACTACCGCTTCGCAGAATTCCGAGTCGTGGGCCATCCTCAACTCTGACCACTCATTGTGCTTAGAACTGTTGGTCTCAAGTCTCGCTGCACGGTAAAGTGAAACTTTTCCATACATGCTAATAAACGGTCGAGATCGCAAGCCCGTCAGGGTTACTTATGCCCATAAACGCGGACGTGCTCTGGTTTTCGACCAGCTACCTTCATCGTCGTTGGAAAATCTCGATCCAGATATCAGCGATGTACCCAGGCGCGAAATGTCGCGCAGAATGTTAAAAAGGTCGCGTCGCGCTGCATTGGCTGAGCAAGTCCAAGACGGCACAGGGGATCCGAAGAAACACCAAGACAGGCTAGCAAAAAGAAGCAAGCATTCAGACACCAACATTATTGTCACGGAGGCAAATATCATAACGCACGATGTAGATTTTTCCCAATTTCAGACGCCCTTCCAATCTGCAGAATATGTGCACCCATCGGCGGTCACCAAAGCACTTGTTCCTGAGCAACTGTCTCCTGTTCCAGTAGCGAGGAAGATAATATCAAGAACAAGCTCTAGGAATCTCAAAGAGAACAGCCGGATGTCCCCATACCCTCTGGCATCTCCTTTTCATAGTCGCCCAGGATCACTCACGTCTTCTCCTAAAACTCGAGGAAAAGAGTCGAGAGCATCTCGCCATCCTCTGTTCATGAAGTCACGTACCCTATCCAGTGCATCCGTTGGAAAAGTCACGAACAACCAGTGGAAAGAAACTTCAGTTTCTCTGGGACCTAGTATGAAAAATTCTCCTGCTAAAAATTCTCTGCACCGTCGCCATCCCTCTGGCCCAACACCCTCATATATGCTGCGCTACGTTAGCCAAATGGAATGGATGGCACCTCCAAAGGCATTATCTCGCCCGAAAATTGCTCGTAGAGAATCTGCTGGTGCCTTCCCTGATTTGCCCTATGACTCTTCATTTTTCAGTGATGGCCCTCAATTCTACTCCACTCCTCACGCTCAACGCAAAGTTTCGGAAGGTAGCCGGGTCGGAAAACCTGAACCGCAGACACCGCTCAATACTCCCGAATCTTACTCTCGAACCGAAGCCGTCTCACCAAGTGGTATAAATGACGTCGAAATGATTGATGCCAGTGAGGAGCACGGTCGCAAGGTCTTGCACATTCAGGGGAATAGCATCATCTCATCTTCCGGTGATTTTACTTTGGGAGGCGCCCCAGCTACAGTGGATGCTTCTTCGATCGAATTCGAGACTGAATCGAACACCATACATTATTCGAATGGAGGAGCTGATGCACCCAACGTGACAAATATTCTACCCATCAACGACTCCGCTAGCGGACAAGCTCTGAGATCGAATATCCTCGAGAAGGATTCCGTGGATGGGAATACTGTTCCTTTTCCGCCCAGTTCACCCTTCTCTGCCGTGTCCACAAGAAAAAACACATTTACTTCTAAAGTGGATCATGAATGTGCTGTGCCTACTCCACCTCCGTCCCCACCCCGCCTAGAACCTTCTATTACTGCTAGCCCCGCGAGCTCGTTGGTACAAGACATGTTATCATCCTTGGATCTCGGTGGTAGGTTTTTACTATCGTATTCACACCTGATAGCGCTGTACAGTACAGCTCGTCTCTTGTTTGTATTTCTTGTGCCATCTTCTTCTCAGATTGATCTTTCGTGGCTACTGGCAGCGGGGATATTACCGCTATTTTGGAGCTTCACCAAGTCGCGTTTACAAGTTGAATTTATTCATTCTGAATCCCAGATACGAATGGAGGTACGGAATCCAACGAAGAACATTTGCACAGCTTAGGCCATCGTGATGCGCGCTCCACAAACATGCTTTCTACATGTTCTCTTCCTCTTCAGAGCCCGGTCGATATCGAGATGAAAGATTCTCAGGCTCGAAACAAGAAAGGAAAGCAACCTAGAAGGCGGAGCCGAGCTGGAACGATTCGCGCGTCTGACTATATGCATACTTCAACTGCCCCTATCGTTACGACACTTGTCTCCACAATCAACGGACCTGGCGGATCTCTTCCAGGCGCTCGTCGCACACGCTCTGGCACTGTTGTCGGGCCGACATCTTCGCTAGCCATGGGCCCTGCACATCCTGTAAAAGGGGCCGTTACAGTTGTTGCATCAAAGTCAATCAAGGAGCGACCTGGATTAACGCCCAGGACGGAAGATGATTCAGACGACGAATTGATGCTGCTCAGGTCTCCTTGGGATGCAGATGACTTTGAATACCTTGGCATAAACGTCCATGCAGTGGATGCTGATGAGTCAGACGATGAACTACTGCTCACCTCGGCATGGAAAGACGAAAATTGGCCCATGCTAAAGCGCCCAACCAGGGCGAAGAGGGTTTGACGACTCTCAATTTGTGTGTCAAATTTTTGCAGGTACCAATGCGAATTACACTGATACCGATTTTCACCAGCACAGCTTGCCTGTTGCCCTCGCGATGTCATCGGATAATTTGTTACAATACTTTCTAGGGCGAACTCTGTATTCAGTACACCATTCTGCATCATTTCTGTTCCCGTTGTTACTTGGAAAAACTCTCCTGCGCGGTGTTATTATCGGACATCTCGCATTTCTGGTTCCTTTTCGGTCCTAATCGTCTCTATAGATTATACGATTCACGTATCTGTATTGCATCGCTTTCTCTCTCCCCCATATCGTCATTCGCTTTTTTTTTGTTACACAGGATTCTCCTGTAGGATGTAGCACCACCCGTTGCAGGTCTGTTTCAGCTCATTCCATTCTTGTACCACATCTTTCCCTCTGCTTCTGTTGTCCTCTAAAATTTTGTCTCTTGCCGCATCAAATTGTATCATCTCGGATTAAATGCTGTAGCCCTTGAACCAAATATCGAAATTACGTTGACTTTTTTTATTGAAACTATGAGTTGGATTTAATCTTATAATTCTTGACAATATTCTATTGCTATAAGGCTATGGAGATGTCAGAGGACGCTGATACGGCTACACAGTACAAAATAGGGTATCGACGGTCGGTGCAATACAGCAGTGAGTAACAGCAAACCCTCGAGAAAAATATATATATGCATCCGTAAACCAAAACCCAAGTAAACCCAAGGAAGGGCGAGAAGCCCGTGCCGTAGGGTTCCGCACGTAAAAACCCTGCTCCGAGCAAGTCGATGCGATTGCATCCCTAGAATCCAGGTCTTCGTCCGCGGACAACCAAGCCACCGTCCCATACGCCGACATGCCATCCCTCTTGAGCAAGCGCGCTCTTCACAGCTGGTTTAAGGACGCTTGTCTTATTCGCGGAGTGTGTCCCACGCCCCGTTATAATTCTCAGTGGCTTTACTGTAGGCGAAATCATGAACGTCATGTAAACAAGTATGGATGATAAACAACCCTGCGTACCGGGTGAAGCCCCTTCCCGCTCAAGAATTTCTTTGGCTATGACGACAGCTTCTGCAACACAAGTTCCGTGGAGATCTATGGTATTACGGTCCGTTGCCATAGATCTGTAGACAGAATGAGTATTTGCGATTGAAAGGCCTAATGGACATACCTCTTGGACTCAACCATCATTCTGGCTTCATCCAATGCTTCCCGTCTCGCCAATTCCTGGAACTCACGAGCCTAATAATACAGGATAGGTTTAAGCTCCTGACAAAAACTTTGAAAGACGCATTACCCGTTCCGCAAAGTACAAAGCGACTTCTCCTCCCCTCGACTTGGAGTTGCCTTGGCTCCAAGCTTTCGAAGCCTCTCTCAGGAGCTCATCCCGCTTCTTCAAACTATCCGCCATTCTTCTCTTAAAGTCTTGCCGACGCCGGTCGTTATCCTTACCGTTGTGTCGCAATTTTCCATTGACCAAGACACGGTCATTGCTGTATGCAGGTATGTGGTCTGCTAGGGGATGTACACCGTTGTTGGGTGGTTTCTTCGGAGGGATTGACTGCCACTCGAATGGGTTTTGTTTGGGCGATGTTGGGGACGTTAGTGACAACTTCCGTTTGGAAGTAGGGGGTGGATGAACAGATGGCGGCCCCGTCGATAGTTTTGAGAGGGCGCCATTCGTTCGTGGAGATGCAGGGGAAACGGCCTGAGATACCAGAGGTACAAACCAAGCGGAAGATTCACTGACGGAAGAAGATGTCGCAGACGGAGGGAGTTGATGGTAGACCCCCATTCCAAGGTAACCTGAGTCAAAATCGGTGTCAAGTTCATGTAGTAACCAGACAATGTCAATAGCATCGTCACCACGGCCGCGACACGCGTTTAGGGCTAATCTAGCATCTGATAATACCATCGACCGTTGTTCATTGTCAAGTGTGTCATAAGCAGGAGAGGAGCGTAGGATGTCAAGCATGGTGAAAAATACGGTGGTTCCCTCACTGGGCGAGGAAGGCCCACTGGACTCGGCAATCTTGGTTAGTGCTGCACGAAGGGCTTTGGCGGGTGAAGAGTGCTCCGGCGAATGAAAGTAAGACTGGAAGAAAGATGCCGTGCTTGGGGGGAGGAGTGTGGCGAGGTGGGATGACAAGGAAGACAGCTGAGTCCATGGATCAGGGGGAGGCGCTGATGCGATAGAATTGCCGTTAAGACCATTGGAAGGGGTTCCTCGAATATGCTGCTTCTGTCGTATATCCACAAGAGTTACGGTCTTGCCTCGAACATTCTTTCGTTTTCCTGCCTTGCCATTTGTAGGAGATTTCTTCTTAGACTCTACTGTTTTCCATAGAAAATCCGTTCCAGCAAGCGGAAATCCAGGCTCATCCGCATCCAGCGCATCGAGACCCCTCTCCTCGAGCTCCCGCAGGTATTCGCTCGTCAGAATGTTTTCCACCACAGATTCCATATTGATTTCGTCTGCGTATCCGTACTCTGCTTCACTCAGCGCATTTCTGAGCCTTCCTATGGAGACATGCGGCAGTGCAGCCTGCAAAAAACCAAGGGGGGTACTGAAAGACTGGTGTGAAAAGACCGAGGACTCTGATGCGGTTGAGTTCGTCGTGGTATCGCCGGTGAAGAAGTCTGGTGTGCTGCATGATTCCTCGGTCGTGGTATAGTGAGAAGACAGACGAACTGCCTCGAGCTCTTCACTGAGTTCCAGCTCGACCTGTTCTGCCTGGCTAGCCAGTTCTTTCAATGTGGCGCGGAGTGAGGCAATTTCTGAGGACGAGGGCATCTGTGCACCTCCAGCCCCATCTCTTTCCACTTCTGCGATAAGGGCTGCCAAAAGGGAAGTATCCAATGGGGGGCAGAATTCCGCCTAGCCCATGGTATATGCCTGCCAATGAGTGCACATATAGAATCGATGGGGTCCAACTCGCACCTGTAAAGTCTCGAAAAGAGATGCCATCGGTTATCTGCAGCTCTTCTAACAAAGTGTACAAAGTAAGATAAAAGATAATGGATAATACTTGTGCGTGTGTGTGGAGAAGGCGTGTAGAGAATACTGTATAGTAAAAACCGAGGCTGACGCTTTGGAATAAGCTGAATTGACGCGCTAAGCGTGGTTCGATCGCGCGACACTGACGCACTAAGTGCATCACGTGAGAATACGTCACGGGGTCGCTCTTACCTAATGCACTGCTGCGGGCCCTCTCCCTTCACGACAGCGAAGTAGGCAAACGAAAAGTCCACTCGTCTGAGCTTCGAATTTCGAGATAACCTCCCTCAAATACCGACCAGCAACGATGTTCTTTTATCTCTCCCTTTTAGCCTTCTTAGCATTACTGGTAATGCGTGAGTGTTCCATTCGCTGTCGTCCAGTGGTGTTTCCTGCTAAATCGTCGTGCTAGTTGTGTTCCATTACCGCGCTACCATAATACCTCATGTTCCCAGTAAAGTGAGGTCCCTCTTCCCCAGTCTGAACCATTACGCCCCACTATCGACATTCTCGAGCCAAGCTGATGCAGGCCTGTCGTCCAATATGTTCGATATCGAGGCTAATATTCACGACGGGGACTCACGAGCAGGGTTGGACGAGCGTGGTACTCAGGAGGTGATGGAGATCATGCGGAGAGAACGAGTGACGTGAGTCCCTTTTTTTTTTTTGCGATGGTTTGAGAGATGCTATGGACTGTATTCACGAAATGTCGCTAGGTTCGATCAAGCAAGGTTGATACGGCATAACCAGATTCTTGCCCGCAATGGCATTGATCCTACTGGTACGTCCTCTCATCTCCAATATGGGTGGTTGATAGTGAGACAACGTTCACATATGAATAATTCCAGGTATGCCGCTCGATTCCAAGGCCGTCACTCGTCTATGATCTCAGTTTTTCTTTCAATGTATCGGTGCTGGATTTCGCCTCTCTCATTCCTTTCTTTGTTTTGGTAATCAATCGGACTTAAACTCACTCATGGAAGGTCATGCTTCCCCATGTCATTACTACTACCTGTATCCATTGTGGAAATATAGCTCTTTTAAAGAGTAACTCTCTACCCTGATGTGAAAGTCCTGCGAGCGGCGTGCGGACGGCAACGAGATACACGAAACACCGGGAGGCAGTGTGTGTATCGCCTTTAGAACAGGCACCATAGCAAGCGTTGCACTGCCTACGGAACGACACGTGAAGCCTGAAGGAATAAAGATCAGAGCGATCAGACGACCTTTGAACGTTCCTGCAGCTTTATCAAGTGGCCGGAGAGGCGATCACAACAGGGCTAGGCACTTTCAGCCGAGTTTTCACCGTCGTAATCGCAGCCTGAGCGCGTTCTTTGACATTCGCGATTGGGGGTCAAGATAGTCCTCATAGAATCCAGCTACGAACTCTTCAGCTTTGAACCCGAAGCGATTGTACAGTAACTGATGTGGAAGAACTATGCATTAGTGGAGAGGGGCGGTGGGGAGTAAGGTGACCAGGGGCATGACTTACCACTGCGGGATTGCTGGCAGATACATGAAGAGTGATGTCCTTGTTTGGATTGAGTGATATCAGATGGTACAACATTGTCCTTTAGGGAATTGATGAAAAAATGAGAAGGCGGCGTGAACAAAGACCGTAGCGGAAGTGTGACCTACGTTGCTATTTGTGAATTATCCCACCCTGCTCTAACAGATAGGTACGTGATGTATGTTTCTTGGGGAGAGCTCAGCAAGGCTGCTCCGACGACGAGATTTTTATATGCTGCGACAACCGTACACCGTTCTGGGGAATGTTGAAAGGAATCGCTCACTACGTTGCAAGTTGGGAATAAGGAATATCAGGAGTGATTTCAGGCGACATACCGTCAACGCCTTCCCAGAATGACCTTCTCAACAGATCATGGACTTGCTCGAGGTGCGAGCGCTGGAGCGAGCTGTATGTTATTGGCGCTAAATCTTCTTCTGGCTGCTCTCGTTCTGGGCTGAGTTGATGAAGGTCAGAGAGTGGTTGACACATCATTAAAAAAACCAAGGCAAAACAGCTTACTGTGCAAGCGAGAAGTGGTCGCGGATGTCAGTCATGAGATTCATCCACGGTGACTGCGTTTCCCAGTCGACGGCGAGAAGACCAGGCTGTTTCGGTTTTCGATGACCACAGAGTCTGGATAAAAAAGAGCGGTCGTATCGTGTGGTACGGATGGAATATAGAGCGCTGAGAACCGCGTCATTCACGGCTGGCTCTGGCTTTACAGGAGTAAGCGGAACGAGAGGACCGGTGGTGGAGTCCTTCCGGGGATCAGGCACACCTGCTATGCGTCTTTCCTATTCAGAGTAGCACTTTTAGCTAAGAAGAGGTGTGAGGCGGGAGACATGAGCGTACGCGGTGTACTTTGAGTTTTCGGAGAGCGATGGGCTGGGTGGGTAATATGGGGTGTGCAGGTAGAGATTTCTGCACATGTTCGATGAGTGCTGAGACTTCGTATCGTGACAGAGGGCGGAGTAGTTCACCCTATACCCCAGATAAGAATGAGCGGGATGACTTGCGGAAGATTGAAGACTCACGGGTGGACTGAGCTCGCTTTCCTGGTCCTGGAGATGATCACGCACTTCGAGGCAATCGGCTAGGAAAGCGTCGAATGTTTCCTCAAAGGCAGGCTGGGGCTCATCCGGATAGTGCTCTGGAGTGCTATTGGCATGGCAGAAAAAGTCTATGATTGGGCTGAGCGCCACTGAAGAGGCTCTCGTCTCAGACTTGACTCTCGCCCGCTTGGTGATTATTTTTCTACGTTTCTTTGTTCGCTGTACTATGGTGAGTGACATTTGCTGCAATGCATAGCAAATAAACGTACGCCGTCGTATGCATCGCCTTCTTCGTCGTCTGGGTCCCATTCGTCGTCCAAAGTGTTCATGATGAGTCTCGGCCTGTACTAGTAAACGATCGGAGAAGGGTGGTCCAGATGGGGACAGGTATGTGTCATCTATTCCCACGCACATTTTACGAGGAATGCGTCGAAGGTGAATTCAGACTGGATGGCCTCGAGGCATAAGAACGCTTGTGACTGATTTTACTTATCTACAGCCTTGCTGCTTATTTCTTGGATAAAGTCTGTCTGCATATTCACTGCAATCCTCATATAACGATTTTACTGTGATGCCGTTTCCCTTTACATTCAGCCTGTCTGTTCCAGGCATGCAGAATCCGTTTTCGACTCGAGCGGCCCAATCGGAGTCATGGAATGCCCGGACTGGGACTGGCAGTCTTCATGGCGCGCAACGTAATAAAGTCGCTGTCCTTCCAAGACGCATCTCTCCCATTCCTTCCTTATCGCCTCCCGCTCCTCTCTCCAGAAAACGAGGCTGGGTCCCATCCATCCCAGAACCAAGCCAGGCCACAACAAGCGCAGCCTCATCTCGCGGTTATCTCGACACCCCTGCAAAATACCGCGATATGGCCTGTGAAGACACTCAAACAGCAGCAGAAGACCTGGGCGCAGGTAAGCGTGAAGGATCACATCCGTAGTGTATATGAAGCATCGCGCGAATTCCGCGTGTCGGCTCTGCCACTGCACGCGTTTTCCAGGCGTTGGATCACGTTAGATTTTAAAAATCAACTTTCTCTCCCTTTTCTCTCTCTTATCTTCTATCCACCCACTGTCGTTCATGTTACTCAACTTCAACTTTATTATCATCATCCATGTAGAACTACCACCCGCAAAGCGCCGTCGCACTCTTGCGGGCTCTATCGTATCGACAGCGCTGAGCGCTGCTCTTATCGGGACCGCAGTCGGTCTCACTGTATATCGTCTGTAAGTACCGCCTAATCATATCGTGCAGCTGAGCTTGCTAAAGTGGTTTGAGGCTTTTCAGCTGGCGGGACCGAGGCAAAGAATCGGAGCAACTACCTCCACCACCACCATACCAACAAGGGGACTGGGTCCCACCACACGTAAGTACTCTGCAAGCTTTTCGACATTTCCTTGTTCACATATATTCTGTCGTCTGCCCAGGAAATTCAGGTCACACCTCCCACACCGAAAAGTCGAAAAACGCGGCATACACCTGCCTCGGCTAAACGCCCTACTATCCGACACCGCAAGACTCGCACTCGCACGCACGCTATCACCCCTCCACGAAGCTCTTCTCCTGCTCTTGTCCCTCCTCCTCAGCCCGAGTTTGATTTCTCCCATGTCGATCCCATCGATCAAGAAGAAGACGAGATGGACTGGATTGGTGGTAAATTGTCACAGCTGATACAGGAAGGGCAGAAGGCACTGCAGAAGGAGGTTGTGGTGATGAGCGATTCGAAAGAGGACGAGGTGGACGATGGAAGTGGTGCATGGGAAGAGGTTGATCAGGCGACGGCAGGACCGTCTTCACGGCGAGGTTCAATACGACGATCGCATAAGCCACGAAATATCCCTATCCCTCCTTCATACTCTTCGTCCGGCTTTGCATCTCCCCAACCCAGTGCTTCACCCAGAAAAAGCCGATTCAATGCAAGTGTAACTTCATTGCACTCACCTTCGCTGTCTGGAGCATCTGGTTTCCCCATTCCAAGTACGCCTCGACAAATACCTCGAGGACCGTCAGTTGAATCGGATATGTTTGGAAACGTGAGCTCTAGTTTCCGAGAAGATGAAAGTGCATGGCAAAGTCCTGAAATCCGAGAGTCGATGGAGAAGGCGAGGGCTCGGTTCCTGCAGAATCGGGGATGATGTACTACGAGTGACAGATCTCAGATCTGGTGTTTTAAAGTAAATTTCCTTCTCGTTGCACGCTCTTTTATTCTGTTATTGGGGGCCTGCTGTGTATGTACATGTAGCTGTTCAGTGGATGCCAACGACAAGCAATGATCAAGGCTATGATGATTAGAGTGTGTTATGATATTTTACCTCTTGAGAGATGTTTTCTTATATAGGTGAATGTTTTCGTTCATCGGGCGTAGTTCACCGCTGTGGTAATCTTATGAATAGCCGGATAAACCGATTGGGCAACTGAGCAACTTGAAGACTGCGCTCTTTCTCCCAGGCAGCGATGTTGCTGCGCTGTGTTGCTTGTGAAGTTCTGTATTCTTGTCGTCAAATACACACAGGTGGTGCTATGGCGTATTCTTGTCTTTGCTCTCAACTTCCTTGATTCACTCAGGTAAGGTAATGCTGCAGCGATGCCAATAACCAAAGCCGGCTTCACGGCTGTCGACGCCACTACATCAGACATTTACGCCCAGCGATCACCCATGCAGGACTGTCAACTACCATTGTACTGGAAATCCGAATCAGAAGGCTTAGGGCAATGGCAGTGCTTATCCCATCTTCACACTCGTCGCATCTGATTCTTTACGAAACAAGAAACCACATGTCATCCCGCAGTCTTCTAGTGCCATGGGAGCTACTTCAGCTTAGCCTATAACTACTTATAACCGTTGTGTTTTGCTTGGGAGGAAAAAGTGCCTTGGAACCGCGCACTTTCATTTTTATCTTCTTGCCAACCTTGCAAGATGTCCATCTTTCCCGTCGGGGTGAGCTTCTCGTCAATATCCCACCGTTGTCTTACATCTAAATGCTGAGAATTTTACGTCCGGTTGACTCTCGCCGCTTTTTTCCTATTCGCAGGCGCTCATCACACCGGCCGAATTCCAGCATGGCCCTCATAAGAACCTGAGTACCAAACCGGATAACGGCCCACGATTACCCTTATTCACTTCCTCAAATCCTCGCAAGATGTCGTCCTACCGCCTCACAAAGCGTGGAATACGCATTCTCGCCCTCGTCATCCTAGCATTCATCGCTTCCGTCGCCCTGGTGTTTCAGCAAGATTTGCTTGGTCAACGTCTCCCTCCTCTTTACAAGCAATTTCGCAAACAGGAACAGCACCTGACGCACTACAATGAGTACGAGAAAAAGCCAATCAAGTACCTTTGGGCTGCGAACCATGCACATAGTATGTAGAATGCTATCGATGAGACTAGAATCAGCTCATGTATATAATAGGTTCGGGGTGGGGCAATGTGATGCAGGACATCATCATGGTAGCGCTTCTGGCCCACGAGACTAAGCGCTCGTAAGTTTTTTAACAAGTAAGAGAGAAAGTCATGTTGACCGAGTCTGTCGTGCTCAGATATGTATTCGACGACTATATCTGGAGAAAGGATGGTACAATTTACTCGGATTTTAATGGAAAACTTATACCCTCTCGCATACCCTTGTCGGCGCTCGTGGGTGGTAAGATATACATATTGCTGTTCATTTCTTAATGTGCGCTAACCAAGGCTATATAGGACCTCTCGTCGGTGGTGAATTCCCTGATGGCGACGACGCTCCTCGGGCTGTTTCGAAAGACTACTTTAACAAAGTCTGCCCAAACCCTACAATCATCGATACATCGATAATTAACACCGAACATGTCAGATTCGATGACGATGTTTCTGCCCTTCAAGTTTTCAATCTGTGGCTTGATAAGATAAACTCCATGGACGACGACTGTATTGAGCTGGACGTGCACAGCAATACGATATTCGAGTTCTGGTAAGTGTTTTTGGCCTTTTGTCTGGTGTCTGGGGGGTTAGACATGATCCCATTTTCTTCGTCTGGCTAATTTTAAAAAAAGGATATTTGGTAACAGAAAACGAGTGCTATCGGTCTTTCCCCTACTTGTTCACAACCCAGTGGTCACAAACTGGGGATGGTCACCCCTTGTTTACGCAGCCTATGAGTCGAATAGGCACCTTTTCCAGCCTTCGTCATCCCTTCCAGCCGTGTTCAGATCCCCAGAGGAGGACTACAACCAACCCATCCCTGGCCTTCTCGCCCTTCATGTGCGTCGAGGAGATTTCGAGAACCACTGTCAACACCTCGCCAACTGGTCTGCCGATTGGAATGCATGGAATACATTACCAGAGTTGCCTGACACGTTCGTGCGGCCGACGGACGGAGGGTGGGGCGAGACGTCCGAGGCGAACATGAACATGTACATCCAGCGCTGTTATCCGTCCATTGAACAGATTGTGGAGAAAGTAAAGGCTGTGGTAGCGGCGTCTGTGGATCCTCTCAGATATGTGTACATCATGACGAATGGTGCTGTTCCATGGGTGGAGGAGCTCAAAACGTCGATAAAAAGTTCAGGGAACTGGGATCATGTGGGAAGCAGCAGGGATCTTCAGCTAACTTGGGAGGAAAAATATGTCGCTCATGGGTTGGATATGTTTGTGGCATCAAGGGCACAGATTTTGATCGGTAACGGGGTAAGTGAACAGAGAAGCACCAAGAAGGAATTAGCTAACGTTATGTTTGCTTCTATAGTGGTCAAGTCTGACATCAAACGTCGTCTTGCTTCGTTTGGCTCATAACATGTCTCTCGAGAGCAATCGATTCTGGTAACGACAAGTCACGAATGCACGATCAAGATCTTTCGCTGAACGCTTTCTGTCTTTTGTTGTCGTCATCGGGGTCAAGTACAATACCATATTTATAGGCTATATTCTCGCATTTTCCACTTGCTAATGTTGTTTTTGCATTGACGCTATTGTGATATCGAGGGTATGCAGATGGGATCGAATGTTTTTCCACGGTGGCTATGGATTTTTTTCCAGTGCTTTCTTCAGGGGGCATTTTCCATGGGTAGTGCTGATTTAGAGGATGAAGTTCATATAATATTAATATATACCACTACTTTATCTGTAGTACTGCAGTCTTTACCGGAATTTTGGGAGCCACATGTACCGTAGGATAGCGAATGTTCGAAATGCAGTGTCCAAGTTCTGCCCTGTGTCTGTCAATCACTGCAGAGCGCCGGTCCCACGGTATCCTGATTCGGACTTGATGTAGATTAGCCGGGCCACTACAAAGTGGGACAGTCTACTCAGTTACGGTAAGGCTACATCCACAGGTTGCAGTCATACCTCAACCTTGCTTTTCAGTTCATATCTGACTGTACATTTTCCTGCATATTGCCATCCATACACTTGCGTTCGTATTCGAAAGCAGGCCGTATCTCCTGAATTTATAGGGTGGTTGAGGCGATAGCTATTCAACATGTCGACAATATCGACCCAGCTCCGGGACTTCAAGGACCCAACGAAGGAGCAGCTCACGCATATATTCTTCTCTATCCCTGAACCTACCTTGGGACCTGTATCAGAGAAGTTGGACTTGGAGGAGCCCGAAAAGATGGAGATCAATGCTGTTCTGAGTATGGGTGTTCAAGGGGAGGAGGACTCATATGTAAGTTCTTAATCCATCACCCAAACCACAGAGCGCGTACTCACTATCGTGATAGGCAGGGAAACTGCATTTGATTCCACCATATCTCGCCTTTACGTCTTTAGATCGAAAGTCGGTGCGGTTCACACTACCACTTTCGACCATTCGACGAGTTGAACGGTTGAACGCACGTGCTGGGATCTATGCACTGAGTTTATCCACCTGGCATGGGATGAAGATTGTGAGCGCTATGGCTGGTTGGCGTGTGTGTGGCTTCCATTTTTGCTGACATGTATCTGCTTTTCAGATCGTCCAGTTGACTTCGCTGAGACCTACAGCCGATGCGTTTTGCTCTCTCCTTCGCGAGGCGCTGAAAGTTGAGCTGCAGAAAGGGCAGATGAAAGCTGTGAAAGGTTTTGTTAGGACGTGTTACTCGGAGGTGCTCGTGTCTACATCCTCAACCGCACCGGATAACGAAAGGGAAGACGGTAGCTTGATCAATGATGCCAAGGAAGGTTCTCCTCCTGTCGAGATGGAATACCATGGAGGGCTGGGACTTCGTTTCAAGTTTCCAGGAGATGCAAAAAAGTGGGCTAAGTGTCCTTTTCTCGCGTTATTCAGCTCTGAGGATAAAGCTACAGACTTCGAGAAGCTTCGAAAGTCAAACTATGGACGACCTATCTACGCGGTGAGTGAGATTGGCAGAAATTTTGGCAAAGATGGTGTTGACCAAAGAATTCAGCGCATGGGCGCAATCTCACACTACTAAGATACCCGCAATGCACTCGGTTGGTGCAAGTAGGTCTGCCAAATCGACTAAGAGGAGAGATGTGGGAGACACTTTCTGGCTCTTTGTACCTTCGTTTTGCCAACCCTGGCCTTTACGAGAGGCTATTGGAAGAAAACAAAGGGAGAACTAGCACGAGTACCGAGGATATTGAGAAAGATTTACATCGTAGTCTGCCTGAATATGCTGGTTATCAGAGTGAGGACGGTATCAATGCTCTTCGACGGGTACTTCAAGCCTATTCCTTCAGAAACCCCGAGGTGGGGTATTGTCAGGTATAGTTCTTTTTTCATTCTGGGCAAGGAATTTCATTGTGTATCCTTCCTAGGCCATGAATATTCTTGCCGCCGCAATTCTGATGTAACTCGGTCTTATCCAGATTGCTTAGTGACTCACGCTCACCAAGTTCATAGATACATGTCAGAAGAACAAGCCTTTTGGTTACTTGAAGTCCTTTGCGATAGGCTTCTTCCTGGCTACTACAGGTTTGTTCTTCCCGTAGAAAAATAACTACTAGACTAAAAGCTATTTTTCAGTCCTTCCATGCATGGAACTTTGCTTGATCAGCGTGTATTTGAATCTCTTGTTCATCGCTGCCTACCCATTATCCATGATCACTTCCAAGTAGTTGATGTGCAACTATCAGTGGCATCTCTGCCATGGTTCTTAAGTCTGTCAGTTCATTCATATATGCACTCGCTGTTTCTTCTGAACTTTGTGCTAATTATTGTATATACAGCTTCATCAACAGCATGCCCATGGTCTTTGCTTTCCGCATAGTCGACTGTTTCTTCTGTATGGGCCCAAAAGTCTTGTTTCAGGTTGGGTAAGTCTTTGTTCATCTGTTCACAATTCTGGATCTAACGTATTTATAGGCTTGGTCAGTGCTTACTTATGTACCGATCGTGTTCTTTTCTCTCATCACCTTTTTTTAGCCGTGCTCAAGATAAACGGTGAGAAGCTGTTGCAGATACAAGACGATGGCGGTTTCCTGAAGTAAGTATATTCTTACTTTGGTTACTCGTCCACCCGCCTAATATGTCTACAGCCTGATGCGCGAGTACTTTGCTTCATTGGGAGAGTCTGCACATCCGAACTCGTCGGATCCACGTGCACGCGCCATCACACGGTTCCAAGAGCTTCTACTTGTATCTTTCCGAGAATTCGCTGTTATCACGGATGATACTATTCTTTCAGAGCGCCGAAAGTTCAGAAATGAGATCATTCACAGCATCGAATCATTCTCCAAACGCTCAGCTATCCGAAACCTCAAGAGCCTTGGCAGGTTCACGAAGGATCAGGCGGGCTTGATTTATGATGCTCTGTACAAGGCTATGTGTGTTGTTCCGCCTCCTCCTGCAGTTGCACCTCCTGCATCTCTCTTCACGACAAATGACGGAAACTATGATCGGCCAGAGACCAGAGTTGGTCTCCGCACCTTCCATGTCTTCTTGAGCGAAATTTTGACATGGGCACGCGATGACAAGGTTGTGATTAATGGATTTCAGGTGTGGAATTATGTGAATAATCTATCGTGGGCGATAATTTTGAAAACTATTCACACAGCAACGGGTTGATCGTGAAATTGCTGAGCACGAACTGATCGATCGCCTTTTCTATTTCTGGGACACGTCTTGCAATGGGGCTTTGTCGCTTCAGGTGACATCTGTCATGTTTTTTGTTGTTGTTGTTCTACGCTAATGCGGATGGGCTTATCAGGACCTTGTTTCAGGTCTAGAGGGCGTCATGTTCAATGATCTGATGGATAATATCGAATGGTTTTTCAACCTCCACGACAAAAATAAGGATGGACATCTTACAAAGGACGAAGTTCTTACATTATCTGAATCTTTCTTGGTAGGCAGCATTAACATCATGGCGTCCTTCTCCTGACATTTTATTCTCAGTTTATCTTCCGATATGAAATTGGAGACGCTTACTTGGGTGCTGTTAGTCGATTCATGACAAATGCTTTCGAATATGGTGACGCCCTACTTCCCCGGCAAGAAAATGGTGAACCAGGTGAATCCTCACCGCCTCACATTGCATCTAACCAACCGTACCTCAACTTGGCAACGTGGGTCATAATCTACTTGCAAGACCATCAGAAGTTGACATTTTTTTCTACAGTTTCCGGATGGTTGTGCTGGCTGACGAGATTCTGGAGGCATTCTTTGAGACGGACCTTTCAGCGTCTTTTAGGTTGGAGCCTGTTCCGGATCTAGAGCTTCCCACAAATAACGGCTTTTTGGGTGACCTCTGGTCCAACATTGCTACTGCTGACAATAAGAAGTTCTTCAACAAGCTTACCGACGAGGTTGGGAAGACGATCGGTAGACATCAGGTTTGAATCACAGTCCATAAAGGGGTATCTCTAGTGATGTTGACTCTTTCATATATCTAGGTTATATATCGCCCATCAATAGGGCGGTTTACGAAACTTGAAGAGCCCAAGGCACGCGAGTCGTTGCTCTCACCTGCGATGAAGTCGGGCTCCGCTGGAGCTGATACGGACACTCTGGGGACGTCCAAGTCGTCATCATCGACATTGGCGGTCGACGCCGAAGCAGCACAAAGCTCCAAAGCCGCATCCGCATTTTCGCCGTTGCCAATGGTAAAAGCAGCGAATGCTGCATTGATGGAAAGAACGCCGTTCGCGATCGATGATGCTGGAGACGATAGTGACAGTGATCTAGAGAGTGATATCCCTGAAGATGACGATCAAGTCATGGATGAGGTCAGCCTTCATTTTTATTGTTGTACAATGCTATATATTTACCGTATCCGACTTTAGGTCGACGCTTTCCTTGAGGCTCATGATTCTGGACTAACTGATGCAGATAAAGAACTAGCGAAAGGTGACTAAATCAAATTTTACCATGATGGAAGCTCACTAACTATTTGCTTTCTCAGATCTCATAGATGCTGAGCCAGTGAAGTAGTCGCCTTGATGGATCGCCCTGATCGTTTGCATGCTATCTCCCACATTCCACTGCACTCATTAACCTTGTACCATTAGATGTTATATTTGTCCAATGTTACTACATATCATAGCCCTTCGGGCCAGATAATTTATGCAAATCTGCTTCGCAAAGCAAGTCGTACGAATACAAAATCTGAGACAAATGATCAGTGAATAATGTACAGCGGGACGTCGTGACAACAATTTCCACATTTATCATGCGGTGGATGGCACTGCTAGTGAGCCCCGGTCAGTCCATATTCGAATGGACAGATCTGATTCGATAGAGCCCGATGCAATCATGTTCTGGATGGGGTGTGTCTGCGATTCAGCCAAGTATATTCGTCAGTGACCACGATATCGTACAAAAGAGCACATACAGCAACCGCTACGACAACACCTTCGTGGCCTTCGAGTACTTGCACCACTTCTCGACTCTGCAAATCCCACAGATACACCTTATTATCTTCACTTCCTGAAACTATCCATTTTCCACCAGTAACACTGAAACAAGCTGCAATACAATATTTATCATTTCGATGTCCAACATATGTTTTGAGGCACCGAGATGTATGGTAATCCCATAGACGTATGGCGCTGTCGTGGGCTGTCGAGAGTATATATTTAGAGTTTGGAGAGAATTGGACATGTTGACTGTATGTGGTAGTGAGATTGAGCTGTCCGAACCCATGGAGTATGAGAATTGTTTACCATATAGCATCATGACCTTCTGCAAGGGTCTTCAAGCATTGACCACTAGTGGTATTCCATATTCGACTGTATGACATTGGAACGTCAAGATTTAAAAGTGAAGCTTGAATAGAACGCACATGAGACCATCTAGGGAACAAGAAACTATAAGAGTGGCATCTCTGTTGAAATGCACGGCAGTGACATAGTCAAGATGAGCGTGCAGTGTCTTCATACATTTCCCTATAGTTCCTGATGGAGATACGCAGTTGATAAAGGTCCAATTGAACTAACCTTTGGCGACATTCCATATTCGCACATCGCCTTCACATCCGCCGGAGACTAAGAGATTGGATGCTGTGTTGTAATTCACGCAGAAGACAAAACTGGAATGTCCTCTCAGATGTTTGGTTGTTAAACCCTTTTTCGATGATGATATCAACAATTTATAATAACATACAGAAGCTGATCTCACGCACAGAATCGACATCCCAAATACGAATACTGGTATCATCTGAAGCTGAAGCAAGATATACGGCGTCTGCGGACCATGCGATATCGGAGAGGCCTTTGGTGTGTCCGCTTAGATTTCTTATGAGTTCTCCGGTGAATGGTGACCAAATCTTGATGACATTATCGGCGGCTTAATGGGATGTATTGGATTGTCAAGGAATAGGTGTCAACAATGTATGCATAGCATTGAAACAGAAGAAGTATCAAAATACGATTTTACGAACCACATGAGGCCAGTAGAGTTCCATCTGGACTGAACTTTACAGCAGATATTGATTGAGTATGACCACGGAGTGTGTGGCGAAGCTCATAATGAGGTTTTTCGCGTGAACTAGTGGTCGGAGGAGGGGCTTGAGGAGGGGGTGGGGGTTGAGCAGATGCTGGTGGTTGCGCATGGTTTTCAGGGACTTGAGGATCGTCCTCCGTTGTCTGAGACGCTGCATCGTCGTCCGTAGTCGAATCCATTCCTTCCAATGGGTCCATGATCAGAATGTTTCAGTATTTCAGCTAATCTCAGACTTGCGATGATCTCGGAGGAGGGAGTGCCAGTGGTATATGTTCATGTTTGGCAAAAGCTTCAGATTACAACAGACCCAAACAATGCCCTCTTTGCGATTCGGTATTGTCGGCTAGCTAGACCGCAAAAGCTAGGTGAGCTGCCACAAGTACTTGAGTTGCTCAACAATTTACATTCGGTGACTCCTAGATAACTGCCCCATGCAAATTCGATGCAACGCGGCCTTCATGTCGCGATATTCCCAAAATCATGCATGCTCCATGCTCGGCGAAACCTCAGCTCGGGGACCAACTTGAAGAGCATATTTAAGGACGCCAAGTCCGCTGAGCTCTTGGCCACAGTGGGAAGCATTGCCTCAATCCCTCGGCTGCATGATCTCCCAGAAGTGAGTATAGCTCTGTGTATAAGAGTCCCATGTTGCAGTTCTAACCAAATACTAGGTTATTATTACCGGTTGGTGTCTTCTTAAGATTCTTAAATATAGGCTAACAGGCTAACACACGAATTGCACAAAATATGAAGGACGTGCAAACGCAGGAAAATCAACGCTACTTAATGCGGTCCTCGGACGCAGAGATTTGCTGTTCACTAGCAAGAAAGCGGTTCGTTCTTTATTCTTGAATGAAATGGGACATATTACTGACCGAACGTACTGCTTATCGACATTTTCGTGCTACGAACTTTCCCAATGTAGGGCCGTACTCAAACATTAAATTTCTACCGCGTAGGCGCACATCCTGGAAAACTCGTTGTTGTTGACACCCCTGGATACGGAGCCAGGGGTCGCCCGGAATGGGGAGCGGTTTTCAATCACTATATAGAAACTCGTAACCAGTGAGGCTTACCGCTGTCTAAATTGACACACTTCGATCAGTACTGACGTGCGACTCAAAATTTTCATTCCCTTTCAAGGTTATGCCGCATTTACATCCTACTTACTGCCGCACATGGCTTGACGCCCTCAGATGAAGCCATGCTTTCATCCCTTGATGCAAATGTCCAGTCCTCGGCTGGTACTAATTTTACGTTACAAGCTATCATTACCAAGGCAGATACACTTGGCTCTCAGGGGCGAAAGCTTGTCGAAGCCACTAGCCAAAATATATTCAAGGCTGCGCCAACCTGCCTGCCACCGATCATTACTGCGTGCCCGGGAGGAGGGAAGTCAATGTTCGGAGTGGAGGAGGTGAGAAAATCTATGATAGACGCTTGTGGCTTGGTGGGGTAGAGGTTAGGGCATTATCAGGGGTTCAGCGATGCTCCATTGTATGAAGCAAATGATTACCGAGTAGCACGTCATTTCGTGTGCTTTCTGTCTCATGATAGAAAATATAGTTAATTGAGTGGGTCGCTGAAAGGTCCCTATCACGGAATTAAATTAAATCTGTATCATGTCAGCTCTCAGAACAATTCAACAACGGTGTATGAGAGGTGAAGTTCCCACCTCTCAGGGCGCCACCATACTTTGGGCCTGTCTCGCTTGATCAATATGACGAGTGACATCCACCCGCGGGCATTGGTGTCGAGAGTAGTAACTTGAAAGCCAAAAACATGCTAGTTGAGCGAGACATGTGCACATTCTCCTAAAAACCTGGAGATTAATGAGAGCAATTCTCGCATACTATTTATTAAGTGTACAACGATCACCGTCATGAAGATCTTGGTTCGACCAATCGTGTTTGATCAGTTTTCGGGTATACGGCGGCAGGTCAAGTCGCTCCCTTCCCTTCCGCTAATTTTGAGAATGAAGCGTTCTGCCGTGCTGACACCATGGATCGGAGTTATGATGCACTGTACATACAATCTACGCTTGATGCGGATCAGTAGGGGTTTTCTTTTATGACCTGTCTGAAGACCTGACCTGTATGAATAATTAGACACCACGACCTATTTCCGGCGCGTCAAGCCGCGAATGATGCGATTGATCAGACCTGGTGGGGATGCCGTCGGAAAACTAAACTTACCCCTCAGGCGCTGGAGCGGACAAAAGCAAGGCGCCTGAGCAAGAGCCCGCAATCGACGTACGGTTTTTCAAAGGCCACTCTTGAAACTTAAGGCAGGGTGGAGGGTCTCCGTTTAGAATCCGAGCTGATCGTGGTTAAGTGAAACATTCCTAGCGCAGAGTCTGCTGTCCGCTTCATCATCTTTGAGCTGTTCCTCGTTATGATTCTTGCAGATCGGAACGTGCGATAACACCCAGGTACGTAGAAGGCTATTGGAAGCTAGCGAAAATTTTCATGACCGTTGTGACGTTCGCCTTATCTCCCGTTCGGTCTGATCCATGTCAATGGTTATCTGACGCTTCAGCCTAGAGGGCGAAAAAATCTTTACCTATGCTGCCGTGTTCTTAATAGCTTCGAACTTCTGTACAGTTTTTGCTAGTAATTCTCATAAACAAGCGCTGATGATCGGCGTGGAGGAGCTCGCTATCTTTTTAAGTGTCCGATGTAGTTGGACTATCGCGGGAACACAGAAGAAGGGCCTACATTATGGATTATAAACAGCCGCGGTACCCGTGAAAATTCATATCAAGGCGTTGGAGCCAATGACAAGTCTATGATAAAGGCAACTGGAATACGCTTCTGAATCAGTGGATACTATCTGGTGTATGAGAATGAGGTACTTACTGGAGTCTCCAAACCTTCCGAGTCGGACCATTAGTCCGATCGGAGAGACATCCTTTGGAGTCCGAGCCAGAACATGATAATTTCATGAAAAATTCATCTATGATATATTTGCGCAATGCAGTCAAAATAACGCGGTTTATGTTATGCTGGGCTCAACCAATCTCTCAGGTTTTCGACGAACTGCAGTAAGCAATGAGGAATTGTCACAACGGCTGTGACAAGTGTAACTGCAGTGCAATTATGGCTGTGTCGGAGATTGACCGAGCGTCCGAGTGCTACGGCGCCGATTTGGCCGGTTTATTTGGAATGTTGTTTGGTCTCCCGGAATGGGGCCGGCATTTCTCGATGACCCCGTAATTGTGCTTGGGCTGGTGGCTGTACAGTACCCAGGCTGTCGCCAACTGTGGACTTTTGCAATCACGATACCTTTGAAACTGTAAGCTTCTCTCGACAAATAGGTTCAGCATCTTCCATTAATATTTACTTGAAAAGGTTGCTTGATTACCCCGGTATCACCTAACGCATCTCTGTTAGGACCTTGGACCTATAAAGCTGATATGGAACTCGATCATGCGTGCAATTTTTTCGGCAATTCTCCATCTAGGCGACACTGGCTCTCCATTCTTCGCCGTTCTAGAGCAGGGCGTCAGCCTTTTCATCGCTCAATCCCCAGCTTCAACCTGGCGAGATTTTGTCGACCATAGCCCAACCCTCCAAAAAGCATATGCCGGCTGTTTTCACCGCAGGACGTAGCATGCTCTCTACCATCCTAGCGTTCATATCTTCTTCATCACACATTGACATGGGTTTACGAGCCATTCACGATGATCATGACAGCGGTCGTCGCCCCCTCGCACGTTCACAATGTGAATGTAAACTTCGCAAAACGAATGTCTTCATTCCAATATCGTCGGGCGTCACCATCGCAATGCCCAGTCCTGTTTGCATGTCTTGTCCCAAGAAGGTGCAGCATAGTGAGAAGGAAAAAGAAAGCTTATGTTTTCCCAAGTTGGTGGTCGATATCACCCAAAGCAAAAGCCGAAAGATGCCTTCCCAAAAGTCAGAGATACTCCCCGAGTCATTGAGGACTCGGACCTGGAGGAGGATCTCGCAGACGGCTAAAGCATCGCTGGCGCCTCCTGTTTTCAGCACTGAGGAGGTTACTTCTCTGGAAATGCGATCCTTGTCCAATGCAGGATATGCATCCCTGCCACAAACACCATCTACAGCTAATTTGCAACAGTGCCTCCACTAATGGTCGAGTGACAAGGTCGCCCACTGATTCGGTTCATTAGTATGTCATTCTACGTATTTCGAAAAACCCCATCTGATCGGAGTTATAGGTTGTACGCTATGCGCTGATTATATTATTGTATAAGTTTCGCAACCCGAGTCTCGGTACCTTGTTATTTTCATGCCTATATCTTGCCCACCCACTTGAACCTTACCTTATTTTCTTATCGCATATATGTCTCATAGTATTATCGTCTTGGCCTCTCGATTTCAGCTCTGGATTGTACACTATTCTTGCTCTGCCCTTTTTTTAGGTATTTTCTCTCTATGTATGGTTCAGCATCTTTCTATGCATCTCGTCTTGAATCAGTATGGTCGCTATACACATTAGGCCTAAGGCACTTGAGGGTCCGTGCGTGATGTCTTTAAGACGCCGATCATTCCATTGGCTCAATTCCACACGGATTTTCTACATCAAGCAAGCCGACTGTGGCAACTCACTCTCACGGATGTATTGATTCATTGGTTGAAGAATTCAGAATTCATAATCCACGAGGCAAGTCCCTCCGCTCTGTCTTGTAATAATTCTAAAACAAGGGTTCTGGCAACAGCGCCTATGCAGATCCCAATAATTTCAGCCCGAGCTGCACGGATTACACGTACACTTGAATGGAACTCATAGCTTCAAAGTGCCCTGTCTGGAGTCTAGAAGAGCTTCCACTGGTTCTTCACTTCTACAAAATTCTAGAAGAATTCTGTGAGCGCGAGGCAACGGGAACTCACTGTCAACTTTCGACACGGGCTGTCAGTGTATGCTGTGTGCTCACGCAACATCTTAAGTCAGCGCTCGAGGTAGGTTAAGTTACTTCAATGTCTGGTAACTTCCATCATAATTGGAACCAGCTTCACATCGTCAGTTGGGTATTGTAATCGGCGTTCTTTACGTTTTTATTTAGCTAATATTTGGAAATTATTTAGATACAAGACGTACGAACTTGCAGGGAGGGTCATCGGTGTGCGTTTAGGGGGTTTGAGCCGAGTTCCTTGCATGGTATTGTCCCCGCTTTGATACGAGAAGGCTATAATTATGCACGTGTCTTTTTTGAGTTCCGGCTATTGTTACTTGGCAGAAGAAATCACCGTCAAATGATCTCTCTTTCTTGACTTTCATGTGGTCTGCTCTTTTTGGGAGGCGAGAAGCGCGATATATGGAATCCAGATCCCTTATGTCAAAGCTTACGAAAATAGGGCACTCCATTACCTCCTTACGGCGATATCTCTTTCACCGATGGCACGGATAGTTGTCTACAAACGACTTGCCCAGTCATCACACTCTTCTGGAGAATCCTTGCGTCCATCTCTAGCCAATGATATTGATGATATTTAACTGCGGTGTTCTCTTTGAAGTAAGTAGTCTTGGTTTTACCTCTGTCCGAGTTTTACTAACGAAATATATGCAAGTGACATAGACGCTGAAGGTTGGTTGCCTGGCATGTGTGCTGCAGCGGTAATGATCATCTTATTCTCATGATGGAGGTCAGCTGCAGACCTGCAGGTCCAAAATGCCAATGCATCGATACTAAACAGTGTCTCTTGTTGCCGCGCTTCAGCGGATGTTTTCTACTAAATAGATAAAAGATAAAGTTCCTATTCAGTTTTCTAAGGATTGAGTCTAATTAAAAAGATGCAATCCTCGCGTAATATTGAGATGTCTAGGGCTTTTAGATGTTCTCTGCACGGGCTGCATAGGGGACGTTTACAATGCGAATATCTAACTCCCCTTTTTCGTCAGGTACCATAATGAACGCCGGGATATTGGGGATGCAACTGTTAAGCGCATAGTAAGCCATCAGAACAGGTCTTATGTCGTGACAGTGTTAACATCAGATTTATCTTAAACCCGACATGCAAGCTTTTGAATTTACAGCTTTGGATAGTTGCTCCATTCCTTCGGCGTCTACAGTTTCCAAATAAGGCAAGACTGGTAGTTGATATGGAAGAGGCGCGCGCCAGTGTCAGTCATGGCTCCTCCCTTAACCATTCGAGCAGAGATAGCAAAAGATACGATAAACAGTTCCGCGGCCATTGTAGCTAAAACAAATGGCGCATCCCTGGAGTCTGTATTCGTAGATGCTCAATTGCCTCAATTACCTCGTCTGTCGTCTCAAGGACGTACTGATCCATCCTCTTCCTTCCCTATTCCTTCCTCGCTTCATCTGATATCACCTCCTTTGAGAGATTCAGTTGTATTCCCCGCGTTTCCGCCTACAAAGGTGTCTGTGGTAAACTCAGATGCATTCACAGTCGCACGCGGTCTGATCGACTCATCTTTCAATACACCGTCTTTTGTGCCCACCTCTTTGAGTTCTTCGCCAGGCGAGCAAGCGCCTTTCGTGCGTACAGCTGTCTTGAACCTCGCTAGCGATGAGCTTCCTGGAGGAGGATGGAATTGCACTTTATCTTGTACGCAGGAAGAAGCATTATGTTATTCGTCAACGTTGTTCAACACCCTGAAACCATCTTACTATCCGTGGCCCAATATCGGGCGTGGTTCTGTAGCAGGTGTACTCTCACCTGCCGTAGTCGTTTTCCGTGCCGATCTTGATAGTGGCCTGGTGCCATTGGAGCAGAGTGATTGGAAGTTGGTGCAAGTCCTAACAGTCGCAGGGCCGTGCTGTCCTCCGTTGTCGGAGGATAGGCAGAAGTTTGCGAGTGATAGTGTTTTGGAGGACCTCAGGGGGAAAATCAAACTGATATATCGTATGGCGGCATGGAGCGGATGTTGGGATCTAGTGCTAGGTGGATTCACTAGTATTTTGTTTTGGTATCGATCACTCAAGATTGTGTAGGTGCACTTGGATGCGGCGCTTACCGCTGTCCGCCAAGGTTAGTCGCTGAAGAGATGAAGGCCATTTTACTCGAACCTGAGTTCAGAGGCTGGTTCCGCCATATAGTATTTGCCGTATACAGCTCAAACCGTAATGGTCCTGGAAACTTTGGGGTATTCAAAGACGCATTAGATGGTATAGACGTGTAACATCATTACTATCAGTCCTTTTGGTAGATAGGTGCTGTGATCCAAAAAAAAGTAAGAATATCCCCTTTTCACGTGTGTTACTTCAAAATGATGTGTAGCCTTACAACAACCGCCTCGCATTCATAGTTTTCGTTCATATTTTTCGTCCATATTTTTCTAATTCCAACTAACATTGTATCATTATTACTCCAAATCAAATAACAGCACCTCTGTAACAACACCCCCGACATTATGCAGCTTTATCTCGACGCCCTTTTCAAAAGTGAGATATGCCCCATCGCCTTCGCCTAATTCTACACCATCCTCGTCAATCGTACCACTTATCCTTAACTTTGCACCGCGAGCTTTCTCAACGTTGTATCCAGATTTCTGGATCACGTGGACGTAGACCTTGCGCCTTGCGCCACTTGTTGTGAGAGAAGAAGAAGATGCGGTGGAATGAGAGAATGTGTGCGTAAGGGTGACACCTGGCTCTATTAACGACGCGTACATCCACAGTTGTGATCGGAGAGGTGCTGGACCTTTGCTTTCCCTATCGAGTGAGACTTCGGTGGAAGTTGAAGGGGCAACGAGAAGTGCGAGACGGTTTGTTTTCTCTGCATCACTGAAATGCCTGAATGTATGGTATGGTCTATGAACCCTCTGATGCCATTAAGTGATCAAAAGACTGACCTTGTAAAATAGGCAGGTTTTCCCTGGCCTTCTCCCGCACGGGGAGCAGCCCAGATCTGGCAGAAATGGACTTCTTGCTCACCGTGCGCCTTCTCTGAGTGTGAAATTCCAGTTCCGGTGGAGGTCATTTGCAAAGCACCACGAGGAAGGATCTCAATATTCCCCATGGAGTCACGGCTAGCAGAAGGGGGGTAAATTGAGCAGGACTATCAAATCAGATTGAAGGAAGACATACTGTTCAAGTGCCCCGCTAATAACATACGAAAATATTTCATATTCGCGATGACTGTGAGTGCCAAATCCTGTGTGTGAAGCGACACGATCCTCGTTGAGCACGCGCAAAGGGCCAAAGGATTGGTGGTCGTTATCATGATACCTGAAAGTAAGAGAATGATGGATGAGTTATCTACGAGACAGAGATCCATGGAAGGCATACGTTGCGAAAGAGAACGTGTGGAATGTTTTGAGCCATCCGTGATCAGCACGACCACGGTCTTCGCTCCTGCGGGGCACAATCTGGAGGGACTTCGCGGTAGTCATTTTTACTGTGCTTAATCTGCGATAAAAGAGGTGGAGGGCTCGTATATATACTACCAGTGCAAACTTGAGAGTGGGGTAGAACTAGGGAACTGGATCAAATTGGAAAATTGCGACGCTTAAAAGCAGTTTGTATGAGCACGCCTTTATAAGCCAGTACAAAAAGCTTACATAGATTAGAAATATGTCTGGAGAGAACGGACATGATTACATATCTTGACCCATCAGCTCTGTACATGTTCAGGAGTAGAATACCAGGTCTGTTTCGCCACTCCGAGTTAGGAAACGCATTGCACACGCATTCTCACGCACCACCACGCTCTAATGACTGCAATAGCCACACGCCAAGGTCCCTCTTGGACCGGCCGACGTAGCTATCCTTTGATTGGCACACCACCGTCTAACCATAGGTCCAAGAATGTGGCTAGAACACCGATTACTGGACGGTTTAGGAGTCTGGGCCAAATATACTTTATTGCTTTAAAGAGAATTTAAGGCAGAAACTATCTGGTTTACTTGATGACTTGGACTTGTTAGATAAAAACCATACTCAAGTGCAGCGCTGAACTACAAGGCTCCACAGGATCTTCATGACAATAAGTGGCTGGAAGACTGTGATACCAGGTGACAATATCATTCCGGAATGCCAGAATGCGGAGTTTGCTTGCTTGTCCTATACAGCTTTTGTTAACATCCGTGATGCAAAGGAAATAAGGGAAAACTTGCCGTTAATGCAAGGGTCTGAAGTCTCCGCATATACCAACGAAGAATAGATCCAGTAGTCAATGTTTCACCAGTTATGGGGACTGTGGTATCGTAGCTGTAGTCTGTATGATATAAAACCCTTTCAAGCATCCACTGGTGACTAGTCCCATGACGTATTCTTACCATAATTTTTTGTTCCCTCCCTAGAAAATCAATGATGTAATCAGCATAATGTGAATATATATAATCAAGGATTCAACTCACCAAAATCCCTCAATCTTGGGCTGCTGTAATTTGAAGAAGCTCTTTGAAAAGTTGCTTGGAATACCATTTCCATTAACTTTCGCTTCATGCAAAGCAGTGTTCAGAGTGATAGCACCGATTAGTGCTTTGCTGCAACCTTGACTGTGGTGCCAACCTTAGTAAAAATGGAACTAATAACAATTATCGCGGGAGCTTACCCAAATACAGGATTCAGTCTCATGACGGAGTCACCAATGGCAACCCAGTTTGACGGAAGGCTGACAGCTTGATGGAAGCGTATATAAGATGTGGGAGCTGCATAAGAAGTTGGATTTTTTAAGGACATTGACCTATTCCATGATCCTCGCATGAACTTGACTCACGAACATGAACGACACTGAACGTCATCCTGTCTTCAACTTCGGCGAGCAAGTCCAACATCTCAGAAAACCATTCGGGTGGGGGCAATTGCAAAACCATGGTATTCATATACTCTTTAGCCGCTTGCAATGTTCTAGGAAGGTCGTCGTCCGCCCACGTCCCAAAACACAGTTGAACTAATGAAAGCACATTCATTTAAATCGTCTGAGACAATCGCGAGAGAACACGTACGCCTGTCACCGTCAACTCTGGAAGCGTAAATGCTACGCCTATCCTTACCAGGCTCGGTGAGTGTCGCATAGACTGCACCTCCGCCCTCAAAGCCACCTGGTATAGGCAACCGCTTTGCTAGGTCGGATGGAATGGGAAAATCAAACGTCGAGTATCGAATTTTTTGGTCGTACGTGACCTTAAGTTCATTGAGAGGAAGAGTACCCTTTGAGTAGGACTCAGCGTTCCCATATCCCGCACGTTCCAGCATTTTCACCCCCACACGGGCAGGCCCGGTACAATCTGCCTCGAAATATCTCTATGAACCATGTTTCAAGTGAAAGAGGACGGACAAACCGACAACTAAGGCAGCCTCGATTTCTTTGGTGCCGGAAGGGGTGCGTATTGAAACTTTTTTCACTCGAGAGGAATTTGCTGGGTCCGCCATTATTCCTGTTACAGTACCTACCACCCAATCAATATTACTATAATATCCTTTCCCCACCACCAAACGACGTATGAGTGTTTCTAAGCCCTGGCGACTGGAGAAGATGCTCTTCGGCAAGTCGCCATTGTACTCGTCGTATGGTGCTCGATGAGGGTGGCCCCACATACTTCCTTTAAAGTCAGCAGGAAGAACTCTAGAAAATAATTAATACGCAACGTTGAATGGAGCAAAACGGATAGAACTACCGTATGTCTGAAGCTTTACATTCCTCTTCGACATTCGGGAAAAGTACCTTGAGAGCCATGAAGAAAAATGCTTGAACAGCTATGAGATTGTATATGTCAGCATCACGCCATTTGTAGGAACATTTTCAAGACCTTGAAGGGAATAATACTGCATGACACGGGTCCTCTGATGCTTCTGAGTCCATGCTTGAGTTTTGTAGCCTTCTTCAGTTGCCAACCATGCCTCAGGCTCCACAATCACTACGCGCTGGAAGTGGTTGTGACAAACACGTGCGGTCAACAGCCCCGCAATGCTAAAGCAATGAAGAACGTCAATGATCAAGTCGAAAGAACACCGAAGAAACCTTACCTGCCACCACATATAACAGCCGCTCCTTTAATCTTCTCATCTTCTAAACGGGTTTGGCCCAACGAAGACAGGTCAGGGATCGCAGTTTGCTCTGAGAGCAGTTTATTCCACAAATGACGCCATAAATAAGGGAAGATGGCATAGCAAGCAGCTGGCAGTCCAACGATAAGAAGCAATAGTGTAGACATTGATAGAAATGCAGGATGAGGTCGGTATGCAACACCTTCGTGTGTGAATTTATAGGTATCGTCCCTATGCACCGTAAAAGCCTAACCAGCTCTAGGCACGGCTTAACATGTAAAGAAGGGCGCCCAGTTACAGTCAATGTAACATATGACTAGTCATCTATGTTTCGTCAGGAAGGCTGGAGGAAAGAGTAATAATATCTACCGTTCAACTCCGCGGACACACGACACTGCCGATTTCGAAAGTGAGTAAGACGTCTTTTCCGGGCTCGTACCACAGGAGTCTACCTTAGTGTCTTTTTCCGGTAATCGGCATATCCACATTCAAGTAGATATGAATATAAGTAGAACGAGTTCTAGGAAGTCACAATACAGCAGCGGCATTGATGTGGATACATGACCGCACAGATTCAGAAGACATGCTTGATAGGTCCTCGTCAGGAAACCTGAGTAGATATCGAAACAGAACGTGGGTAATTGTTCCTTGCGAGTGGCAAAAGTAGATCCGGATGTGCCAAGATGAGCACAGAACCGCATAACATTGGTTGGATTGAACCACCAGGAATGGCAAGGAGTTACTGCAAGACAGAATTATTTTGGAAGTAATGCTGTTGGATAGTATGATGAGATGACTCTTCTATCGCGGAATAATAGATCAGGAGCGGCATGTGTGACAATTTTGCCCGCAATGGCGAGGATGGGGATGAAAGCCAAGCTGACGGATCACATCCGACGTACACAAAAGTCAGCAACGTTGCGCTCTAGTGATCAGAAAGCAAACTCAACTTACGTAGACACGTTGCGCGCTAAATAATTGTATTTATATCCTCGCATGTCGACAAATTGGATCGGGGACAACTTGTATCCTGTCTGCTGGCCATGTTCCTGTTCATCCACCATCACAACCCGAACGCGGGTTGCTTGGTGTGCATCACTGTCTGAAATCCTCTGGATGCTGACACGGTATCGCTTCTTGTAAAATCGGCAATACTGCATTGTACGGTGAACACAAATGGAATTAGCCGTAAGCATACTACTATGTAAGTGTGGGAGCTGAATCGTAAAGGACTCACTCAAATTATGACACTGAGCATCACATGCTGGCTGCCGATCACACAGGTGCTCACTGAATGGGACTAGGGACTTTGCCAATTCGACTCCGATCCCAGCACAGCATGACGTCTAAGGAGTCAGCATAAAAATTGCAGAATACGGTCCGAGACGCGCTCAAGAGGACGCTGCGACGGACACAGTGCCAAGCACGAAACGTGATATCCCTAGCGGACAAATATCAACGGAATGATCACCCCCAGCCAGACCGAGAAGGGAGAAACAACATATATACTCAGGGGTTGAGATAGAAATGTTGAGCTACATGAAACGAGATGCTCAGCTACCAAAGGACGTCAAGACAAAAGATATTGATGGGCGCACATTACTCTTTATTGACATGGGTATCAAGCAGAGTTTGGCACCGAGGTGCTCCCTACTCCTCTTATTCCTCGCGCCGCGCGAAAGTTCCATGAACTAGATACAGTACTCCAATATGGAGTAGAAAACATGGATCGGGTAATCTTTGTTTCTCTAGCCGCATCGGTTCCGTTGGCAGTGCTACTAGCACTCTCCCACTCCTGAAATCTCGTTTGGCCGAAGTCGAGCTCAGAAAAGGAACTATCAGGAAGAGAGGCTGTGAGAAAACAATTTAAGCCGGAATACACGTTATCTCGGCAGTGCGGACAATGCATGCCCCAACTTTGTTGTTACGTGCTGCGTTTGACAGTATCGGAAGTGGATATATGCGGTATATATGCGTGGAAGGAATGTGAGTGAGTAATAACATCTTTTACCATATAGGAATCCACTGACGTTCTTAACCCCAGTGGTCTAGCATTAAAAAGGTGGTTGAGCATTCATTTGAAGTTCTTTCGCTACGTTTAATCTGAAAATACAATGCTATGTAAGGCGATTTCCTCAGTATAAGCATAAAAACACTCACCAAGATCGACCCAACAAAGAGTATGATAGGGCCTATCCGAAGTATACTGTAACAAGTGGCCCGTAGTAAAGTAACTACGAGCACATAACATGAAGCTGATGAGATGCTCTTCGGATATTCTGATTATCACATATTTCATATAGCCGGTGTTCTCAACACGAAATTAGACACAAAAACGGTTTATAGGTAGTTATAGTGACAACCTGAAAGAAAACGATTCAGTGAGATACTCCCCAGAGCAGGATAGTGTTATTAAATCATACCATGATTGCTAGAAACTGCGCGTTCAATGTGTAAGCTTCGTATTTTATAATATTATTTTGTTCGGCGGTTCGTTGGAAGATGGAAGAGTAAAGAGAAGCCCGTGAGTGGGACAATTTTAATTCACAGCCGATCTCCGACAAGCTGTCCGACACCGCAGTGTTTGTTGCATTGAAGTATCGACGGTATTCATTCCCAAATCCTCAGCTATCAAAACTTTGGTTTAGCTCAACCTTTGCAGGATCTAATGCGCCGGGATCATATGATTTTCATATGGAGATACTTGTGGATACTATGAACAGGAAAAATACCACGGTGTGGGATGATTTCTCATTCCGCATGTCGTCACGTCCTCCGCCCGCGTGTAGCCCAGGTAAGGGCAAAGGTTTCGAAGACTATGGAAGTACCTGGCCAAAGAATCACAACAGGCCTCCCACAACTACCTACACCGCTGCCAGTACCAGCAAAGTACCAGCGAATACTAGCAGCAGAAGAACATACAATGACATCGCGGAACTTTCAGACAGCGACGACGAACTGTCGCTTATCTCGAAAAATTCACAGTCTTCCGACGCGTTTTCCTCTGCTAAGCGAATCTCTAAGTCGAGGAAGGAGCACTCGGAAGACTTTAGGAGCGAAATCGAGTCCGATAATCATACTATTCGTTCGGGATCCATGCCCAAATATGAACAGAAGTGGGCTTTCAAGTTCACAAAGAACAAACGTACGAACCATGGAGACGATTATAATGAAGGCCCTCCCCCTCCTTCCTCATCTTTGTGCAGCGCACAGTCAGAAGACTCTACGCCATCTGCGTCGTACCCCTCCAAACCTCCTGCATCGCGCAGTCGTGGTCAGGGCAAGGGTGTTTCCATGGATTCGCGCCCCAAGAGACGAGAGGAACCACCTACGGACCTTGATGACTCACCTCCGCCATTTCCTCCACGTGTCAAGCCCAGGCCTCGCAGGGTGACTCGCAAAAAGTCAGGTCCATACGACTTAGATGATGACGAGGTAGTCTCTACTCCTGCGTATAGGCCAAGGCCACAGGCTCTCCCGCCACGAGAATCATATTCGAAGGAAGTTCACGACGCTTCTGAGACGGCAAAAGATAAGACTTCGAAAACTGACCGTAAGATCCAGAAATTTCCGTTGGACTTGTCTCCCGTGGTAAAAGAAAGGGGGCCAACTACTGCGAATGGGAGAGTGGGAGAAAAGAGAAAGGCTCTCGAACGTGAACTACCTCTTCCTTCTCCGCTATCTTCTCAGAAGGACAGGAATAAAGCTCGCTCAGGGAATCCTTCCAAACACGCTTTGCCCCTCCCGTCTCCACTGTCCAAGCGGAACAAACAGAAGGCGCAGAAGACTAACGGTGGTTATTTCCCAGAACTTTCCCCGCTATCATCTCCCGGTCACCATAAGTACTCGCCGAAGGATAAAGGCAAACGTAGAACTCGTTGTGCAGCTCAACAGGATGATGACGATGATGATAATGACGAACTTGCCCTTGTCTCTGACGATGAAGTTCGGACTCGAGGCGGTCTGCGGCCGTTCCCAATGAGTACTCAAATGCTGCAAAGCATTAAACGTACCCCTTCTCCCAATTATATCGGTCTGACGAAGTCTGGTAAGATATTCCCCGATGACAGTGATATGGAAGGTGAACGAAGTAGAAAGCGTAAAAAGAGAGGCGAATCGACGTACGTTCTATGTTATTACACTCTTAGTATTGCTATACGTTTGTTATAAACATGTGCTGATATATATTCAGCGCACTGGCCGGTTTGCATGTTGATAATTCGCAGGTGGATGAGGACTCACGTAAGCTTCCAGCTTTGCTCGTAAACCGATCAACTTTATTGATGCTTTAGCAGTATATATAAATCATGACCCATCAACCCTTTGCCCGTACTGCGACGAACCTTTACCAGCGGTTCCTACGCAACATCTGCGGAATCTTCTTGAAACTACAAGGCGCAAATCGTATCCCGCGCCACGCGTCAAGAACCCACAGGGACTTAAAGCCGCTCTCCCTGTATACATTTCCGTATGCCAACGCCATATATTCGAAACGTATCACCTCCCATTGGCAGAGTCAAAAGGCTGGCCGCAAGAAATCAATTTCAAAGAAGTCCCTGCGAGGGTAGAGAGCCTGCGTGAACACTTGGAGTCGATTATTTTGGACGCTGGTGTCGATGAGAACTTCGCAGAAGGGAATGAGGATGAGGTTAACGAAAAAGGCGCGAGAAGAAAATGTGTATTCTGGAAGGAGATGATGAAAGAGGTGAAGAAACAGGGTAGTCGTGCGGTTGCTGGTGTCAAGGGTCAGTTCGAGAGTTTTGAGAAAATGCAGCCGGGATAGTATGTGTTTGCCATGTCACCTTTGGCAACTTGTATCTGGCGTCGCTGTATGCTGATCGAACTTTCAATCTAGCTATGGCGAACTCGGCTCGGTAATCATTCACCAGACACTTTACAGTCTTTTCCCTCCATCGTCCTTTGACCCGTCTTTAATTGCACCGTTAACGCCGGCCGAGTTCATACAGCGCATACTGGTCCCAGAAGCAGCCGTTGAGTTAATTATGGAAGATCTCTGCATAGGCAAAGGCGATGCAGTTAAGACGTTACGTGAAAGTGCGCAGTATGGGGTTGCTATGTTTCCTGACGCGGATTCTGGAGTGAGTGGATCAGGGGCAGTTGGAGACAGCGATGAGGAGGATATGAGTGTGGCGGATCAAATTGTCCTGGAGCGCGCGAGGGTGAGGAGGATGGAGCTCGAGATCGAGGAAAGAATTGAGGAACAAATGTTGAAGGAAGAAAGGGCTGACAGGAAGACTAGGGAGAAAGAGATCAAGGCAAAGACCAAGGCTACGGAAAAACGAAAGAAAAAGGTGCAGGAGAGAAAGAAGGCAGCTACTAGCGATGAAGAGAGCTATGTCCCTCGTGCTACGAAAAGTCGACGGAAAAGAACAGACGAGAGCAGTGTATCTGCCACGGAGTCTGAGGCGGATAGTATGTCTATTGTGTCTGATGTTAGCAGACGAAGCACCAGAACGACCGGGAGGAACTACACGAAACAGATAACGTGCGGCAGCACACTTGCGAACGCTTCTGACATGGAAATTGGTAGTAATACCGATCGATCAGAGTCTGTCGAGGTTCTTGAAGAACCTAAGGCCCGGAATCGCCGTCGACGCGCTCCGTCATACGAGAGTGTGGCAATCAGCTCTGAAGAGGAGGTTGGGAAGGTTCCTTCGGTCAATGCACTGCAAACAGTGGATGAGGATCCTACGCCCCGACCAAGGAGGATAGTGGAAAGCAGCGCTCGATGTCTTCCTTCTAGACAGCCATCTAGCAGTGTATTATCAAGTACGAACAACTTCCTTCCCCTGCAAGTTGCCAGGGCAAAAGCGATAAGGTAGTAAATGCTTGATGTCGAATGATGTCGGGGCGCTTACCCCTGTTCTACTGCATAGCACCTATGATGCGCACTGGCAGAAGAGTTTCAGAGCTCCTGTTTCTGATGATGGACATTCATCGGAGTCATCGGAAGCACGAACGACACATCAGTATGCTTGGCTGCTCAGTGACGAAGGCAGCTCGTCGCGTTCGTCCTCACCGTGACTCTTTTCGAATAAATGCAATGAGAAGGGTTGAGGAAGTTTGTCCTAGGTGGTATATCTGTAGATGTCGCAAGAAAAGGCGAAATAATAGCTGACCACTTACATTATCGTCATGACTGTTCTGTCTGTAATTTTACTAATGCTATTGTCTATAGCAGAAAAGAAATGATAATATATAGCAGATTCTCCATCCGTTCAAAATTGAAAATGTTATGGTTGATATTGGATAATATTACATTATATATATGCTATGATTCAATTTCTACCAGCGACTGCCCTCTGACGACTGTACCAGCTTGCTCCGCACTTTCTGCGAGTAGAGACGAGCCTCCCTCGTCAACTGCGAGGCCCTTCATCCCAGTAGTTAGGTCCAGGGCGGAAAGGACCGTTGCCGCGCCCTTGTCCGCAGACTGCCCCCCTATAGGCTCCGTGGATGTAGGAGGGACAGAAAGAGCCTGACTCTCCCATCCAGATACATGTGTTCCGTCGGCATTTTCTACTCTCTGAAAGAATCGTGGCGCGAGGAAGCCAGTTTCGTCACCTTCTGTAAGCACAACACCATTTGAAGATAGAGAGAATTTGATCCCAGCGTCAATGGCCTTTTGAACATCGATATAGATAAGAATTTGAGAGGACTTGCGCATACCTGAAGTCGAAAAAAATTCATGAGTGTACGTGAATATAGTGTTCTTTGTGTTAACGCACCACTGACAACGCTATCACCTGCTATACCTTGCGCGAGATGTATGTGGTTTCGTTTCATCTTGGATAAACCTTGCGTAGCTTGGGTACATGTTTGTAATGTTGATAAATAGATAAGTTACATTTGAAGTATTAAACTTACATATTAGTTCCCATGCTTTACGATTAGTACCATGAACCGCCATTGGAATGTCCGTTGCAGAAGCGATAGGGTTTAGCTCAATTTCGATGGTCTTTTTATCAATTAGTATTGCCTACGACTTCAATACTGCGATAAAAGAGCGACTTGCTTTGATCGAATGTCCTTGATTGGCCCTGATCCACCATACGTCTGATCCAGACGAGGCTTCTAGAGATCCAGCTTCACAAAGAAGATTGTAGCGTTGTTTTCTGTCCTGCCTTACAATGTCCTCGAGCATTGGATATGTTACTCCTCTGAACCTTGGGTTAGCGAGCTAGCTGACCAACTCAGACAAGGATCGTGATTGAAGCAGCATGCATAGGAAACGTACCACGTCTGCGACGCGAGCATAGCCGTCTGAGCGAAGAACAAGGCCATCTGACTGTGCTCCGTGACGAAGAAGCCACGAAAGGCTTTTCGAGATTCGTACTTCAGGTGTGTCTTTCTCCCTTCCTCTTAGCTTTGACCCGCCTTTCTGCTTTTCTTTTCCCTGGGTTTCCTGTGATGCCATTTTTGCTAGATGAGCACGCTTTGAATATGACCTCGCTGATAAGACCGATGCCGGGTTCAGAAGTACGTTTAGGTCCCTTGTCCTGCAAAATATAGCCGTCACAGGTATACGATTCATGAACGTTGGACTTGCAGTGCTTCCGAGTATGGTCTATGGTGTCAATGGCAAATGCCGGCCCACTATGACAATCAAAGCAGGGCAACCGTGGCACGGCCATAACTGCCATAAGTATTCCAGTTGAAAACATATGTTTTCCAGCTCCCATCTGCACTTGAATATAACAACACTTATGAACCCGCCTCAATGTCCCGAGAAATGTCTTCTTGGAAATCTGCATCTTCCCGCTTGCATAACCTGAAAGACTACATTTCCCAACATCGTGAAGACCTTCGACGAACACTACCTAGAAGATCGATTCGACCCGGCGAAAATGGATACGTCGATGGTCAGACAACCCAACAGAGCTGGAGTCAATGGGCTGGGCGGAGGATCAAAAGAAGTGGACAGTCTGATGCAGCGAGCATCGGTATCGACGAGCTTTCTCTCTTTCCAGGGTGGGCTACACGGCGCTACAACATATCCTCGGTCAGCGATCCCAATGGTGAGTAGCATGAGCAACATGGTCAGGTCGTACTGATTTATTGGCTTAACAATGTTTTATATAGGCTCTTTTGACGTAGATGTATATGTCTCAGGATACGCCACCAGCCGTCGACCTCCCGAGTTCTCTACGCGCTCGCAGCGCGCGTTTATTCGTTTAGCAAAAGGTCACTTCACTTCGTTCCCATTCTACTTTTGTTTTACCCCTTGTGTAGGTTTCGCAGCCTTGCCCAAAATTCAGGTCCCTCCACCCAACCCCAACGGGTCCTCTGACCCTCTGCTCGATGATAACCTGCTAGCTTCTCTCAAGCTACCACCACGGCCATGGGAGATTTCAGATGATTATGAAGTGGGAGTGCTGGAAGAGCGATTTCAGCACGTAGAAGTAGGGAATCCTGACTGTACCGGCGATGATGTATCATTCGAGTCTGAGACTTCCGTCGGAAGCATCGGTTCATCACAACTTCCATCCCAGCGTAGTATTTCTTCTGCGCTCAGCAATGCCCCTGCATCATTGTCTTCAGATATTCACAGACTACATGCAAACCTGGAGTCGCGATTGCAACCCTTTTGGGCCTCCGCCCTTTCTTCTCGAACAATCCGCGTGCATGTATTCGCTTGTCCTGCTGGAACCTCTCATCCCAATACCACGACATCACTGGAGGACGAGCGCAAATCCTTCGACTACGGGCCTCTGCTCACAAAAGATATACCAACCGGTTCTGATGGATCCTTCTCTGCAAAATTCACAATTGCATGGAAAGATATCTGCACCCATCCTCTTGCCCTACATATCGCGTTTGGTGATCCAACGCAAGAATACGACCTCCTGATCGTGGCCGAACTGTTACCCCCACCCGTGACATTGCCCGGACAAGTACTACCACCGCCTTCCCAGCCTTCGGCTCAGTCAACCCTTCATATTTCTATAACGCAATCACCTGTACGTGTTATATCCGACATTGATGACACAGTAAAGGTGTCAAGTGTATCAAGCGGAGCACGGGCTGTGTTCCATAACGTATTTGTAAAAGATCTTCAAGATATCATCATTCCAGGTATGGGGGAATGGTACGACGAAATGTGGAAACGAGGTGTAAGATTTCATTATGTTGTAAGTTACCTTCTCTCATAGAACTATGACCAACTCATCAAGGCCCATTTAGTCTAACTCACCCTTCGAGTTGCTGCCAGTCATCACCCAGTTCTTCCAAGTGTCTCGATTACCCCCAGGTAACAAGCCGTTGATATGCCCTCATTGAAACCCCACTTATGCACATTCTAGGCTCAGTAAAACTCAAGTCATATGCTGGTCGCTCTCTCTTCAATGGCCTTCTTTCAGCCCCAGCCACGCGCAAGCGCGCAAACGCCGTGGATACTTTGGATAGCTTCCCGAATTCAAAATTTATTCTTATTGGTGATTCAGGGGAACAAGATCTCGAGTTATACGCTTCTATCGCACAGGAGAGGCCAAATCAGATCATTGCCATCTTTATTCGTGACGTCGCCACCTACACGGACGGCATTTCCTGCATCTACAATCCAACAGGGGCAAATAATGTGCTCACAGATTCTCCACCACTCACGCCACGCTTTGATGCGTCACCGAGCAATGTTTCTATTCCAAAGGCCACAACGCCACCCCCGCACGCATTGCCAAAACGCACGAAGTCAGATCTCATCCCCAAAGCGCGCCCATCTCGACAACTCAACATGCAACCATTCCCAACTGATTCGATGACACTTACGGGCTTGCCGGTATCTACTGATCCTGGTTCATACTTACCTAGCCCTGGGTCTTCAGTCGACTCTGCAAGTTCCATATCATCCAGCATCTCGCTACCAATCCGCGCAGGGCGACGATTGACGGGACAAGCTTCGATGTTGTCGGAATCGGAGAAGAAGAGAATAGATTTGCAACTTCGAGTAAATCGTGCGCGAGCACTTATACCCAGACAAGTCGTTCTGAGAATATTCAAAGAGCCTCGTGAGTGCGTAGAGGCACGTGAGCTCCTTGATGCTTTACATGTAGGAATAATGGATGCAAAAAAATCCTAATGATAACGCATACACAGTTTAGCGAATAGATGATTGACATGTATGCTGCACGCCTAGCTATAATTACAGCATCTATGTTATTAAGTTCGTGGGATATCATCATTCTGTTGAGACTGAATCCACAACTGGTGTCTCAAGCTTTTCAGAAAGTGCTTCTGCACGTTTTTGCATAAGAGCCTTGAGATCAGCTAAATAACCGTTCAGCTCCTAGGTAAAGGGCGTGTTTATTGTGAGCACGTGGATACCATGGTATCATAAGACCAAAACCTACGTTATTGTTTGGCTCGAATTGTAGGCCCAGCGTAACTGCATCTTTCGCCTCATCCAATTGACCCAGCCCAACCAAAGCTTTTGCCTTCCTGAAGTGGCCCTTGCTCCAATTCCGCCGGATAGAAATGACAGTCTCTGCATCCACGAGGGCACCAATATAGTCACCAAGCTCGAACAATGCCGCAGAGCGATTAGATATAACAGTGGAGAGTTCTTCCCGCATTATCTGACTTAGTTCCCAAGGCGGGCGCTGTACAGCAATGCTGGCAGCCATCGTGTATCGCGAGATGGCATCTCTATGCTTGCCGGTTTTGTACATGTTCTTCAGGTATGGTGAGCTTTCAGTCAGACATTGTAAGGTAAAACACACACATTTCCTTCGTCCTTAGTATTTGTTATAGCCTGTGATAATTTCTGGGAGACCACATTTGCAGGAGGTGGACAGCGTAGGTTTGGGCTTCCAAGCAGAATCTTCGACAGACGGTTGACAGAAACAAAGTCAATATCACAGTCTGTACATTTCTCGAGCTTGTGAGGTTCGCAAAATGCAAAAGAGTTGTTGGGTCCACCAATGGCAAGGTCTACAACACTGAAGTCCTGTTCTATGATGACCTGCATGGCTGGGTCAGGTGGAGGTGCGACCATCTGCTGGGGAGGAGCCTGGGGATGCGGGTGGGGATGCGGGTGAGGGTGGGCATGAGGTCCCGGTTGTGCTGGAGCAGGTCTCGGTGGTTGGGACATGGCTTGCTCGCTGTACTTGACGATGAGCTCGGATCGTTGCGCGGTGCCACTGTGGTGCAAGGTTCTGCCACGTCGGGTCCGCGAACGACAATTGTGAGAATATATTCCCTGATGCGGGTGCTTAGTCAAGTCGCAATTTTCATCTGCTTTGTTAAGTCGCACTCTTTTCTTTCCTGATCACCCATCCCTCCCACATCCACTTTTCGTTAGAAAAACCGATTTTTGAAAAGAAAAAAGAACACATTCAGTTCATCCTTTCCACCTAATATGACCAATGGAACTGTAAACGGTAACGCTAGTCTAGAGACTCAGTTTTGTGAGCATCTTCAGAAAATTCCTCAGGCAGTCTGGGCACTCATATCTTTATTTTCTTCATTAGCTTCTCTCGGCATTAATGGAGCTGCAAAGTCTTATGTCCCTCCTCATATGAGAAATGCGCAGCGGGCTGTCTCTGCTGCTGCCACGCCCAACGGGTATGTCTTTATTTTTCTTTGTTGAGCTCCAACGACTAAGGCGCTTTAACCGCAGGAACGGCTGGAACGAATCCCGCAACGCTCCCTCACCTCGTGGTGGCCTGGAATCTCCTCGGGGAGGCTTTAGTGATAGAGGAAGAGGTGGTAATTTCAATGCATTTAGTTCGGCTCGCGGTGGCACTGCTTCCAGCAATTGGAGTGAGCGCCCTCCTTCTGCCAACGGTTGGACCGCCAAAGAACCCAGAGAGCGTGAGACTCCGGGTTTTGGCGTCGGTGTCTGGCGAGATGGTAAACATAACGTTGGACCCCGTAATATGCGTTTGGAGAAGGAACTTTTTGGAGATGCAACAGATCCCTCGAAGCAACACACCGGCATAAACTTTGAAAAATATGATGATATCCCCGTTGAAGCCACTGGCGCAGGGGTACCAGATCCTGTAAATGCCTTCACACATCCCCCTTTAGACCAAGTTCTCTTGGAGAACATTGGATACGCTCGTTACACCACCCCTACCCCGGTGCAAAAGTACTCCATTCCTATTGTCGCTGCCAACAGAGATTTAATGGCCTGTGCCCAGGTATGCAGCATTGATGCTCCTTTATATATCCTTACTTATTGTAATGTTATAGACTGGTTCAGGCAAAACAGGAGGCTTCCTGTTCCCCATTCTTTCTGCATCGTTTGCCTCGGGTCCTAGAGCACCCCCGGTTGACACGCCCCAGATGGGCTATTCTCGCACTCGTAAAGCTTATCCGACTGCTCTAATTCTTGCGCCTACCCGTGAACTGGTCAGCCAGATTCATGAGGAGGCTAGAAAATTCGCCTATCGCTCATGGGTGAGGCCTGCTGTTGTTTACGGCGGAGCTGATATCAATCAACAATTACGTCAAATCGAGCGTGGCTGTGATCTACTCAGCGCCACTCCTGGTCGTCTGGTCGACTTGATCGAGCGTGGACGGATTAGCCTGGCCAATATTCGCTACCTTGTTCTTGACGAGGCCGACCGCATGCTTGACATGGGTTTCGAGCCCCAGATTCGTCGTATCGTCCAAGGCGAAGACATGCCGGGCGTTCACGACCGCCAAACTCTCATGTTCAGTGCCACTTTCCCACGTGATATTCAAATGCTTGCCAAAGATTTCTTAAAAGATTACGTCTTCCTCTCCGTAGGCCGCGTCGGCTCTACGTCTGAGAACATTACCCAAAAGATTGAATTCGTCGAGGACAATGACAAGCGCTCTGTTCTCCTAGATATATTAGCTTCTGAACCTGCCGGCGGTTTAACGCTTGTGTTCGTCGAGACCAAGCGGATGGCAGACATGTTATCTGACTTCCTTATGGCTAATCGCCTTCCCGCTACTTCTATTCACGGCGATCGCACTCAGCGTGAACGAGAAACAGCACTGCAAACATTTAGAACAGGTCGTACTCCGTTTTTGGTCGCTACAGCCGTAGCTGCTCGTGGTCTTGATATCCCCAATGTCACCCATGTTATCAACTATGATCTTCCTTCGGATATCGATGACTATGTCCATCGTATCGGTCGTACCGGTCGTGCAGGAAATACTGGTGTCGCCACAGCGTTTTTCAATCGCGGCAACCGCAACATTGTTAGAGATCTTGTGGAGCTTCTGCGTGAAGCTAACCAGGAAATACCCCAGTGGCTTGACAGTGTTGCTCAAGAGGCTACCTTTGGTAGCAGCTTCCGGGGCGGCCGGGGCGGTGGCAGAGGTGGAGGTCGTGGTGGACGTGGGTCTGCTTCTCGAGACTACAGAGCTGCTAGCGGTGGGGGTTATGGCGGTGGAGGTGGTTACGGGGGTGGAAGTGGTGGTGGTGGTGGTGGTGGTTATAACGCTGGATCCCGAGGCCCAGGCTATGGTTCTCCCGCTTACAGCGGTGGCTACGGTGGCGGTGGATTCGGCGGTAACAACGGTGGAGGAAGCTGGTGGTGAAGATCTGGTAGTCCCATTTCGTGCGTTCGAATGATACACAACATGCCTATTCCCTTTATCCCTTCTCGCTTGTTCCCCCAATGGTGGACATTCTCCCTGAAATCGTCATGACCCAATTTTCCTCGCTCAGCCGACACTCGGCCTTCTGTCTCCCCTTTTCTCGCAACCGGACTCTTGCGCTGCTCTTTCGACTATGATTTGGTTTGTCTCGCTGCTTTCTGCTCACTGATGACTATACGGCCCTATCTTATTCCCGTCCATGCCTACTACGGCGTGTTTTATTTTCTTTCTAATCATCCTGTCTCCGCACGCGCCACCCTCATCCGACTCCTTTGCATCCACCGATTCAAATTAGACGTTAACGGCGGGTCTGTAGACATGAGCAGTTACCTTACAGTGTCGGTCTTCGTTTCGCGATACCCCATCATTTATTGCGACGCGCAGTCGGACATTATTGATATCCACATAGCATCACGAGACAATTATCTGTTAGAGCATCGCACATCTTGTACCGTAGTCTTTCCTCTCTTCTAAATTCCGTTCCTATTCTGCATGTCGTGCAGTACTATGTATGTAAGTTACCTACCAAAAATGTGATGGCTTCTCTAAAAAGGGGGTCTATAAAAATTACTTGGTGTGCGAAAATGAGATCAGTCGGCTACTAGAGCAATCTTTTCCGTTGCGGTTTTTCTTTCTCCATCTCAACGACAAGGTATTGTTATAAACGTCTGTGTACTGAGATACACGTCAGCAAATCAAGGTCTGCCGATTTTCTATATATCCTTTGTCTTTGGATGCAGTTGGATCTCGTTTTATTCATCCTTCCAGAGCCGGCACGATGTATCGAGGCTCGCCACCAATTTTCGACGTGCCAGAGTTCCCACCTTTAAGGAGGCTCAAACCTTTACCTAAACGCAGGCGCACCATCGACGTGGCCTTGCAGGTGACAAACGGTGCTGCATCCGTCGTTCCCAACATGCTTGGTGCTGAGGGCATTGCAGAGGAGCTGATTGCGCACGCGGATTCCTTGTCCTCCCAAATGGCACTTCAGTCTTACTACATGCCCATGTTGGGTGGGGCACATAATCTCCTCAGTAACGAGGGGGAAAATCGGGCAACTGATGCCATCGATTTTGGGGCAGGATATCAGCTTGCTGACGAGCGAACTGGGAGGGAGGAAGACGATCGAGGAGAAGGGGACTACGTTGATCATTTACAACAGCCAGGAAACACAAAGAAAAGGAAGGTTCCAGCTAATGCATCAGCTTCGCTGCAAGGCCATGACATTGGCTTGGATCATTTGGGTAGTGAAGAGGAGCCTTTTTTGGGTGCAGGTGTGTTGACCAGCGGTCGGCCAGATCAAAATGTCACCGATAATGCGGTTGTTGCGCCTCTACCTGGCATACTTCCCCAGAGGAGAGGCAAGATGACTGCATCTACCCTGGCTGGATTGCAACATAAAGAGATGCTGAAGTATCGGAAAAGACAGCTTGCCGCTGTGCTGGGTGCGTTGTCACATGGTGATACGTTGGCTCTCGATCAAGCACTGTCGTCTCATTATCCATTCACCATCACAAACATTGGGTTTGCTGCCGACACCAATAACCCCGATCCACCACGAATTCGGTTATCACGTCGTCGAGGCCCTCGTTTTTCCCGTGCTGCTAGGATTCGTCTCAGTGACTCCAGCAATGGCGTGCGCAATGTCAGCAGAGTTGCATCTCCCACCTGCCAGTTTGCTTTCGTTTGTCGTAGTGCGAGTGAGTGGTGTTTTATCTACGCTGAGGGCTGAGCCTGATACAAATCGGGTTTCATCTCAGCTTCTGACCGCTTGCTTGCTACTAAAGAGGAAGTTGCAACATTGCGCTCCCGTTTTGAAGCAGAACTTGCCCGCCAAGCTGCCAAGGCGGCAAAGGCTGCTTCAGAGGCCAAAAAGGCGGCTCTGACTGCCAGCAAAGGAACACGATCAAAGCGGTCAGATAAGGGACGGCAGCATAGTCGTAATGACAACCTGCAGGTAGGCGACCAAACGCCTGACTCTTTGGAGACCTCTTTGTCCGGCTTATCTGGCCGTGGGAGCAAGAAGAAAAAGCGGTCTGCTCTTGCCATCGCCTCCAATCCTCATCACCGCAAGAATTACGTTCCTTCTCGTCTTCCTCTCACTGGCCAAGCGAATGCTGCTCAAGCGACGTTGAATGCTCAGAATTCGTTGGGACCGTTTCCACTCCGTTTCCTGTCGGCAGAGATACCGCCTCGTCGACGGAAAAAATCGACTGCGATGACACCTACTTCTCAGATTGTCAACCCCGCAGATGAATGGATATGTCCGTTTTGTGAATACAAACTCTTCTATGGAGACGGTCCAGAGTATCGTCGTTCTATCCGAACGCGCAAGCAGATTCTCCGTAGGCGCCGGAGGGCCCAAGAGAGAGCTGCAGGGGGGCTTAGTGCACCAAAGCCCACTGAAAGGGCAACGTTGGAACAGGAAGAGTATGATGCTGGATTTGCACCGTCTCCCACAGACTTTTCTTCTTCTCTTTCTAATAAAGCCGGAGTGAAGGAAGGACCAGACATAGGGAAGGCGAAAGGGCCTGTGCATCCGCAATCTTCGTTTGGATAAAATCTTATATTACGCTGGACAGAGCGATGTTGGTTCATTCATTCACTATCTACGTTTCCCAGTGCTTTTCATGTACACTCGTTGAATATATATCTGTGGACGGATATCTGATGCGGCTAAACTGAGATGAGTTCTCGCCTGGGGTGTCGTAACCCACCTGACTGTTTACGTATGTAGATAAAGCCATATATGGCAGGTTATGGATGGGTTCAGTTAGCGGTCCGAAGTTTGTGCGCCCTGTCTGTGCTTCTGCAGCCTATAAGCTTACCAGCGTTCTCAGTCAAGTTTCCCTGGAAAAGGTTAGTCCATAGCAGTATTGAAAGCTATCCTTGTTCTAAAATTTCACTATCTGTCCCTCCAAAATCTCAGAGAACCGCTCAGATTTGACGCCTTGTTTTCAGACGGAGAAAGGTCAGCCCATTTTATAATTATGACATGCCGAGCGCCCTGCCATGAGGACAATCTGCAGCTTCATAAACTATCAGATCCCATCCAACTTGCCCAATTAACCTTTGGTCCTACAGTGTAAGAGGCCCATTTGTCATTTTCATTCACTACCAAGCCCTCGATCTGCATTACGAGATCCCATCCATATTATTCAGCGGTTGTACGACTTGTCGCTTTCTACAGATAACCTTAAAATTGGCATTTCCCCGCAGCGGCCGAAACGAGCATCGTTTCAATCGCATGCAAACGAGTTTGCTTCTTGCATTTCATCTCGTTCTCAGAGAATTTTCTCCATGCTTATACAGTCATAGTCTGTCCTTTTAATAGGTGCTGCAGGACCACCAAACTTGGCTCAATCCATTAGCGGTTGTCAGTTCACCCTGTAATCAGCGAGACCGCCGGATATTATTATACTCTCCTGAACTGAACCACACCATCCTGCGCAAAATGTCTGCAGACAATCGATACATGTATCACAATCCCCAAGGGATGCCCCCGTCTTACGAGTATCAGCCTTATCCAACGTCTTCGTACGAGCCAGCACAGATATCCCAAGCCCCCGTGCGATCCATCAGGTCAAGCTCGTCCCAATCCCATTCTCCCCACCAGCAAACTACATTTGCTTCTCCTACATCGTCGTATCCGCCTCCAACTTACGCTGCTGCTTCGTATACTGTGGCGCAGTCCCACCAGCCACAATGGACAGGAGAGAACTGGCCAACATACAATCAATCTTATCCTCAGCAGCAGCCAATGGACATGGCGTTCAACCCTGGCCCTGGACGCCCAGAGGCAATAGCTACCGTTTCCAGTACAGAGAATAGACCATACGGTTCTGGTCCAGTCAGCCAACCCAGCCCAGAGTTTCGTCGCAATGAAGAGAGATATGTACCTCCTGAACCGTTGAGCTCTCCAACTCAATCAAATGATAAGCGGCGGGAAAAAGGGTCGCCGCCCATTGCCAATATGCCGGTAGTACCAATCGGGCTCGATTTCATGAAGGTATATACATTTTTTTGTCTTTACTATTTCGCAGCAATATTCATTCTGCGGCTGTCGTCACAAGCTATTGGATTCCTATCGGCTTATCATCGATGCTTCGAGTAGTCTATCGAATAATTCGTCTACCTCACAAGGACGGCCACCTCCAGCTGAGACCACGGAACGTATGCTCCAGTCCGCAAACTACGGGATGCAAATGCTAGAATCTGCAATTATACCATCAAATGTTGAGCCCAAGCCAGTTACAAATCGCGAAGAACCTAAAGAGACTGCGGTGAATTCCAAAAAACAGGTCTGTTTCCTTACCTACTTCCTGCAATTTGCAAAAAAAATTCATCCGGGAGAAAAGAAACCCGAAGATCAGGTGCAAGAGGGCCAGACATGTCTGGGCTGCAACGCTACTTCCACCCCCGAATGGCGCCGAGGACCCATGGGTTAGTCCTTATACGGTCATTTTACAAATTGAACCTACCTAAGCAACTAATACAGGTCCTCGAACCCTGTGTAATGCATGCGGGCTTGTCTATGCCAAGCTCGTACGTTTGACTATATTCATCTTCATTGACGGTTCTGAGTGTCTATTTTTTTCTTCATCCCCGAACAACAGATCAAGAAGAGGGTACGAGATAGTGGGAGGGCAAAAGGCGGCAACGATAATGGTGCGCAGGGTCAGGGTTCGCAGAACAACGGTGACGAAGGGTTTGCGTCGAGCGGCGAGGGAGGGAGTGAGGATGAGGAGTCATACGGCTCACAAGAGCGACCCAGTGATTTTGAGGATCAAGGTCGCCGGGGCTGATTCCAAGTCTGTAAGATTTTCTTATTATCTTGTTATCCCAAGTCTATGGTCCTTCCACCTCCTTCGTTGTTATGCGTTTTTTGCTGGTACTTGTTTGCAGCCTACATGTGTATACTAGAGACTTTCATCCACATTTGACCAGGCTATCATAAGCGGATGCGACAGGCATAGGGATGTATATTTTGGAGTCTTTGGCCCAGAACATCATCGATGCCATCACCCGCCGCGGGCCTCTTCAGCAGACCAGCTGACCCAAGAAGCTCAAAGCAAAGTCGTAAAGGTTGTTCGTAACTCTATAACGTAATTTTTACGTGAAGGTCTCACGAGATTACTGGTGACATATTGATGGCTTGCTCCTTATAGGACATGATGATGGAATCATATGCCAGTCACGGTGATGTCTGCATACCACAAGCTTAGATGGCATGGCTTTACTTATTGGACGTCTCAGAACCCTGTAACCTGTTTGCATGGCTCCGCAATTAGAGCGAAGAGATTATGTCGAGACAACACAATTCTATTAACCCGTGTACGACTAGTCAGCACGAATGGTTCGCCTGTAAGTTTCCCGCAATTTGATCTCAAATGTGGTGAGCGATTTGATCGGTTGCAGGCCTGACAAGTGAGGTTGCAGTCCAGCGAATCGGATGCCCCACTTTGAAGAAATTTGTTTCCCATGGTGCACCAAGCTACCAAGCTCCGCGAATATCTCCTCAGTTGAGCAACGGAGCTACTTTATCACGATGGTCATTTCTGAAACCCTCTCAAAATGCGGTGATATATAGCGGCAGCTAGAAAACAGGAGTCATACACAGTCGTGTCACGTATGTTCGAGTAAGCTATATGTAGTTTTTACACAATACGTACTCCTATCCCAGTCGTGTGTACCACGAAGTATCCACGTTTGTGATTTTCTAAAGGTTTCATCAGATGAGATATGAATCTCTGTATCCATACTATAAAGCTATCTATGCTGCGCTTTGAATTTACTGATTTGGGCTTGGGGTTTCAGTCATTATCCAGCCTATCACAGTAGCTGAATATTTGAATGTATATTATTAAACTGATCCGAAAGTCCCAATAAAACTAAAGATACAAAAACTACACACGTGCCAAGAGATATCACCGTCCTTGCACGCTCCCTTGCGTGGCCTTTGCAACACCCATTGGCATCTGCTGAGAGTGGCCAGCCGCCTGCATTCCGGATATCTGACCGTTGACCATGTTCGGCATCCCTCTCCCCATACCCGGCATCTGCCAAGTATATCCTGGAGGAAGACGTCCAGGAATACCATAACCCATATTCATCGCAGGATAACCATACATCGGAGCGTATTGTGGCATCATAGGCGCCGTGTGCTGGTTCTGATCCTGCGATTGCTGCCCTTGAACACTGTTGTTGGCAGGTGTTTGTGGGTGCGGAGATGCTTGTGGGTGGGTGGCCATGGGACGATATTGGTTAACGTTGAAACCTTGCGGCAATACTGGATATGTATGCTGTGTGGGATGGGTCAACTGAGGTGTCGCGTGAGCGGCTGGCATGGGAGAGCGCGAGAGTGGTTGTTGGTTCGCCACCAATGGGCTGCTCCGTGCAACCCCTTGGTTTGTGGTCATAGGACTTCGAGGTAGCGAAGAAGAGCCTTGTGGAGTAGTCCTCCCATTCTGTACTTGAGCCTGCGCTTGAGTTTGGGCCTGAGACATCCGCTGTTGTGCAACTGCTACCTGATGGAAGTGTTGTATCTGTGCCTGGATATTTGGAGGATACATCTGCTGTACCTGCTGCATGTGTTGCAGCTGTACCGGTACATTTTGAGGCTGTGTTTGTGGTGGCTGTGCACCAGCTTGCTGAGCAGTCGGTTGAGGAGTTTGAGTAGTATTTGTAGTAGGTACTTTGGGTTGAACGGCGCGCTGCCCAGGTACTGCTTGGCTGACAAAGTGGACTGGAGCGGTGGGAGGTTGGTAGCTGGCCATGGGAAGCTGCGCGCCTTGCACATGGGGAGACGCCTGCAAAGGCTGCAGAGTCTGTTGAGAAGATTGACTCTGGGGAGACTGAGTGTATCGTTGTGGCGCAGGAGAGGAAGCGGGTTTTGTCGGGTCTGACGATGCATGAGGAGGAGGGTAGGTAGGTGGTAGAGGAGAGCGTGAAGTGGATGGTGGAGACTGCTGCAACATGACTCCTGATTGTTGAAGCTGATTTACTGTTGGATGGGGAATAGGCGTTGGGGTTGGCTTCAAATCGGCTGGCACTTGATATGGGCTTTGTGTAGTCTTTCTTGCTTTCAGCTTTCTTGGATCTGTACCATCCGTGGTCGGGGGACGATTAGGTATAGGTGCACTGCTGGGTGGTAAGGGCTGGTTTGCTGGGGGCTGAGGAGTGGATGTTGAGGCAGGAGTTGGTGCAAGGGTCGATGTGGGCTGCAGGGAAGTGGATGCAGTAGGCTGAGGAGGAGCTTGCGCCTGTACTTGCGATGGAGGCGCCGAAGGCAACAGACGGCCTTCTTTGACACGCTGGATAGCATCGAGTATTCTATAGCTAAAATAATTCAGCCTTGAGCTCTTTCTCGCCTACTACACAATGAATAAATATACCTAGGCGTGTGGGATCTGTTTGCCCTTGGATTCATGAATTGCATGATCTTCGCCCGACGAGCCTTATCTGATTCATCCTCTTCTGGGGTGATTAAAGCAGCCTTTCGTTTCAAAGATACAGGGACAGTGGGGGTAGAGACCCTGAGAACATGATTTGCTATTCTCGTCAAGTGGGGATCAGGTTCGAGACACAATGGTGGCGCGGTGCACAACTTCAGGAGAAGCGATTAGCAAGTAGATCAGGGAGATATAGGGAAGAACATACCAGGATTTTTGCCTCAACTTCCAAAGCATCGCTATCCGTCCACGGATTACCTAACTTGCTATTGAGTAGACATATGTCTGCCCAGAGACTCTCAGCATCTGGATGCAACGTAACACGACTCTTCTCGGGTTTCTCAAGAGGTGGATCTTTGGCTTTCACGGGACGGTAGTCCAGAAGCTCCACAATCATGCAACCTACGCACGGTAGGTCAGCTACATTGAAAGTATGCGATAGCAGAGACATACCATCATAAAAGGGAACCCTGGCCGAGTCAAATAGCTCCAGAAAGTCTACGGGTATCCTGTGTGCACGGATGTCATCCAAGAGAGACTAGAAATGTAGAAAAGTGAGTAACGGAGAAGCAAGTACCGAGAACGCGCCGACATACCGCGACCTGGTTATTATAAAGGAATTTGGGACCACTATTAAGCGTCCAAAAGTCGGGATAGAGATGGACTGCAAAGGAGGGCGGTGAGGATTCGTACTTGCATAACAAATCTTCCACAGTCCGAGTAATGTTGTAGCCCGCCATGTAAGAGATGAGTCTAGCGCCGACAAACGAAACTGACGTTTATGGCCACCACCGGATTATGTCAGCACATCCTGTGTTAATGCCCCGTGGGAGAACAATTTGGGTAGATGGAGGGTCAACTTCGAGAGGTCAGTTTTCCCGCTTTGGCTCCCTTTAAAGCTGATATCAATATAATGTTTATCTGTAGCTTATACCGTTCCTCAGGGATCGCAACCCCCAGGTTCGCCAGATAGCCCTGTCAAATCTTCTTGGACATACACCAAAAGGCTCGCCCCATCGAAACATTTTTCTCGCAGGCCTTCAAGGAGGTGGCCTGCAAAAACCAAAGGAAACAGATATTATACGAGACCTCAAGCTTCTTTGTAGAGATCAATTGGTGCGTGCTGTTTTTACTCTGTGTTTATGTTATTTTACTACCCGTTGTACCAGGCTGTCGCACATGATGCCTTCCGGGCTTTGGTTAACCTCTCTGATTCACCTTTGCTGGTTCCTTTCTTAACAGAGCCGCTGTTTCTGAACTTCATAGTATCGTACATCCTCGTAAGTACTTTTCCTCAACACTTGTTATGCTTGATCACTATAGATCTATACAGAACCCTGATGCAGTACTTGCTGATCTCGCCTCGATGCTTCTCTCAAATTTGACGGCTTCTTCAGCTGCATGTGCTGCTCTGCTGAAGCTGAATATATCACTCATACCTGGTGCCTTCTCTTCCATCCCCTATTATCCTACCCAGTCTCGAGCGGGCACATGTTCACCCCCCACGCCCTATCCATCTGGAGAGGCTTGTGATGTATTAGCATTGCCACTCCTTATCGATGCTTTTGTGCAAGGAGCTCTTGTCGAATCATTAGGCGAAAATCAACCGCGGCAGCGCAGAGGAGAACTCCATTTTCTCTCCAGCGTTTTTGCAAACCTTAGCACGGTACGAAATGTCGCAAAGGCTATATATATCAATCATCTCTAACTCTTATTCTCCCAGTCACCGAATGGACGTAGTTTCTTTTTGACACCTCGTCATCCCGATGCCGTTAAAGCTGAAGGGGATCTTGAATATCCTCTGAGTAAAATTGTGGTTTTCAGTGAACACAAGGATACTATTCGCAGGGGCGGTGTTGCTTCTGCTATGAAGTAAGCAACTGGCATTTTTTCTTGAACGTCTCTGAAACTCAGCAACAGGAACTGTGCGTTCCATGCTGCCGCCCATGAGGCCCTTTTATCACCAGAGTCAGCAAAGGTATCAGTTCCACCATCGACAGTAGTGGGCCCTGGAATAGATATTCTTCCATATCTACTCCTTCCTCTAGCTGGACCCGAGGAGCTTGATCTTGAGGTTTATTTCTTGTTTAAAATTTCTAAATCATATTGATGAGATGATATATAGGAACAAGAGCGCTTACCTTCTGCCCTTCAATTCCTACCGTCCACTAAAACAAGAGAACCTGATAATGTGTTGAGGTTAACACACGTCGAGACTTTACTCCTTCTATGCACTACACGCTGGGGACGAGAGTATCTCAGGGCGAATGGTGTGTATGAAGTTGTCCGCGGAGCGCATGCAAACGAGACCGTTGATAAGGTAACTTGCTACAGCGTTATCCACACCCCCATGCCTAATGAGTTGCTTGCAAATAGGTGTCAGAACATATTGAGCGCCTTGTCATGTTATTGAAGGGAGACGAAAAAGCGGAGATCGAAGAAGTCGGTAGTGAGGATCAAAATCAAGAAGGTGGGGCTGATTCGGAAGACGAAGACGGCAAGATCGAAGAAATATGATGGTTTGAAGAAACAATGTAGTAAAGTAATAAACACCGTCTTGTGTTAGGTCTCTGAAAAACAAAATTAGTCACTCCGAGCGATATAACGTTTTGACGCTGTTTTCTTAGGCTCGTCCCCAACCTGCTTGGCTAGCTCGCCCTTATCATGTTTGCCCATATGAATTTGCCAGCTTGCGAGCAGGCTGGGACCACTTGTCGCCATTTTGTGAGGAGGACAAATTCCTCACCAAAGACGAGGTGGGGACTCGTCGTAGGGACTCAGAAGTCACAAAAAGGTCAAAAACTTAGTGTACAAAAAAGCATTTTTGTAACTATGTCTTATGTAAGCATGCGGAGGAGATGGCGACTCAAAAGAAGCACATGAGAGAAACAGTTGTTGCGTCGTGTGTAACTGATGTCTGGTAATAGAAGCCAGAAAATGAGCACCTTATATAGAGTGCTTCTAGCCTCTCTCCTTGCCCCACATCTCAGACTTCACTAATAAATCTAAATGAAACTCAGCTGCTGCCCAAGAGGCTATAGAAACGACTTTATTATTTACCTAAATGAAACTACAATAGATGTTAGTTTAAGGATACTAAACCCCCTACTACTTATAGTCGGAGGTGCTACTTGCTACAGTATAATGACTCCTAGGAGTACAATTGTGCTCCTAGGAGAACAATGGTGACTCCATGGAGTGGTGGCTATGCTCCATGGAGAACAATGGCTGCTTTAGCAGAGACCGGGTTTATCCGGTTTTGTTATTCACTGCAAGATTTACTACTGGCTCAGGCTTACTATTATCACAACACAATGGGATCTGCACCCGTGTACAGTGATTCTGGACCTTCTGGGCATGCAACCAATCAACATGCTTTCCAAGTACGCCTTGGTAGCTTAGTTGGTAAAGCACCAGACCATGAAAGCTGGAGTCCCAGGTTCAAGCCCTGGCCAATGCATGTTTTCTCATACTATAAACAAATGTCATAATTTGTCAACTATGTCATCCAACAGCAATCCCCCTCCTGTAGATATGTTTGATGGGTTCTGTCCAAAATGAATATAAATCCAAATAAGACAAATCCAAGTTTGTCCCACACAGTGTGTCAAAGCTGTAGTAATAAAACAAGACTATGATACTGTTAGTAAAAGTTATGGAAAATATGAGAATAATAGCATACCTCAGTCTGATGGATGAAGACTGAGGTGCAGCCAAAAGTCAGAAACTATACAGTAAGTAGATAGCTAGTGATAGATCAAAAATGCAGATGTACACTGTTGCATATGGATTATATAGACAATTCAATCCATTAACAAGATTTTGAGACAAATGGCTGAATGTATAATTTTGGTAAATAGACATTGATATACAATATATATATATATTTAAAGAGTTTATGATATTATTAACTATAGAAATGAAATAAGAGACTATTAATGTGTCAGTGTGATTCTATAGGTATTGTAGTGTGTAGTTTCTTACCTCAGTCAATGAATAAGAGACTGAGCTGTTACAGTGAATGAGAAATGAGTAAGTACATATTTGCGGGAATGTCCGATGTATATAATAGGAAGGTGTTTCATGTGCATGTGAACTTGTGCCACTGTGGTTGTTGATGTCTATCTATTGCTCATACTTGTTGTGTGTCGAGTACACACTCTCTACACCCCCCCTTGAGCCTAGCGTAGACCGACGTACAATGAAAATTTGTCCAACTTGACACGCAAGTAGGAGTTGGATTTGGTTAAGGTGAGTGCGTCTTGGTTATTGGTAGCTATGATGGTGGGTTTTGCAGGGGAGTTGGGATCAATGTCAACTAGCAATGATTGGAGCTGTAGCGCTTCTTTTGGCGCAAAGGTGAGTGCAGTATATTTGGCTTCAGTGCTCAACAGGGCAACAATAGGCTGTTTCTTAGCATTCCATGATATCTGTTACACCACACATTTTTTGGACCTTTGACTTTCACTCTCCGCATTAACTTTTTTTCTTTATTTTCACACACTGTGCCATGTGGCACTTTCCATTTTGTTCAAACTCCACTTTCTTGTGCTGCACTGCTTTCCTTTATTTTTAGATACAAGTCTCTCACGCAGTGGAGCTGGTCACATGGGCTGTGCCCTATGATATCATCAACCACTGCCTTCATCAACTGTACAGTACACATATACAAACAAAACTGTAGTAGTATAAATACCCAATAGATCCAGGAGACTCCTCAGTGAGTCCTCCTGTTGTTTACCCACAACAAACTTGGTCCTACCTTAAGGGAGATTATCCTCTCCTCCATTTACCACTCTTTGCTTGTTTTTATTGTGCACCAGAGTATACAAACTTTGGTCATTACAATATTGGTCCCCCATTGAAGGTAAATACATATCCAGAAATTGAGTGACAGTGGGGTTGTGAGGCCCAGTCGCTATCTGAGTAGCCCATCAGTCCTTTGTTATTCCCTCCCAAGGTCAGTTTTCTTATTTTGGTCCCCTCCAAGTATCTCATCATTTGTTTTAGAGATTTCCAGTGTATGGGTGCTGGGTTGTTGGAGAATTGTGAGGGGATAGATATGGCAAATGTGATGTTGGGTTGTGTACCTAGTGACAGGTACATTGGTTTCCCTATCACTTTGCGGTAAGGTATATGGTCCAATCTCTTTTGTTCCTCAATTGTACTTACTTGGTCCTTTGATAGGATTATACCAGGTTCTCGTGGTGTATAAAGAGATTTTGTGCCCTTTAGGCCAAATTGTTTGAGGATAGATTTGATGTACACTGTTTGGCTTATTGATACGATATGTGCCTTTTTGTCCCTTGTTATTTCAAAGCCTAACAACCATTTTATATAGATCACAATAGACAGAATTTTTTGCACTTCATTTAGGTATTCACAAAAAGTTCTATTGATAAACTACAATATACATCATGAAAACTTCACACTGCAAAATATAATAAAAACTGTTCAAAAGCACACCCAAAAAATTCACTACTTGATGAAACTAAAAGAAAGGATGTTGCAGAGGGAAGGTGTTGCAGAGGGAGAGAAATGTATTATGGAGGGAAAATCATTGGCCACATAGGTGAAGAGGTTTATGTGGGATTTTTCAAAGAAGCCTAGCATTAAAATACAGTTAGTATGTACAGTTTGCACACAATAAAACATACCTTTTTGATAGTAATGATTTATCCTTTGTAGGACTGTAATATAGTTAGCCATTCGGTATCTAACCAGACCAGGTCACTGACCTTGTAATCAGGGGCTTTAGAGCATCTACACTCTGCCCTGTCTTTCATCTGCTTTGCAGTTTTGAATAGTGCCTTGTGCATTTTGTCTAAGATAGATTTTATGTCTTTCACCATGTTCCCTGCAGCCTCATTTTGCTTTTACTAGGCTCCACACCTATTCTTGGGAGGTACAACCTTGTGACCTTGAATAGTGCCTTTCCCATAGCCAATAGCTGTTTGATATTGTAAGAGAACTGGGCTATCTTTAGCTACTTGGCCCAATCTGTTTGCCTGCCATTAATAAATACCCAGAGATGCTGTTTCAACTCCTGGTTGAGTCTCTCCATTTGTCCATCTATTTGCGGATAGAACACCATTGATAATTTAGGTTTGATGCCCAGCATCCAGCAAAGTTCTTTCGTAAATTTGCTAGTGAATTGAGGTCCCTATCGGAGTTAACCATTTCCAGTAACCTGTGGATGGACCATACAAAATCTTTAGATAAATCTGCTGTACCAGCGGCTGTAATAGTTTTATTGGTGGGAATGAATACTACTTCTTTGGAGAAGCAATCTACAACCACTATTACTGAATCACGCCCATTTGACTCAGGTAGATTCATTATGAAATCAACCAATATATCCTGCCAGGGATTAGCTGGTATTGGATCCAGCATAAGTTTACTGGTTAGCGGTTGATGGGAGTTCTTTACTATGGCACAGGAAAGACAGGATTTTATATATTCCTGTACATTTTTTACCATGCCAGGCCACATATAATTTCTGGAGATCAACTCCATGGTTTATTGTCACATAGGGTGCCCAGCCAATGGTGCGTTATAATGTCTATCTATTGCCTTGATCCATGCAAACTCAGGCACATAGACTTTATCTTTATAATAAAAGATCCCGTTTGTTTATTTATAATTTTCATTGCTGTCAAAGTACACCTTCCCTTCTGATGGGATATCTTTCTTAAAGGCTTCTAGAAGATCAGAATTCTGCCCAATTCAAACATTGGCAACCCTGGATTGATCTCAGTATTACAATCAAGGCTTCAACATGATTGTAATTTGACTCTCATGGGTATTCCCGCCATTGGTTCCTGCCTTCTATTGTTCCCAGGGATTATAGATAGAAGATTCTTCCCTACAACTGAGGATTGTTGTCTGGGTCAAAGATATAGCTGCTCAGATTACAGGGCTGAGCACTCCCTTTATGATGGTAGCAAGGAAATCTAGAGTAGATTCAACTTGTCCTATCCTACTGTTATACAGGGGTTTTAAACATATACTAAGTAGGTAGTGAGTCCAAGCTCCTCCCCAAGCTGGGTTTATAAGTAGGAGCCAATAGTGTATAGACCTCCAGAGTCAAGAGCAAGGGGTTGTAGTCCAAAAGGAGTATCCTAGGGGAAATAGTAAACATAGATCAAGAGCATATGACCATAATATAACTATAAGAAGTATCCTTGGAAGAACCATATGTCATGGGGGTATGGGGCTAATACTGTGTTGTCCAAGAAGAAAAGAGGAAAGATAAGATAATAGTATAAGGGTTGAAAGAGATAAGAGATAAGATGAGAAGATATAATGTTGGAAAATATGACAGTGGTAGGTGATAACCACTAGATAAGGAAATGCAGTTTAACAAATAGAAAGGAAAACGTTGAAGGAAATGAGAGGTTATGGGAATTTGTAACAATCAGGGTAACACCTTTGTTGCCATCTTCAATGCTGTTGGCATGATACTCTTTTCTAGATAAAGTATCTGCCTTTCCCATAGAAGCCCCAGGTCTATGAACTGATTGATAATTAAACCTAGACAAGTATACCAGGCCTGTCTTTGGTTCAAGTCCTGGGCTGTCATAAAATACTCCAGATTTTTATGGTCAGTCCAGATTTTAAATTGGTGCCTAGCAGCTTTCAAGTAGTGCCGCCAGTGCTCTAAAGCTTGAATGATGGCCAGCATATCTCTATCATAGATTTGATAGTTGCACTCTGTAGGCAGCAAACTATACAATAAATAGGCACAAGGCCTCCAAAGATTGTCAGGGCATTTGATTGACAAAACAGCCCCAGTAGCAAAATCAGAAGAGTCAGATTCTAGCCGAAACTCTTTTTTTAATTCTGGAAATGCTAATATGGGTGCTGCTGTAGATTTCTATTTAAGCTTATCAACAATTCTTGTTCTTTAGCGCCCCAATGCCAGACAATGTCCTTTTTTGTGAGATTGTTTAACGGTCTCATTATTTTTGCAAAATTTTTAACAAATCTTCATTAAAAACCAAGGAAGGCCCTAACTCCTTTGATGCAAGTAGGTTCTGGCTATTCCAAAATAGCTCAAACTTTCTCAGAATCCATCCTGGTTCCATTTTAACCTATTATCTGTGAGGCAACAATAAACTATAACAAAAACAATACCCGTCTCCAACTGCACTTGCAGGGAGTAAGAGTAGACTCAGGGGTTTCTGATAAGGAATAAAGCGGATAATTCAAGTAATAGAAAGCTAAGGACTATACATGAATAGGTAAGGCTTTATATAGCTAACCGTCTATCCCTCAGACCGAAAGAGGAATAAAAGGAAAGTGGTCTGAGGGGAAAATCAACCAATAAGAAAAAGGGACAACTATCATACAACTTTGAAGATTAATCAGCAGGTGAGAAAGTGTACTAATAATAAGTGTTGTCATGCATGTCCAGGAACTGTATCAGGTACGATCCTGGCTAAAGTGTCTATTAGTATCTCCAGGCACTGATGGGGCTCGGAACTGGTTGGTGAGATGCTTACCACCAGTCCTTACCCATTGTGCTGGCTGGCTGGGAGCAATACCCAGTCTCTGATCTGCGATACAAAGTGGTAACAATGATTGAGAAAGCCTGTGAGGGCTATGAGAAGCAGGATCGCAAAAGATACCTCTAGCCCTAGAGCTAGAAGTGTAACAGGAAAAGTGTATGAGAACCAAGACATGGAGTGAGAAGATAAGAAAATATTAAATGGTCCTTACATTATCATACAGAGGAAGTCTATTTTCTTCACTTTGAAATCATATATCTTGGGCTTGACAAATAGGTCCTATTCTTGTAAGCATTGAAGGACTTCTTGCACAATCCTGTTGTGCTCAGCCTCATCATCTGACTTTGTAAATATTAATAAACTGTCAATATAAATGATAACACAGTTTTCCATATCCACAAAAATTTTATTCATCATACTGTGGAAGGTTGCTGGTGAATTAGTCAACCCAAAGAACATAACAAGGGGCTCAAAAGACCCTCAGTGGCATGTGAACGCAGCCTTCCAAGGATCTTCTTCTTTGATGTGTATATTATTATACCCCCATCTGAGATCCATCTTTGTTGAAATCTTGGCGCCAACCAATTTATCTATTAGGTGACTGATCAAAGGCAGTGTACACATCAACTGTAAATTCATTTAAGTAACAATAGTCTATAATTATACACTTTTTATTATCTTTTTTAGGGATGAAGAACACCGGGATGTTATAGGGCTCTTAGAAGGTCTGATGCAACCCTTCCTTAGCTATTTGTCTATATTACTAGCAACCTCATCTCTTTCTGGAGCAGAGAGAGGAATCATGTATTCCTTTTGCGGTTTAAAAGTGTCCTTCAAATCTATAGCATGGTCCCAAGGCTTGGCCTCTGGGGAGCATTCTGATTTGTGTTTTAAAAAGACTTTCCAGAAGACATAGTACTCTGGAGGTACCAGCCTCTTAATCTCTTCTTTGGGTTTTACCTTGTCATCATCATTGTCAACCTTATCTAGAGATCTGAGTTTGGCATAAATATGACCAGCATTTATCCTTTCCTCTGTCTTAGTTTGACGGACATGACTTGGCTTACCCAAATCATTACACTCCTGAGGGTAAAGTGACAATGTGGCAACCCCTATCTGCCAGTCTATCTCAGGATTGTGTTTAAATAGCCAGGCATAGCCTAAGATTAAATCAATCTTCCCTAGTTGGGTAACTTTGGTGGTGACTTGTTCTCTGTGTCCTTGGTACTCAACAACAAAAGAATATTTGTATATGATGTAGCAACCTGCATTAAGTGTACCATTAGTATTATAGACAAGAATAGACATATCTAAATTTTCAAGGGGGTGTTCTACTTGCTCCACCTAGACCTGATTTATGAAAATACTATTAGCACCTAAATCAAGTAGTGCACATATTGGGTGTACTGTGCCTTGGGCAAGGTTTTCCACACCAACATTTAAGCAGATTTCCTTTTGAAATAAATATGTGTGCATCAACGCACACATTGAGATTCTAGTGGAAAGTGGCTCCAAAGAAGAAGAAGTATTGAAAGAAAGATAATGTTTTTCTACTTTAAGGTTTTCTATATTTTATTTCTCTTTTTTCCAGAATCAAGCATCCTAGTAGTTGTTTTGCTGGGGCCATGCTCCAAGGGAGATGCTGGTGTAGCAGTAGTATTATAAATATTACAGTTGTATTGTTAATACAAGTATATACTACTGATAACAAATTCAGAAATTTATTTACCAGTTGGGGAGCCACCCCCTTTCCCCTATTGCTTGTGGAATGCCCCGGAGCGGTGTTGATGATAAGAACTGTAGTTAGAAAACCACACACAAAACAAACTAACTAACACACAATCCTCCCAGATTCCACGGAACTTGTTTATGGGCTTTGCCTCCTAGAACAGTGGGTGCTCTGGTTGTTTGTGGGGTGGTATGTATGATGATCCTTCAAAGTAAAACCCAGAGATGTATGGGTTTGGGTTTTGAGGAGGAGGGATAGTTGGAATATAGAAGATAGGGGTTTTATAAGGAGTATAGACAAGCACTACTTTGCTAACTGTAGCACAAGGTAGGTTTGAGAACAACAAGGTGACGAGGTGATGAGGTTCCCAGTGATAGCAGGCTCCTGATGCACAAACTGTAGTGAACTGGAGCCACTGGTCCACCACCTAATTGAAATCCGACGGTTCCATGGCTTTACCAATGGTCTGGTTGTAGTGGACCACCTGGTCAAACAAGGGAGGGAAAGGGGTAGTTCCAATTTGGAACAAGTGAGGCCCAGGCAGCATGTGGTAAGTGTAACTGTAGCAAAGACGATGGGCAGAGAATAGATGTACCCAAGTGAATGGGACAGCAATGTACATTGGTGACACAAGGGGATGAACCTTCTCCAGCTTGAAAACTATCCACCCATGCTCTAACCAGGCAAGACAAGCAAACAATGATTTAATAGTAGAAGATGGCAGATTGACATCATGAAGATGGACCTGTTGCCCTATTTGGACCGGCAGCCAGGGCTTTGCTAATATTGAAAGTGCTAATGTCTTGCTAAATGAACAAGCTAACCTTAATCTCTATCAGGCATTCTGTGAAGTTTTGTGTAGTTTGGTCTGCTAATAATGTGTCTATGATTGAGGAGACCCATTATGCTGATCAAGAAAGCATTAAACAACTATATGGGAACCTTAAGCAGTGTCAATTACTTTCCGATAAAGATGCCAATGCAAAAACACCTCATTTAACCCTTAGGTTATTTGTGTATATGCCAGTGTTCTATGTCTGTGCTGAGAGCTATGGTGTACAAAACCTTCCTAGTGAGTTTTCTGCATATTTTCCCATTATAAACACTGACACATTATTGGTGTCAACTAGGGATTAAATAGAACATTAAGGATACATTTATAGGGAAAGTTATTACCCCCTTGCCCTCCACACCCAAGGATACAGGAAGTCTTGTATTTACCCTTTTCACAGCTGTTTGAGCATTGCCTTTTGGCTTATCATATAGAGAGGTAAAATTCTCAGGTCATACAGAAGTTGGAAGTAATCCTGACCCACTGAAAAGCGCTGCTAATGCCTATGCTCATTATGTTGCAGTCGATTCTATATATAATTTAGTGCTTTTAGATATTCAAGGTACATGGCTTTTGCCTTGTTGTTATTTCTCAGCCACTGATATTCATTAGGTATTATTGCACCTGATCGGAGTATCAATCCTCAGTCACACATGTAAATCCATTATTATTTCTGTTTTTGAAACCAGATTTTCAATATATTGATAGGACTGGCTATGCCTCTAGACATTGGGATCATGGTTTACTTGAAATCAAACAATTTCTGATGTAGCATGTGTGCATTAAAACATGCAAGGCACTTGGTCTTGATACAGAAATTATGACATTTGATAGTGAAGGAGATGTAGTGCCCTCTGAGCAAACAAATGAAAGTGCTGTAAGGCATCCTCTGCAACATGGATTTGATTAGTAGTAATATGGACAAGTATAATACTCTTAACAAATTATCACAATTATGCAATCAGCTTTAGAAATAATTCAGAAATTTCTAATTGTCAGCTATCAACAAAGGTAACATAGCCAAAAAATACAGTTCAAATATTCTGAAAAGAGAGTTCTGTGAAGCCAAGTCCATTAAAAAATCTCTTGAGCTTGAATGCTGTACTTGAGTATTGTAAAATGTATAAGATCTTCACTGCCTATTTCTTCCATCAATCCTTTGATAATAGTATGATCTACTGGTTGTAAACAATTTTCAGCATTATAATCTAGCATATAATATGTTTGGTGAGACACCAGATGGCAGTGACTTGTTTTTATCATGTCAGACTACATGAGTATCAAAGCTGTGCTTTAAGTCGTTGAGTTCTTGCTGGATCAACTTTAGCCACAACCATTGTACTAAATTACTATAAGTAACACTGGATTAATAGTGTTGCACTTTCAGAGTCCAGTGAATGTATACTAATAATCATTATTCATCTCATTGTATATCCCATGACCTGCTTCCCAAAAAACCTTTACATTATCATCCCATTGAATCTGCAATGAGCATCAGCCACGCTAAATTGTAATATTATGGACACTTTTCAGGAATCGGTGAGCAGGAATTTTGTCAGGTGAAAGGTAGGGTGAGAAATACTCTCTGTAAAATAATGATTATCAACAAATTGGTACAGATATAATGTAATCATACGGCAAAGCATTAGTATACTTATACATTTCTGTAGTCTCACTCCCACAATCTATCATATTGTGAAGAGACATACCTATTTTTGGGTTAGCAACTAAGTGAATGAGCTATATAATCATAATCATACCTTTTAATTCATACACAAGAGAAAGGTACAGGTACCCAATAGTAGTCTTCAAGCGGTTGTTGGGTACTACCCAGAGACCAAGCTATTTCCTGCTCCACTGATCATGGACACCCCATATAGGAAACCCAATTAATATGAGTTTGTTGTGTCCATCCGAACTCCACCGGTGATGCAGCCCTAAGTAGACTAATGCTTGCAGACCTATTTTTTTGCCCTTGGGCTTATGCTGAGCAAAATCATCTGGTTCATGTAGTAGCATTTTTTCAGCAACACAATCTCTAGATATTAGTTTTAGTTGTTACTGGCTACATATTACACTATGAAAGTAAAACAGTAAACCATGCCTCATTAATAATTAACCTATTTCAGCAACAATGACTTCACAAATAATACAACGACCACAATGATTAAGAGGATCCTGAACAAGTTTCCGTTCTTGCAAAATTGTTAATGCCTTTGTTGTATTGGTACTGCCAAAAAGTCACTACCTTTATAGCTTTGTCTGAGTTGTGCGCCAGAGTATCAAAACTTTGGTTGTTACAATAATGACTCCTAGGAGAATAATGGTGACTCCATGGAGAACAATGGTGACTCCATGGAGTGGTGGCTATGCTCCATGGAGAACAATAGCTGCTTTAGCAGAGACCAGGTTTATCCGGTGTCATACATAAAAAAGGTTTCATGTATGGACATGGCATTTCACGACATATTGTACCCCACCAAAAGTACCTCATCTTGAAGTACACATTCCAAAGTACTATGTCACAATGTTTTATATTTTGATGATCGCTAGTTCTGGAAATATGAGCCAAACAAGAATCCTTGTATCACACTTACTGTTAGCCAATGGCAGCCACACTGAAATTTGACCACATGGCTTGCACATGGTCAGATTCTGAAAAGGGAAAGTGAATTTCCCATGACATAATCTGCCTTTTTCTCAACAACCACTTCACCAATCACTCCAGTTTTGTGGGGAGTAGGTAATACTTTCACACCCCTATCAGTCTGGATACTTTTGGAGGGCTTCCAAATAAGGAAATTCCCCAAAATTCTTGTTTTACTGTGGAGAAGGCTGAATTGGCATTTGTTTCTTATAAACAGAACACTGTGCCTGACTGAGTCATATCTTGCTCCACATTTTCAAATTACTTTTCTATTCTTAGTCTCAAAAAGACCACTCTAGAATCATTCCCAATAGATGATTCTGGTCTTTTGAATTTCCATTAGATATTTTGGTACTACCATTTGTAATTACCAACTAGGAAGGAGCCCCTATAGCCAAAAGGTACATAAAGAGGCCAATTTTCCACCTTATAAAAAAAAGCTTTTACTTACAAGCAGTCCCCACATAAGTGGACAACCACTCAGAAGTCAACTAGCTTTTACCTAGGAAGCATACAAGAGGTATTGCCCACCCTAGGAAGCTTAGTCATCAAGTCACATCTGTCACAGATAACAGTAGTCCAAGTGTGATTACAGTCTGTGATTGTTTATTATTTGCCACAAGTAGCTCTAGTATTCTATAGTTCATCCTCAAACTTATATCAGCCATCTATTGATCTGGTGTAAGCTCATCTGCAGTCAGTCATTGCAGCATAGTCAAATATTGCTTCACCCTTCTATCAACCATCAGTGTATCATAGTTTGTCCTTTACCAAGTGTAGGGCACTATTATCTTTATCCTATTAGTCTCTCAACAAGCGAGGACTATTATTGTCACACCTAATGTTGGCCATATCTTAAAGCTAGTCACGTAACACTTCAAACTCACATGTACCCTCACACTTCTATTCACATACTACCACTTGTCCTTTATATCACCACGGATATATCTACTATTGTTATATCAGTCTTCCAGAGCATGAGGACTATTAACATACTCACAATAAAAGGGATAATTAACTTCCACCCCACTAATGAACTAGGTTATTACCCACTGTCCAGCTTAGGTTGTAAACTTCTGGTAACCCTAGGATAAAGAAGCTTTGGTAGCTATCCCATGCTACAATTGACGTACCAGTACCTATTTACGCTTCACTTTTTGTACTTTTACTTTACTTTTTCCAAGTCACATGACCAGTCATGTGATCATTTACTTTACTTTACATTTTCGGACTTTTCATAGTCACATGACCAGTCATGTGACACAACACCTGACCAGTGTCTAGACTCATCATGTGACCGGTCACATACTAGACATCGGACTTTAAACTTTATTTACAACTGTACAGTACCTCATGTATTTTAGTATATATACTGGAGCAATACATGGGGAGGGACTCAGCGAGTCCTCCTGTTGTATCCTCACAACTAACTTGTTGAAGCCTAAAGGGTAACCACTCCCTCATCATCCTCTCTATAGCTTGTCTGAGTTGTGCGCCAGAGTAACAAACTCTTGGTCGTTACATCCCATATCAAACACTTTATCAACAAGACATTGGTTTTGTCACAAGCTGGCTGTCATGCTACATATAAGTATGTATATGTAATCTACTCCAAAAGCGGTCACTGCCAAAGTCCAAGAACTGTTGGAGTATATATATGAGAAATCTTTCTACTTTCAAACACCACCACCCCCTCCTCACGCTGCTGCCACTGCCACCTCATCACCACTATCACCACCCCTCTTTCTCTCCTCCTCTTCCTCCTCCTCCTCCTCCACATCCACACTACTTGAGGGGGGACCCAGGCGACACTGTCAATGCATTGTCTAGGCCCTCCTTTGAGTGTCTGCCTCCTGCATCACCCCTATCCCCATGTGCTTGCCATATATGGCAAGTGCATGGGGCATTCATCAGGAAACCCTGAATGTGCTTAGAGCTCCTTAATAGTTTCTTATCCGTAAAATAAGCCAGAATAAGGCATCACTTGTCCAAGACAAATTCAGTAGGTCCCTCTTCTTGTTGCCATCATAATCGTGTAATCAAGACATCTAAGTGAAAACAAGCCTGGGATCAGATTCAAATGCAAAAAAAATGACACAATGTGTTTGAGACAGAAGGCTTTCAGATAGAAAGCTCTAAGACAGGCATAATGATTTAAATTTGGCATTAGACGTCTATGATCTGCATCTACATGTTAATTTCTTCAGAATCTTCATCATCCATTCCATAAATCTTGGCATACTTTTGTGCCTTGGCATGAATATCTTACAGTGTAATTGGAGCAAGTGCCTGGATAGATAAATAATACTTGCAGGTTTGAGTGCCCCAGTTTGTATCAGAAAACTTGACATGTGAAAGCAATGCTTTGCCGGTAGACTTGTTTACAACCAGGGTTGGTTTGCTCATTACTTTAGTGGATAAAAAACTGGCCTTCCTCTTTTTTGCAGGCTTCAAATACATCTCAGACTTACTATCCCTCCCTCTAGTGAGATCTCCTTCTGTGCCATGATTTTCCATACAAAGTATACGTGGGTACTCCTTTTCCAGAGATATTACAAATCTGAACACAATCCAGCCTGCCGGACATAGTAGCCCAAGTAGTCATAACTGTGTGAATATTGGGAGGGACATGAGTAAAATACTACTATGAGGGTAGGTCATATACCACAGCCACAGACATTGCCAATGCACTGCACAGTGGATATTTGGTGGTTTCAATTGATCTTGTATTTGCATTCTCAGCCCATAATTTTTTGATATCTATTGCACCAGTGGTAAATTCCAGGTTATGCCTGCAAGATAAAAGGGGAACAGAATGCTCTATCATGTTGCTTTTATAAAATAGATATAATTAATATATAGGATAGTAAGTTAAATAACTTACCAATTGTTTTTTGCCAATCTCTGCATATATAAAGCCTAGGCAATCCTTCATCTTGTTGGCAAAGTTCTGGCAATCTTTACTTGTGCTGAATTTGTGCTGAGTCACAAAGAGGTGGTTAACCATTGCATGCACCTACTCCCCAAAAAACTGGAGTGATTGGTGAAGTGGTTGTTGAGAAAAAGGCAGATTATGTCATGGGAAATTCACTTTCCCTTTTCAGAATCTGACCATGTGCAAGCCATGTGGTCAAATTTCAGTGTGGCTGCCATTGGCTGACAGTAAGTGTGATACAAGGATTCTTGTTTGGCTCATATTTCCAGAACTAGCGATCATCAAAATATAAAACATTGTGACATAGTACTTTGGAATGTGTACTTCAAGATGAGGTACTTTTGGTGGGGTACAATATGTCGTGAAATGCTATGTCCATACATGAAACCTTTTTTATGTATGACACCGGATAAACCTGGTCTCTGCTAAAGCAGCTATTGTTCTCCATGGAGCATAGCCACCACTCCATGGAGTCACCATTGTTCTCCATGGAGTCACCATTGTTCTCCTAGGAGTCACAAGGTCCAGCCCATGGCTCTGCCACTGGTGCGATGTTTTTGTGATATCATAAATAATAATAATAATAATACCACTGTTAAGTGATCAAAATGTTAAGTAACTTATGCTGTCTGTAATGTATGTTAAGTCTTTGAATCCTATGATGCATGTTTGACTTGCAGTTCTGTTGTTGAATGTTCTTATAAGCCTGCCCTAAACTTGTGCACAGTATACTGAATTCAAGCAGATAGTTCATTGAACTTTTACAAACATCAACATATATTATAACGTAAAAAGTCTATGGTATTACACTGATAAATTGATGAGAAATTAAAAAAGAGACTACTAAAATGGTAAAGGATGAAAATATAATCTGATAACAAAAACATTCTCAGTAAAAAGGGTGAGAATTGGGGAAAAATCTACTTGCCAGTGATAGATAAAGCCAGTCAGAATTTTGGGATACACCACATTGATGGTACATCTGTCATTTGAACCATGTGGAAATAGCACTTTCATTGTCTCTCCTGAAGTGCAGCGAGACAATGCAACATAACATTGCCCATGTGAAAACACTGAAACATGTAAATCCAGCCCAACTTGTGTCACTGATTGACCTTGAGACTTATTGATGGTCATGGCGAAGGCAGCACAAACAGGGAATTGACGACATGATAGCTTGATGGGTAATTTTTCTGATGAAGGTTCCAATGTGAGGCGTGGAATAAAAGCTATCTTTCCTGCATGTTTTCCTCCCAAGACATGACACTTCAATACTCTTCTCTTCATCTCTATCAAAATCATGCGTGTTCCATTACAGAGTCTATTTAGGGGATCAATATCACGGAGGAGCATAAGCGAAAGGCCATATACTTGCAAGGAGTTCAAGAATTCCACAGAATGATATTCATTATCATTTTTTTGTGGAGAGGATGGTGCAGTGGAGGAAATAATGGTCATCTTTGTCTCCATTTGCAATTCCAGGATAGGTAGTGTTGACTAATGAGTCTATGGTGTTTTCTGGCATAAGCATGTTGGCGGGAAGCTCAATAGTTCTATCTCCTGCAATTCCACGACCACCACCAACATCCAGGAGCCAGCTAGCAAAGGCTTCACTTTGTGGAGTACGGTCCAGGCGTATGTTCTGTGTGAGATAGCAGACATGGATATTTGTCCACAATGGTGACTTTCTAAGAGAGGCAGAAGTAATGTGTTGCCTTGACCCTTGGAACAACAGGTGTTGTTTGGTGGAAGTCCCCTCCAAAGACCACTATAATGCCTCCAAATGGAAGCTGATTATCCAAAATGCCCCACAATGTACAATCCAATGCTTCAATCCCATAACAGTGTTGCATTGGTGCTTCATCCCAGACTATAACTCCAGTATGTCTAAAAACCTCATGGAGGTCAGAGTTTTTTGGAATCCTGCATGTGGATGTTTCATGTACAGGAATAGGGATTCCAAAGTGTGAATGAGCTGTGCAGCCACCCTCCAAGAGCAGGGATTCAATCTCAGAGGATGCTACACATAGAGTAACATTATGATTATCTCTTGCTCAAGCAGCA